GTGCATATTCGAAGAAAACAATCGTATATTGGAAGATATCCGTTTTAATTTTTCGGCAGAGTTCAACATTTTGATACGAAGCTAAACTTATATGATGTCAGCGCAAATTATTTCTAAAAGGACTGTAGTTTACGGTAAATGGTTTCATACAGTGCTAATACATGATTTAAACGTTGTGTCTGTGTAGGGAATAATCAAGAAAAGAGGATTGAATGTCAACATGGATTCACTTTCGTTCATTAGATGCCGTTGTTGCTACATGACTTCCACCCTATCAAAGTGCAAGATACTTGTCAATATGCTTTTCACAAGAAAGAAGTGTAATTCCATAATATATACTGAAGAGGCTGTTTTAATTGTCATTTTTCTTTCTTCTCATTCTGTTTCATATATATCTGCCAGACCCTTCGCCGGCATCAGTAGGGGTGGTAAGCGTACTATGAGAGCCATAGCCATTGTTAAGTCAACAGTAGCGGTGTCCGAACAGAAACCAATTAATTCTGTCATAAAAACACAAAGAATAACCTTTGTTGTATTTTCATCCCAGATATCTCAGATAGACAATTCATGCCAAGGGGAGGTGATTGGCGAGCTGTAGGTGTTACTGAGTGAGTTTAAAGTAGGGTCACTTAAGCATTTACGACAGAAAACCAACATAAATGCTGGCAACTAAGGTGAATGTGGCCATTTACGCTCGAGTTTCAACTTACGGAATGTTGACAGGCTACTGAGGCCATTCTGATGGCAATATGATAATAGATAACGTTGATGAAAAGTTGGAATGGTCGTGTTCATGTGGTCGATAACGAGCAATGTCGATTATGAAATGATGTAAAAAAAGAGAGGTGTAAAGTAAATTGATGTAGTAAAAGGCACAGGTAGGAATTGAGCAGAATTGAGATGTGAAAGGGTGAAATGTAAAACGACATTTCCAAAGGAAAAAAGAGGGACAATGAATTGGGAAGAAAGAAGCAACGTTTTCAAAGGCCGCTTGTAAAATGAAAGTGACTTAAAAAATATTTTCCGCCGCTTGGAACTCTTTGCGAAGCACAATCCATTTTGATGTCTTGCAAGAAAATGCAAAGATTAACGTAGTGGGCGCTCAGGATTGATCGTATGAGAGACATCCTTTTTGGTCAATCAAACACTTATATTGCAACTGCAGTGTTGCATATGACGGTTTGAACACCAGTGCAAAATTTTGCAAATAGAGCATATGCTGCTTATAGCAGTAAAATCGGTATCAGCATCGGTAGACGTAAAGCTGATGGTTGCAACAGTACTAATAACGTCCAAGATGAAGAGCTTAGACAGTTTCTGAGCTGCGTTCGGTGGTCCAGCTTAGTTATGAAATATTAAAGTGTTACTCCAAGACAGAGCGATATGCTGAAACTTCATCAGCTTTTTGGGTGTTTGACGTTGGTGTTCTCAGCGACGCACGGACATCGCATATTAGGAGGTGCTGCTGTTCAAATCTATGAAACGGGAAGTAAAACTTTGGATTCAGTGCAATGATAAATACAGTTTATAATGTGAGAGGATAGAGAGAAAAAGGTACAAGTGCTTATGGAGAATGAGCTGTGCTATATACGAGAATCTTTTGGCGAAAAAGATGGTATGCAATTCGGTCATATTTATCATGCTTTTGTAGCATTGTGGGGATCGCTGGATGAATGTATAGTCAATTGGATGTCAGTGTCTGAATTGGACGCGGATATGCCAGTATAGCGACGTCGAACATCTTCTGAAGTGTGCACTATGGAAAGATTTGTATCATGGTATGCAGATATATCGCGAGAGAGGTCTCCATATTGAGCTTGTGCAGGTTTCGTTAAGGTTGATGATGTTTCCAAGGTCTGATTTGTGTCAGCTCTCGTTAGACTATGTATTTCCGTTGATGACTTGCTTTTTCGTGGCCATACTTTTAGAAGCATCGTATTTTTCCAGCCGAAAAAGTCTCTGCGGCGCCATGATCTACCTGACATGAGAATAGGTTGATTTAACGTGATTTCTGCCGAAGTGGTTTGTCGTGAGATTGGCTCTATGTGTATGCCAATTGGTATGTCTGTCGCAGAGCTTTCTGAATAGCATCGTTCTGGGTCATCTGTCACGGAGAGACGGTTTGTTTTGCTATCAATTGTACTTTGTCGCTTCGGTGGTGTTGAAACCGTTTCTGAAAGATCTGATAGTTCCTGGTCGTCTGTGAAGACTGTGCTGTTATCTGTTTCGCTTGATTGTGGATCTTCTTTTGAACTGAGGAGATACACACCGTAGATTAAAACAGCGATGCCTAGGAAGACTAGGGCGAGAACCCACGCAGGGTAGCTACCCAACTCGTTAAGGTAGACCATGGTATTAACGAGCCCCAACGCAGTGTAGGTTGCATAAAAAATGGGCACAACGATAACACTGGATGACAGTTTGAGACCTGTGTTAAGGCAGTAGACCTATTTGGGTTAAGGAATACATGAGTAAGTACGAGGTTTGCAAAGAAATTTAGACGGCGGGTGAAAATACTGGCGGATGGAGAAAATAGAATTTGGACGGTACCTGGAGAACGGCCGTTACGACCAAAGCCAGCAGAATGAAGCGACTTGTATTGTCTGTGAACTGGTTAACTTGGGAGCTGATGGATAGTGTAAAGAGCTTGACGCTGAAAAAAAAAAAAAAACCATGTTAGTAAAGGCTGTAAGTTGAGCACGCCGGCAACTGCATATTTTTGATATCGTCATCCTGGATACTAAACACGCTGGAAGCTGAATATTATGGCTCACCCACTCGTGGCTACTTCCATGGCCACACCATGAATACATCACGGCGGAGCCATGGTTGCACCATAAATTCACCTGGAAACAATAACATTCAAATGACTCACCCGCTTTTTGCCAACAATAGAGTTTCACTGGCTAGCATGCCGCCGTCCAAACTGAACAACAAGCCAGCGATTTTCTTCAACGTTTTTGGCTTCACTCGACGGTAGATACTACTCTTCAGTTTTCGCTCCTCTTTTGCCATTACCCATCTGGTGTATAACGCAAAGAACAGACCCGCAAATGTGATGACATTGAGGACACTAAAGTAGATGATGAAGACAGGTCTTACAAATAAAACTTTGAGACTATCCAGGGTGATGTTATCTTCGGCTATATAAAAGGCATAATGTTAAAGTGAGTCTACGTTTCACATATGCATCGGAAGGAGTAGGAAGGGGCAGAACTTACGATCAGGTCCATTGAACATGCCTCCAAAGATAACGATAGCGAGGACTGAGAGAATGATGACAAATGTACCCATCACGTCCTTTCGAGTGATTGTTGTGCCAACCATGACTCTAGCCAACACAAAGTTGACAATAAGAGCAAAGCTTCCGAGAGGAGCCACCCACTATATAGAATGAGTGAGCTTCATATTAAGCATGCGGGAATGAAATAGAGTAATAAATTACCTGAGTCTTCAAGTAGTCTAATTAGAAGAATTTTAATGTCAGTAAAAAATGGGAAGCGATCAGGAACATGACTGCTGTCAGGAACCCGGCAGTAAACGCTCAAGATAGAGATATACGTACTCAATGCAATGGTACTGCCAATCAATTGACTGGCAATATAGGTATACAAGCCAACGTGCCAGAGTGGTCGACCACAATCAGTTCGTTGCTGGCGGGTATCCTTTTTTGACTCTCGTACGTGATCTAATTTTAGCAAGTTAAGGCCCAAGGCGTCCATAATAGAAGCACCTGCATGATATGAAACGATGGTTGACAAGATTTAGTGGCATGAAAACTGAGTTATCGAGCATAACAACATGGGCATATTCCGGTGAGGTGGTGCAAAGCTGGAAATGAGAACATACATAACGAGACCAACACGCCGATGACGAGGTTAACGGTATCTGACATTTTGGGTGTAGTGATGAAAAAGGAATGGAGGGTGAGCGGGCTAGAAATGCTCTTGGTGCAATGTAGCCTACTTGATAATTCTGAGATAAGAAATAAGAAGAGAAAAGCTTGGAATTTGCCAAGGAATGTGCAGAGGACGGAAAAAGACTGGAGGACTGAAGACAAGAAAAAGGTGCAAAAATAGTGGTGGCTTCTGGATATTCGTAGGTGTGGTGTCACACAGCTTAAACGCCGGCTATGGTAAACATGCAATGGTATGTACATTTTGGCCAAGTTTTACATACTATATTGTAGAGTGTAAGATAGTATTATATGCTGTCATGATAATGGAAGCTGTATATGGCTCTTTAAACGTGAAGGATGAGGTATATTGTTTTTAAAAGAATCGTCGGCGGACGCTCCTTTTGATGTAACACACGCTTTTCTTCATAGCGGATGTTGTTTATTATGCCCGCAATGGTTTACAGGTACATTCAATTACATGAACCATGAAGAAATATACTATCTCGTTGTCTCAAAAGTGCTGCGTGTAAATTGGGCTTTTGCGTTTCCTTGAAATTTTGCCATTTCCTCGTTTGGATGATGCTTTGCAGATAGAGATCGTTACGCTGTGCACAAAGCGCAGGTTCATCGTTTTGCCTACCAATCAAACTCAGGGACGTCAAGGAGCCCTCGTGTTCAAATTCTGTGTAGAAAAAGCAGATTTTTGGTACCGTTCACACAGCGCCTTTTCGGCGGATTTTTTAATGTACAGTGATGCACCAAGTCATTTCAAACGATGTGCTTAGGAGGGTACTTTTTTTTAATTTTTTCAGGGACGATTCCTTCTCGCTCTTTGAGAAAAAGAAAACAGAGATGGCCGAGGGGTTGGAGGCTGAAATCGGGCATGTCCTTTGTTTGTTTGGTACTGTTCAGTAGCGTGACAATGTTGCTTTCAAACACAAGCATTCCTCCATGCTTGGTGAAGATCGTTACCTTGGGTGAAATCCCCAATTAGGTCATGGTGGAAGCTGTGGAAATACAGACGCTGCAATTCTACACCGGGCATTATTTTTATTAGGATATCTGTAGTGTATCAGGGTGCACTATCGTTTGAATATACAGAATTAGAGTCATCCTCATCATCTTCGTCTGAAAGGAGCATTGGTTGTGTAGCTAATTAAAAAAAAAAACACAATATGTTTGATAAGTTTACCAAATGAGAAGAGAAAGGTTCATCATCAACAAGCACTTACTTTCCAGATTTTTCTCAATGTGCTTAATCGCATTAGGGGCTCCACTTGAGAAAATCATGCTATTACGGTTATTACGATAGCCATCGCCTTGAATGACGGTGAGCAAATTTTTGCCAAACATAATTTTTTCTTGCTTTGGCCGTTCTGGTTCCTTTTCTGGCTCATCTTCTTGCTCTCCCAGTTCGTCGTCAACGTCTGATTCTTCAAGATCACGGGCTTCACGACTATGATCATAACCTGGACCTTCCTGGCTCGGTTGGTGGCCATCACCATCTTGGCGGGCAATTTCATCACTTGTCCAAAATACATAGTCAAATTCAGTAAGCAACATATTCAAGATGCTACCAGGGATACCCAAGGTTAAAGCGAATACGATACCGATATTCAATATCGACATCTTATTCACTGAGGCGTTTTGCACAACTTGTAGTATATGGGCGCTCAGCGCTCGTAACAAAGTGTAGTGAGCGACTGGTAATGAAGAGATGAGACGACCAAGTTCTGAAAGCCGTTCTGCAGGATCCATCAAATCTAGAAAGCACGAGATGTTTTGAAAGACATGAAATGTTAGCAAAACGACGAAGTCAATGGTGTGTTTATCAGCCACAAGCTGTATGACTTGCCTATGACACCAAGAAAGTCATCGTGCAGCTCCGTGGTGAGTACCTCGGTCGGCAGCTCTCGTAACCACATTTTCAACAATCCTGCCACAGCATGTACATCGTAGTAGATACCACTCTCTAAAATATTGTAGTCACCCTCTGTAAATGGGCTGTTAGCCATAATGGACTTCGAAATTGTGCCCATAAAAAAGAACCGCTGATCATTAGTATGGAAAACCGACGCATACCTTTGTCAAATCTTTCACGCAGCTCATTGATCACGGCGGTACTACCACTTTGTCGGTAAATGCCTTCTTCCATCACGGCATTTTTTGCGTCTAAATATTCAATGCATCGATACACCACAGCTGGAAGCTCGATTGGAATAGTCGATCTCGTCACGTCGATGGCCAGTTGCAATGGAATTGCGAATTGCAGCCGGTAAACCGGCTCCTTAAAATCCTCAGGTGTTGGTAGTGAAGGCTCTTGGCCTTCAGGGTCATCAGGGGTATGTACTGTCTTCTTTCCCCATCCTGTCAATTTTCCAGTTAGTCGTCTAGCAGCACGAATCTGGCGAGAACTGGAAGTTGACGTAGTAGGTGGCGAGAGATTTTCTTTTTCGGCATTGATGGGACCGGATGTATTCTCGTCTGGGCTCCAAATTTGGTGCTCTGAATCGCCTTGTCCATTCTTTAGAGAAATGACAGAGCTCCTGGCTGCAGAGGAGTCATTAGCGAGGGTGTCATTTGTGTCAAATCCTGAATCGTTAGAGACAACTTCATCGTTCGAGTTCAAACGAGACTTGGATGGCCGCAGCGGTGTACGTTCTCGAGGAGAAGGACGTATGATGGGTGTAATGGCGGGGTCGGAGTTGGACCGCTGTTGCTTGATAGCAAATGTGGAGTCTGAAAAGCGAGTGTCTTCTGAGCCAGAAATCTCAAACGTTTTGCGACTGACAGGTACAGAGTCGTTGTTAAAGTCATATGTGCTTTTGTGGCGCTTGTCGGGTTTCCTTAGCTTTTTAAATTTGCCTAGCACTGTATTATTGTCCTTTGCTTGAGGGGTGGTTGGGGTGCTGGGTTCCAGACTAGGTTCTTCATCTTGGGCATTGACGTGGTATATCAAAGCATCGATCCATTCATCGCGCTCAAAATCAGATTCTGCACAAAGAATATGACGAGCCAACACGCTTGATCCAGACTTTTTGTGTTCCAGTACCAGAAATGCATGACGAAACATTTTGCTGTCTTTGGCATCCGAAGCGGTTTGGGGAGCTTGTCTTCCAATTTTTGCATGTTTAAGGTGTATCACGCCCAACTGATTTCCATTTTTCTGATAGTGAGCAAAATTGGTAAATAATGGTTCTAGGTGAAAAGGCAAATGGTTCCGTCATTCTTAACTTACATTATCATAATAAAATAGGCAGTGGTTTTGAATAACAAAATAACGACGTTTCCAACCTCCAAAATTCTTGCCTCGTTTCGTTAGGTACCCTTCCTTGTATCCCAGCTAATCGAGATTCAATAAGGTGACACCGGTTAAAAAAATTGTGCAAGAAACCGGTCAACGAAAGCCCATTTTTACAACAATTGAACTTACAGAATCTGAGGCTACATGTTGAACGACATCTGTGCTCAGAAATTCGCAAATATCTGAAATGTGTTCCAAAGGGTTTAAAATGAGTTGCTGAAGGTATCGCTCTAAAGCAATCTTTCGTTGGTCCACTTTGGTTGGTGATAATGTATTAAAGAGAGACTTTTCCGGAAATTTGACAGAGGGCCTCTGCTTTTCATTCAAAGCTCCAGCCCGCATCTAAAGGTGGCCAGAAAGGTTAGACCATCGAAGCTTGGCCATTAACGATGAGAATAGCTGCCACAGAACCAACGTTTATATAACTTACCCTTGCGTCCAGATTGATGAAATCGGAATACAACTTCTCCACTCTCCAAAGTTCCTCAAATTGCAAATCAGAACAATCGCTGTCCGTGGACGGCGGCTTTAGCATTCTACCAACAGATATGTGGAAGCATAAGACCTCTCTGTCTTTTTCATTTGCCTTGATCTTCGAGGCGATCACCTTGATGGACAAACTAGCTAGAGTTTCATTACTCATTCCGCTAGGATCAAATGACGACGGTTCAGGCTGCTTTAAATTTGAACCCGATTCAGGTGGTGAATAAGAATTTACAGAAATCTCAAAGGAGCTTGTTTGTGGCGTTGGTGATTCTGTTAACATATGGCCATTCATTGCCGTTGCAGTCGCCATAGAGGGTTGCTCAGATTCCTCGTCAGTGGGAGTACCTGTTTTTTTCAGAGCTTCCTGTCGCAATTGTTCGGCCTCCTTTTGGTAATCTCTGGGAAAGGTCGCATTTATCAAAGCTGTATTAGGTTTTTGGCGCTCACGTTTCATGAGGCTTGCGTTAAATTCGGCGAACAGCTGAGCATCCTTGTCTATGATGGCTTTTCTAGGAGAAAGGACGTCTGGTACAGGCGAGGGAGGCGAATTGGGCAAGATGATAGGTTCTGGTGCGGGCTTTCGTTCCTCTACTCGCACTTCACTCGTCATGGTGGCTGCCATAGGTTTTGGTATGGGAGGTTCATTTCGTGGCACGTCTTTCGTGGGCATGTCTTTTGCAGAATTTTGTCTATAAGGCGATCTTGGTGGTGGTACCGGGCTCTCATTTGGAACTGCGGCTGAAGGTTCTCCTAGGTGACCAGAGGGTGTGGGGCTTGTGCTAATGGTCACTGGTAGAGGTTCAGGGCTTTGTGCAAGTGGTCTTGGTGGTTCTTCTTGTTTGTGTTGAGATCCGCGAGCTTCCAGTTTCTGAATCAGCTCATCTTTTTCTGCTAGTAGTCTAGTGGTTTCCTTTTGCAATTTGTGAATGACAGACTTTTGCTTAGTGATAACTTTCCAAAGCTGGGTGTTTTGAGCTTTATAGTACTGGAGCTCGTCTCCTTCCGGGACTGGGGGCGCACTCATTGTGAATAGTCTGTTGCGTACGGCGATGTTGAGCACAACTTTTATGCAGTACACATTCAGTCAGAGAGATCAAGGCAGGACAGATCGGTGGACTTTTTCACGGTAGTGGAGCACAGGCACTTTTTTTTTTTGTAATTTTGCTGAGAGTCACACAAGACGCGCAAATATGGCCACCAAATTTTCAATTTGAGGTCAGACGACGGTGATCAAGGAGAATGTAATAAAAGATCTATATATTATGGATGATGAACAACGGAAAGAGCTGTAAGAATGGTGCAAAGTGTTGAAAAAAATGTAGTTAAAGAGATATTGGTTTACAAAAAGTACAAAAACATTCAAAACGAAGAAAAGCAATATATTACAATTGGGGCAAATTTGAATGTAAACGGGGAAAAAAAATTATCAAGAGAACTTGAGCTGGGTACTTTGAGAGGGCGGTGGCTATGTAGAGGTCAATGAATGTGCGCACGGCGGTAACGCTGTGTGCGACAATGGGGTATCTCAGTTGAAGACTTCTTCATCAGATGAAGAGGTAGATGTTGCTGGAGATGACGTTGAAGATGCATAATCTAATTCGTTTGCGGAATCCTGGGCGTCTCTTTCACTAAGCATTTTCTCCATTTGCTTGCGTAGCTCCATGCGCAATTGTAAGAGCTCAAACATATCCTTATAGGTGCAAGGAGTCGTCTCCAAGCATGTACGGTCTAAACAGCAAGGTAAAGAAGTTAGTGACAAATGTTTATTCAAAGCAAACAGGAGATCGCCATGATACGCACCATATTCGTCATCCCCAAAGGTAGAGATGAACTCGATCGATTGCGAGAACTGGACTTTCTTCTGGGAAGGCATGTAACGGTTTATAAGAAAAAAGTTGTTAAGAAACCAGAGATTGATGTTGAGGATAAGAAAAAGAGAACAAGTTAAGGCAGTGGTAAAAATAACGCGGGCAATAAAAAAAGTTCATTACAGAAACGAGGTCCCCAAGTTCCGCGGAATTAAAGCTATCCAAACAGGCAACCGTGAGCACCTCAATACAGCTAGAAACCCTCCCCCCATCAAAAGCCACGCGAGTTGTATGAATAGATATAATTGCTTTAGTGGTCTAAGTTCATATGACATGGCATCGACGTCGGTATGAGCATCTTGGCAAAGGAAAGGATAAGTCGCAAGATGGTAACTTCAAGCAAATCATACTTTCATGGAAAAGAGAGTTGGCCATGTTTCATTTCCATGATGATGGATAAGGCGTTGAAAATAAAAACAAACTCAAAGTCTTGTGTACAGCGTAGCATTTCGGAAGCTTTCCTTGGCCTCTGTCCTTCTTTTTTGAAACAAAAGCTTTGCCTCTGTATCAGCCTCACTCAGCCATACCTTTTGCCTTGCGCAGGATGGCTCCGCTTTAGCAGCAGCTTTTCTTAAATTCAGACACCGGATTTAGAAAATGGGGTTTTTGCACAGTTGCATCATTGGCAATAATTCAGGCTAGAGTGGAAAGATGAAATATTTTGGAGAGGCAAAACCGGTCGATTCAACAAGAATAACCTAGCTACATTATAGTTGCGGTAGCCTACTACTTTATCACGAGTGAGACATGAATAAAAACAGGAAACATATTATGTGGACGGTGAATAACCTCATTTTATGACTACCCGTTTTGGAGCAATTGAAACACGTTCTAACAGTACAATGGCCAAGTTGGCTTTCACGATAGGCGATGTATAAACAATTCTGCCGAATATCACATATTCATGACCTCCACCTACCGTCTTATTTTACCTCTTGACATTCAGCACTTTATGTAAAAGAATGCTCCACCTCAGCAAAACATCGTGCCACTCTTCAGTAAAAAGGGTCATGGAAAACTTGGAATACCAAATTCTAACCAGGTTTGTAACATTGCGCAAAAGCACAGCTACCGGCCAAAGAGGTGCGTGTATCAAAACCAGGACGAAAGCAACCTAACGCCAGCAAAATTTAGGTGGCCAGATATACATAAAACTTGCGTACAGTCGAATTGGGCATTCTTACATTACGTCACGCAACGTAGAGAAAGCTAGGCAAAAATGTAAAAAAAGCCAAAGCTCTGGCCATTCCTCCGCGTTCTTTTTGAATAACTCAAATATCATTCACCCACTTTTTGATCCTTTTCAAAAATGTCATCAGAAGAAGTACCAAATAACGTTGATCAAATACCTTCTGAACAGAAGGGAGCCTTTCACTCATTTTTGAAATCGCTCGCATCCTTTTCTGGCGATCTATCTTCGCTTACTTGCCCAGCCTTTTTATTAGCGCCAAACTCACTAATCGAGTACTCGTAAGTGCATACTACCTGCAGTTGAGACGGTTTTGTTTTTGCCCTAACCGTTGAGACCATTTACAGTGAATACTGGGTCAATCGCCCCGATCTATTTGCCGCCATTCCCCAAATTGACGATGAGCAACAGAGAATGTTGGCCGTGCTAAAATGGTTCATATCCTCATTAAACGGCTCATACTCCAGTAGAGTACCAAAAGGTGAATGGGAGAAAAAGCCTTACAATCCCGTCCTTGGCGAGCAATACTTTATGACATGGGGTGCTGTCGGTGATAGCGGGGAAACGGATGTTGTATGTGAGCAAGTATCCCACCACCCTCCGATCACTGGTTTTCACTTGCAAAACGATACGGCCGGCGTTGTTGTCAACGGCCATAATGGACAAAAGACTCGATTTTCTGGAACGTCTCTCATAGTAGACCAAGTTGGTCATGGTGTTATTAAGCTGAAGACCAGAAACGACGAATCGTATTTGTTCACCTTGCCTTCTCTGACAGTGAATGGAATTTGGTATGCAGGTGAGTTTTAAAAAGTACAACACAGAAAGACAAGAGTTCTTACTGTTCTGGTGTACGAATATTTAACCCAACAATCGACTTTTTTATAGCCCCCTATCTAGAGTTAACGGGCTCAACGTATATCCAGTCCTCGACTGGATTCTATGTCACAATTGACTATTCCTCCAAAGGCTGGCTATCGGGATCTAAAAACAGTTTTAAGGCCTATCTCAGAAAAAACAGTGGCTCAACCAAGGAATATATTTGTAAAGTAGAAGGGCAATGGACTGGAAAGTCTACGCTGACGCCATATGGAATCAAGGGTGGTATACCCTTTATGGATGTAACAGATGGCGTTCGGCCCCCTATGCAAATTAAGCCCATAGAAGAACAAGGCGAGTGGGAATCCAGGCGAATCTGGCAAAAGGTCTCTGACGCCATCTTGGAAGGTGACGTAAATAAAGCTAGCGAGGAGAAGACCAAGATTGAAAACAAGCAAAGAGCGGAAAAGAAGGAAAGAGACGAAGCAAACCAGCAATGGCAACCTGAATACTTTACTTGGGTAGAGCATGATCCTGTTTACTCAGCATTGGAGCAAATGGCTACCAAAGTCATAAAATCCAAGCATACCGATGTATCTCCTGGTGGAAGCTGGATCTACAAGAAAGATGCTTCACAGCTGTAAAAAAAAATCTCGGAAGTCAATTTTTTTCATATAAGCTTGGTTTGATTTTTTCCACAAATGCACAATAAAGTACCATGGTTTTTTTTTTCCTCCCCTCATGAACTTGTTTGTTGTAGACTTTTGTATCTTGCATAGAGAAAAACATGGTGAGTAGCCTGAAGATGGTTAAAGCTGATGAGTCAACTTATCTCTTGCCCATTTTGAAGTAAAACTGCAGTGTATCGTATGATGATCATTCACCCGTTCAATGGCGATCTTTGCCATTCTTAAAAGTTAAAAAACGATTATTAGACTTGCGGCTTCGCCTTGAAATGGTAAGATTGAAAAAAGCTGCAGGGAGCTGTTGCCTCAACCATGATGGAAGAAGGAGAAGAGCGAGGCTTTTTTGCACCACACCCTTAAAGTGGTAGGCAAGCATAAAGGCACTGATTTCCTTTTAGTACAGCCTCTCGAGGACTCTTTTTATTTACTTTTCTTATTCGAGCGTGTATGGGTGTTTATTTTTTGAGGTATAAAAAAAGAAGAAGAATGGTAGAGTGCAAGCACTTTTACAAAAAGCCTTATGATGGTAATAAATTACAGAACAAAAAAAATACTGTATATACAACGGTTGAGAGATGAATGGATGAGCCAAAGATTTTTTTCGCTTTACTTTTTTGGTGATGGTGGCTAAATAGAGTTGGCGCGAATGGCTTGACAGAGTTTTCATATATCTATATCATTAACCGTGTGTTCTGCCCCCTTACTAGGGGAAGCTTAAAGGCGTAAGATTGGCTGTGGTAGGAGTACAAAAGGTCTCGGATCGAAACCGAAGAATCCAGGTTCTTCATAGGTATCGTCTTGTTTTGCGGATAAGAGTGATATACCACTGTCTCGTCGTTCGTACATTGGACTGAGATTGCATGAAAACGAAGAGGTTCTAGACATAGATTTGATAGAAATGGGTGGGGATGATGTAGGTGTAACCAAATAAGAAGAAAGATAATTTTGATGCACCATCTTCGGGCTGGATGTCAGTGAGGAGTTGCTGGACAGTGGTGATTCAGGGTAGGCTGAGGTCACGGACTGCATACGATGTTGCGCTTCGAAAAGAGGGCGCCATTGAATGGCAGGTCCCTTTGTGCATGTTGGATGTACAGACTTGATATGTCTTGTAAGGATTGTTTTTCGGATAAAACTCTTGGAACAATCCACCATTGGGCACTTGTAGGGTCGTTTTCCAGTATGAATACGTCTTTAGGGGGGGGGGTGAGAAATTGTTTTATGTCAGCCTTCAGTATATCAAAAACTTCATTGTACGGAAAGAACGCTTGACATACCGGTGCCGTGCCAGTGAACTACTGTCACTAAAGCTCTTGCTGCAATTCGGAAATTCGCACAGGTGAGGCCGTTCTCCGCTATGCGTCCGGATGTGGACAGTGAGGGCCGAGCGCTTTTTGTTTTTTTTTTATGGCAAAGTTAATATTTCATATGATCAAAACTTCCGTGCTTATTCAGTTCTTGCCTCATACCTGAATAAAGCTCTTGCCACAGCCAGCTACCATGCAACTAAACGGTCTAAATGCGAATAAATACGTTGAATGATATGGTCCGGTAATTGTACCAATCAACTGTCGGCAAGCGGGTACCTTTCATTCGTATGAATACGAGAATGTCTAGCAAGGTCGGAGCGGCGACCAAAGGCTTTGCCACAGTTGTGAAAAGTACATTGAAAAGGTCGACTTTCGCTCACAACAGCGTCAGAGTGAATCAGTTCAGAGATGTCCATTAAAGCCGTTGACAGGAATACAATAATGTATACTAAAAAAAAAGAAAGGGGATATAAAAGAGCAAAGATGTAAAATAAAATAGGTCAATGTGATCAAGTCTCGATCCCCATTTTATACTTCTTTCGTGGGCATCCCCTGCACCGTCTTCATCCCCAGTTCATCTCAATCCAACTTAACTTAGCAGTCCCCCCTTGCTATCGTCTTTTCGCACACGGTCGTCCGTAAATCGGAGTACCGATTTGTCTCTGAAAAGCAAAAAGGCAACTGGTCCGCTGTCAAAAATTCTGCTATCCCTGATATAGCCATGTTCTAGTTTGCTTTGCTTTTACATACCAGATGTGCGATACATCACTTGGGAAGTACCCAAACTTTTAAGCCATTGTGATGGAAAGCATTTTATTTTTATTATTGAGAAACAACCCAATCTAAAATTATCGCCTTTGAAAGAATAGAAGAAAGGGGACTATGCAGCTTCGCAGTTGTCATACAACACCCGCACCCCGGTGTTTATGCAAGTCCATGTCGTTATGCTTTCGCTTATTTCACTTTCTTGCCCAATAATCTTGCTAACCTCGCTAGCCTGCCGATCTTGTCCTGATTTAATGAGCTTGAGGACTAAACACCAAACATTTCAATACGCAGACGCCATCACCGTCGCCTTACTTTAGCTTTCTGGTTAGCTGACTTTTGGTATCCAATTAGCATGATCCTTGGGCCCTGGGTCTGTGAAACTTTAATAACGCTACAAACAACCTTGATGAAATAGGATCCTCATGCTTATTATGAAAAGGATCTGTGGTAAATTACGGAGAAAAATAAGAAAATATTTTGGTACTTCATGATAAAGTGATCATCAGCAGCATGATCCGTGCTTCCCCTTAATGCCTGTTCGTGCGTCTCTTTTTTTCATTCCTGTTTTTCCTTTTGGCTCTTTTTATGCCCACATAAGCCAACTTGCAATCCTCATTGTGATCTCTCTTCATATCACCATTATTGTTCTGTTCAGCCGATATGTCCATCCAGATATAGATCTCATGTAATATCTATTAGTGTAAGAACTTGCTTGACCAATCTTATGGCGAGTATTGCATACTTGCGACCTGACCTATAGCCTCGCTCAAAAAATGCCTCGTGGCAAGCTTGCCACTGAGGAAAGGGTTGGCGATCTCCCTTCTATATCGATTTTAGGCAGCTGATGAACCTGTCCTTCCGAGATTACTCTAAGCGCGCCAAATCCTCATGAAATGGCCACCAGACGTTTTTTCTTTTTTTTTGGATGTGCATTCTCAGATGCCAAATATGCCTATTATTCAGATTCGCATCTTTATTTTGGGACTTGAACCTAACATGTGGAATTTCTTTCAGCCATTATATGCCGTTGGTTGGGGAAAACTCAACTTATGAGCCAAAATTGGCAGGGGAAAGGCTTATAACAGATATGTTCTCATCTATTATCGGAAATTATGTTTAGTATGCTCTCACAAACACAAGGAAATGGAACAAATGTAAACTCACCAGTTCTTCTATTTTATTTTTCACCTCTTGATGTTACAAAGAAACAAAAGCGAATAACTAGCGATGTTGATCTATTTCATGAACTAAACGGCAAAAGCTCACTCCACTTTTCCAGATTTCGTCTGGTCGCTTTTATCCTTCGCCTCAGCTATTTTCATCGTCTCCATCTCATTGATGAACCTGTTCCCAGCGTAATATGTCAGTAGAGCTATTTTGTAGTCATAATTATCATATTTGGCAATTCTCACCAGCGAACCGACAGGAACAGGCAAATTGAAATTATCAAGAGCGCCAAAACATGCAAATTGCCATTTGTTCCAAGCAGCAACAAAAACAATGTAAAGAACAATGCATAAAACGCTTTGTACATTAATTGTATGACGCTATTTGGAGTGTAACCTGGAGTCATTATAGATTCTATGATGTCGTTGACAAGGCCATCTTTCCGACTGGAAATGGACAAACACGAGAAGTAATCGCGGCATGTGAGCATTCAGTTGGCGTTTCGCACAGAAGTAATACAACCAACCTATCGTCTTGAATTTGTGCAGTTGGCTCTGACATTAGGACGTTGAATGGAGCTTGAATTCCAATACTCCAAAAACTGGCCGTTTATTGCCTAGCCGTGACTGTCAATCCTCTGCGAGTGCTTTCGAGTGCCTTGAAATTCCATACGCCTGAAGCACCGACCATGGCCGAGAGAGTTGCCTGGCACAGATTTCCCATTTTAAAGAGATAAGGTTCGCTAGTAGAGGTCGCGCCACCGGGTTTTTATTATATCGTCATGATATACATGTTTTATTTTTCTTTCGATTGTTCTAACTTCCTCTTTTCGCTAATTAGTGACCAATCTATGATGCCGAACGGCGTAGAATAAAGTAAATGTGGGTCAATACATGGCTAAGTCTTTTAAAGTATTCGTCATCAGACTCCCAATAAGCATAGAAAATATACAATTAAAATTTCTGGTTGCTGTTACATCGGACTGATATTATCTTGTTGACGATGATAAAATATGAACGGAACGTTACTTCAATAGGATACGGACCTGATAAAGTCTCAGACGCATGATCCCAGTCCCCTGGATTACTTGTACAAAGAGTAGGCTATTGCGATGTTCTGTTCATGTTAGTAATCAATCCAGTAACAGATGAATAAGCCAAGTAAATAGGACAGGCAGCATAACTCGCCAAATCGAGAATCGCAGCACGGATGACATTGGGTTAAACTGTCGTACGATAATTCTTTCAAAAAGCTAGCAAAGGACCAGCTAGATCTTTCATACCTCACGAAAGACTTTTGCAATCTTTTTGGCAGCTGCAGGGCCGATCGATTGTTTGCAGCTTGGCGGGCACCAAACCGATCCCGTTTTTTGCGGTAGCCACATTTTACCTACTGAGGCAATGATGAACAATGTGCAAGGCCGGACACCCCAGCTAAAAAAAGAGGCTACTTTATTTTCTGGTTGCTCTGGAACGTCCTTGCTCGTCGTCTGGAAACACTCAATTCTATTGATTCCTCCTACAGCCGCTATAAGCCTCATTGAGACCAGGGAATATTCTTACAACATGAGAGTAAAGTGAAGTTAGTGAAGTTAGTGCGGTTTGTCTTTTCTTTTTCTAATATATCAAAGTTCCCAAATTGCTTATTAAGTAGACATTTTCAAAGCGATGAACGACGCAGATTTATGTTGTCGTCATCCAGATGTACCTCTTTGTTGGTTTTGCCCCCTAATGGCTGCATCTCGAGACCAAATGGATACACTTTTTAAAACGTTTTCATCGAAATGCGACAACAGTGGTAAGATTTACAGAAAAGTATTTATCCATGTTATCGGCATGGTTCAAAGATCGTTGAACAACCATGAAAGCAGGACATTACACCGTTACATCAACAAGCACATCCAACAACCGTGCCTCAGCCAGCGTCCAGTACACCGAATGTCGATCAACAGCTTTTTGAAACAAAAATAATGCCGATCGTAAAATGTAATGCGGGAGACTGGCGAACGGTGATAATATCACCGGTTCACCTTGCTGATACTAACAATAAAATTGTTGGTTGTCCATCCGTAATTTTACCAAAAAAAAAAAAAAAAAAAACCGGGCTGCTACCTAACTGCCAATACACCCGCAAACGAATATAGACAAATGGAAGTCCAGCTTGGGATCCCATTCCGAATCTTCAAACCTGACATGCGAACTCAGTAAAAGTTTTACGAACGCGTCTAATCGCTGCTTTTGATTTGAGGATTAGTCACTCAATGATGTCTGCTCACTTCCGCTATTCCAAAGATAAGGTGGATAGCTGGATGGCACGGTATCGACAAAAAATTACCAGTGGCACGCCGCTAATGTTGGGCAATTTTTTGAACAAAAAAAAAAATTTGGGCCATTTTGTCAATTTTACTGGCAAATGATGCTTGAAAATTGGTGTACGTCACCAATGACCAGTTGCCAAAAATGGTTGAATGGTCCTTGCAAATTTCTATATCTCCTTTCCGTTGAATCCTTTATGCCTTTGAAGCGACGATCTGCGAAAAAGACCGAAATGGCGGTCCACTCAAATCACAAAGCGGCAGGAACCGAAGAAGACAAGGATAGCCTGAAGCAAACCATTCTCCTGGCTGCTGAACCCTCCAATAAGAAGTGGAAGAACTGGTGGATCCGAACCATTACCACACTCATAATGATTGGTTCCTTCTTTTTCATTCTGGCGTCCGGACATGTCTGGGTCATCGTCATGGTCGAAGCTATCCAAACCCTTGTCTATAGAGAGATTATTCAAATCGCACAAGTTCCTGCCAAGGCAAGGAATGTTAGATGGTTTAAGACCATGAGCTGGTAAGGCAACCGGGACACGAGGAAAGGCGAATAGGAGACAACAGTATATGCCGAGATTTTCTAACACTTTGGCCAACTTCAGGTACTTCCTTATATCAACAAACTACTTTTTATATGGAGAGTCTATTATGCACTACTTCAAGCAAATTGTCATGGTTGATGCTTTCTTACTCCCGTTTGCAACCCATCACCGATTCATTAGTTTCGTTCTCTATGTTATTGGTGAGTTTCATTCGTTTCTGAAGAAAGATACGTAAGTTATTGTACTTAACTCATTCTCGTTTGTTTTTCCATATAGGGTTTGTGTTCTTTGTAGCCAATTTGAAGAAGGGGCAATACAAGTTCCAGTTTACCCAGTTTTGCTGGACCCACATGGCGCTGTTACTCGTCGTCGTTCAAAGTCACTTCATCGTCAACAATATTTTGGAAGGCATGATATGGTAAGCTGACTACCGTGCGAGTAAAACAACACGAAAAAGTCTTGTGCCTGTGAACTCACGTGTCTCCTTTTGTGACAGGTTCGTCTTGCCAACCTCTCTCGTAATTTGCAACGACATCTTCGCATACATCTGTGGCTTCTTCTGGGGCAAGACTCAACTTATCCAGTTGAGCCCTAAGAAGACAGTGGAAGGATTCGTTGGTGCATGGATTTGTACTTTGATTTTTGGTTTCTTGGTAAGCTTACATTTACCTGTAGATAACCCAACTCTTTCAACTCCATGTTCGTCTTCTAAACCTTATCTCAATTCATTTAGTGGACAACTCTATTGATGCAGTTCGACTATATGATTTGCCCTGTTAAGGTAAAATGCTTTATGTATGAGGAAAGGATTTTGTTTGGCGATTTTTGCTGACAAGTTCTACCAACATCGTAGGATCTCGGTGTCACCGCTTGGTCTAATGTCACTTGTGAACCCAAAAATCCCGTCTTCACTTCCGTTCCCTGGCAACTCCCTCCTATGTGGATTACCATCGCTCACGTATTGGTTAGTATACTCGATTTTATTCCCATCCCACCGAGTTTCATTATAGCTAACTGGTACATTTGGACAGACACGCCAAGATATTCAACAAGTGTGGATCGCCCCTGTTCAACTTCATGCTTTGGTGATGGCATGCTTTGCTTCTTTAATTGCTCCTTTCGGAGGCTTCTTTGCAAGTGGTGTTAAAAGAGCATTCAATATTAAGGATTTCGGTGATTCTATACCTGGACATGGCGGTATGACGGATCGCATGGACTGCCAATTCCTCATGGGTGTCTTTTCATCCATCTATTATCAAAGCTTCATCAAGGTATGTGAGAGCATTATGCGAGATCACAAATCATAGTGCGTTGACTAATTTCCTTCCCCAGACGTACAACATGTCCGTTGGTACCGTTCTTGCTACCACCATTAATAGCTTGTCGATTGCCGAGCAGTTGGAGCTTATTGAACGACTTCAAACATACCTAGTCAATCAAGCCGTACTGGACGCGAAAGCAGTTGCTCGTTGTGGAGTGGAAACACTGTTACGAAAAGACTAAACATTTTGTCAACCTTTGTATTCGCATGATCTACCGGTATTGTACTTTGATTTTATAAATAAGTGAACGAATTAAAAAGAGAAAATGCAGTACCATTATCGAGGATAGCCTTCCCGTAGTATGAACTGTGCTGAAAGGACCAATGAATAAGTATGTTTCTGTACTTTGGTGGCAGGGCAAGCCGAGACTCGATATGCCTTGTACGGGGAGTGCATTGAAAAAAAAAAAAAACTTTGAGCTGCTAGTCCGCCTAAAGGAACTTAGAGGTAAAAAAAATTCTTTTTAAGATTTTTAAAAATAAAAAAGATATGCTCACTACAGGGATCGAACCTGTGACCTTGGCGTTATTAGCACCACGCTCTACCAACTAAGCTAAGCGAGCTTCTTGCTGTTTAGTAACTTTATGGTAATTTTACGCAAACGTGCAACTCGTTGAATTTAGAAGCCAATTTACTCATTGGATTATAGAGCTAATTATTTCAAATTTTGCCAGCTGTTTTATATTAACAATTTCCTTTGATACTTTTTGTTTTAGCCAAGAAACTATCTTTTTGAACCGTACAATCGCCTTTTTCATTTTTGAGACTCCGATGTCGATCCCAAAATACTAACCTGACGACGGCCATGTTCTCTCTGCTATAAGACACAAAAAATGAACAGAAAGGGGGGTGCAACTTGCCGATCTTAACCAAATGAAAACATGGCACTTATTTATATTTAAACAAAAATAATATGGAGCATACGTGGAAATGGCGAAGCTCCAAGCGAATATTATTCAACCCCTACTGTGAAAATAAAGAGCGAACCATCCAACTACCATAAAAAGTCTCAGCACCATTGATTTATCCTCCACCTCATAGCTTACTACCTATTGCCAACGCATATTCTTAAACTACAAAGAAGAGACTTGCGCAGGCGCATCTGTGCCGCCATTGGGTAAGTTCCCTCTACGTATATACTCGCCCAAGGTACCTGTTAAACCTGCCCCATCATGACGTTAGATCACATCTACGTAGACTTGATCTTTTAAAGTTGTACGCATCCGACATACTCGGCCAAATGAATAATGCGGTCAACCATCTTTGATCATGTGCGCTGTCAAGCAAGATTCAAACGTACCCTGCTTTGAAATCGTATAACGTGCGCTGTAATACTCTGACTATAGCTACCGCTCTGCACACCTTGCAAACAACAATGTTTAACATGCTGTGACCGTCGCAATCGAAGTACAGTTTAGCCCATCACTCCATACCCATCATACACCCATAATAATTATCAATCTATAAAAATGCTAATGCGCATCAATGCATCATCGGTATTAAAAAAAAATTTTTTTTATTTAATCTAGGATTTTTATTTTATAGTTTATGTCTTTTTTTCTTTTTCTCCATCACTTTGATAAATTTACTTTTTTCCAAGTTTCTTGGTTAATAGATATTATAGCCACAGGTTGACACATCTTAGTACAGAGCATTAAAGTACACCACTCGATTTTGATGACTTTTTATTGATATATTTAATATAAAGCTTCTGTGCTATGGCCGGCAAGTACGTAAAGCATGCTGATACCTCCTGTTCGTCTCATTTAAAGACAACTACCAGTGTTGATTCCAAAGTATCTAAAATGACACATAAAACAAGATTAGTCAAGAAACATCATCATCCCATGAAATTCTGTCACTCACGAAAGATGAGCCGTGATCGAAGTGAATGGCACAGTCGAGTCAGAGCAATTAGGAGAATCCAAAGGAGTTGTACATTCGGCTAAGTAGCAGCGCAGAGATAAAAAAACTTCTGGTTAGCTATCATGAATCAAAATGAACGTCTGTATATTTCTTTTTACTTACAAATATCATTCGAAGAATCTGTAATCCAATACTCATTACCCTCGTGCTATTACAGCATCAAAAGCAGTGTTAGAAAAAAGTCAACATTTTCGTCAGTTAACAATCAACTCGCCGAGCATACCAAGAAACCAAAATCTTCAGGAGGTAGATGAGGAACAACTGAAGGTGACCATTTAGTATGTAGGCGCTGGTGCAACACGATGTCATTGAGCGTTAACTTACTATCGTTCTGGTTGACTGTACGCTTGATGTTCAAACCAGTTCCACTGGCGTAGGTCGCAAAGGTCGGGTTGCCAACACGAGGTTCACCTTTAACATAGAAGAATAATTTAGCACATACACTGTAACTGTATGTAACGAATACAATTCATACCAAATGTATAGACTGCAAGGTTACTGGTCGTGAAGCGCTTATCTCTTTGGTAAAGGTCGAGGGCTTCAAGAATAGCCAAAGCACCACCAAGCGAATGACTAAATTTTCATGCAATTAGCAAACATATCAAAATGGCAGCTAGAGACGTAAGATGGAATAAATCGAACATACCCAACAACATAGAACTTATAAGTCGGATTAGATGTCATCAAAGCAGAGGCGCTGGTATAGATGAGAGAGGAAGCCTCCTTGAAGGTAGCATAGAAACCTATAAAGGATATGTTATGATAATGTATGCACTATATATCATGGCATGGATACATCAAACTCACCATCATGAACCTCAGCACCAGATACAGGAGCATAGCTGGTATATACAAACTCTAGGTTATCAACCCAGTTCTGGAGAGAATTGGAGCCTTATTAAAGGAGTGGCCGAATGGAATGTAACGACGTTAAGCATTTAGACAATTTTCAAGGTGAGCCTCGGTATCAAGTGTACGAAACATAATGCTTACCTCTGAACACAATGTAAATAGCCTTCTTGGAATCACTCTGGAGAATGTAACCAACGTTATCAGTGTTTGGAGTCTTAAAAATGGTAACCAATTTTCCATCTGAGACAACGTTGCAATGAGCACAGGTCCATGCATCAGCTTGAACGGCTGAACAGTAAGCATTGGCAGCTAATTGTGTATAGAATTCAAGATCATGTACGGTGGAGGAAGTTCCGGTAAAAGTAGCATCTGCGCTTACAACGCTAGCAAGAGTTTTGGCAGATCCAGTATGATATGTGGAGTTCAGCGAAAATCCACCCTTAGTGGGAACACCGGCAGGTAGAGGTCCGTTCTTAGCCACAGCATTTGACTCAGAGTTCAAGTCATAAGGAATGGAAGCAGTAGTTGCCCTCTTGTCCCTAGGCATTACTTGAGGCTTGTCACCGATGGGGATGGCCATCACACTGGGCAGGAAACTTGCCACTACCAAGAGGAGAGAGCAAGCAGCTTGAATTTTCATGATCAGTGAGTTTTAAATTTGTGGTCCTGGAAAAGACTTCTTGAAATGTTAAAGCATGGTTCTAAATGCGATTGTATTTATGCATTATGATTTTTACGATCCGGAAACGAGGGCCATTGTATCACGAAATGCATTTACCTAATCAACAAAGCCATTTGAATTACCCTCCACACATGCAATTCGCACACAATGAATGTTTCCCTAACAACGGGTTTTCTCAGTTCGCGGTTTGACGATATATTAAAATTAAAGGATCACTTGACATACCCAGTATAGTGTTGCACCTTTCCTACTGTGGAGAAGAGCGTCACAGGATGCTTCTAGAAAGGAAATATCATCCTGTAACGTTTTCCCGTCGTCGTATAGAGCACTGGCTACGGTCTCGGAAAGGAAATGATCAAAGCGCCGCAATTGAGCAGAGAGCGGTACAATGTGGAAACTGCGGAAAGGAGATGCTGTGAGCTGCAGCTGGAGTGCTGTACTGAAGTAACGGGGATTGACTTTAAAATTCAAAAAACGAGAGGTTTGAGGATAGCAATTTTTCTGAAGTATATACAACTTTCAAGCTGGGTGGTATATGCGGGCCAATATCGCTAAAATGGAACCAGATTTTCATTGATCCCATGTTTGTTGAAAACACCTAGTCAGGCAGGGTATGCATGTATGTGCCACCACCATGTGTGTACAATCGTAGCTTTTGAGTACCACGAATAAGGAAATGGTTGAACAAAATATTTAATTACGAGCCACATGTCCCGCCGGCCCAGAGAGCTTGGTCACTGGGGACGGTAATGAAGTAACCGTGGTTCGCTAATCCACGGTTCAAGCAAATGCTACCAATTTTGTAAAATTCGGCGTTGCCGTAAGAGACTTTTTGGTGTCATGACAAAATGTGAAAAGTCGCATGCCAATGTTGTAAGATCGAGACGCCGGTTTACTGCCAAACATTTTCATCAGTAAGAAGTTATACCTATTGTAACGACAAATATGCCAGTGAGAGACGGTCATGAGGTATCATAGTATGTGATACGTATGTGTTTGAGCCAATTAGCAGTATGTAGATGAGCATTTTGGCATTAGAACCAAATTACGTGTACCTGAGTATTTGAAATGTGCCTTAGGCAATTGGTCGAAAAGGCACACTGGGAAGATTTTCGCCGTAGTGGACGGTATAATAGGCTGAGAAGATCTGGGTTGGTTGTGGCAGCAAAGATTGCACATGTAACACATAGGTAACAATCTCGATTAGATGAAAAATCGTAATTACGCAGTGAGTACCTTGTTGACTCTACCGTATTGGACCTCTTAATATACACGTATCTTGGTGATCATCTATGCGTGAGTATCAATCTCTCAAGTTGTCTGATTGCATGATTAGAAAATAAGCCTGTAACCTCAGCGTCAGTGGGACAGCATATGGGAAGATTACACATGCCGTCACAGATCAAGCCTGCCTACTAATAATGTCTACCAACAAGTAACCCGTTATAGTGTTGTCCAACCTGGGGATACATCGAAGTCTTTTAATTACGATCAAAAGGCGAATATACGGTAGTGTAACAACAACTTTAAAAAAAGTGGAGACTTCCAAGCAGGACATGCGACTTTCAAATGATGGTGGGAACGAGTGTGTGAAGTAGAAAACTCCTAAATGATATATTGATACGATACTTGAACAGAAGATGAAAAATAAGAGTTCATAGACCAGCATAGAACGAGATTTCTGAATAAGTCATTTGATATGTTACCACTATGTCGTCTAAACGGCCACTTAAAGACAAAGGCCAGTGTTGATTCCAAAGTAACTGGAAGAAATGGTGAGTATGTAGGTCTGAGGACAATTATTATGTGATCAACAGTAAAGGTACCTTAAATGGTCCAATATGGACGTAAAAGGAACGATTGAGTTGGAACAGCTACCCGAGTCCAAAACGCCATTACATACAGCTAAATGCAATAAAACACACAAGGTGAGAAGGAATTAATTGGCTCAAGCGCACTAATTTATGCTTACCAATGTCATATCGATCGTCTGTTATCCAATACTCGCTGCCCTCGTGCTGGATAAAGCGTTAGAATGTTTGGTTTTTGTTATACACTGCCTGAGAGCCAGTAGCATCTAAGTACTTACAAGGTATCCCAGCAACTCAGGAGGCAAGTGTGGAACAACTGAATAGGAATAAAGAAATTAATGCGCTTGATAAAGGTATTGGAAGCCGTAGAATAAACCGCGAAAATCAACTCACTGTCCCGCTCATGAACAACACGCTTGACCTGTATACCAGTACCAGTTGCATAGTATGCAAATGTTGGGTTACCGATACGAGGCTCGCCTGTAATATCAGAGATCATATCAGCCATAGTTGTATACATCCTTTTACAAGCATGGGAGCTTTTCAAGAAAATTTTGTTTCTTACCAAAGGTGTACACTTGGAGATTGTTTGGTGTGAACCTCACATCTCGTTGATATAGGTCCAATGCTTCCAAGACGGCAAGTGCTCCTCCTAGGGAGTGTCTAAGAGGCACAATGGTGAGTATATAATGAGTGGAGCTTTCTAGCAGCATCATCATAATTCAATCGCAAATTACCCAACAACGTAGAATGTATAATCAGGATGTGCATTCATCAGCTGCGTGACATGGGAGTAAATAATGTCTTTGGATTCTTGAAAACTTTGCAGGAAACCTAAATGTTACAAAATGTCAATAAGTAACGTACCTTTTGTTAATGCTATTCATGCTGACGTACCAAGATGTATCTTAGCCCCAGAGACGGGTGGATAGGGTGTCAAGACGAATTTTATGTCAGCTATGGTGCTTTCAATAGAGTTGGTTCCTGCAGAAGTACAGATCAATAAGTTGACACCGACGTACACATAATAGCAAATATTAGTACCTCTGAAAGCTATATATATTGCCTTTTTGGAGTCACTCTGCAGAATGTAGCCTACAGTATCATAATTTGGAGTATCAAATGACAGCACCAATTTTCCGTCGGGAACCTTCTTACACTGCTTGCATGTCCAATTGTTATTTTGGACGTCCCCACAATAGGTAGCGGCGGCCAATGATGTGTAGAACTCAAGGCTTTCTACTGATACGGCTGACTGCGAGCCAGAAGCTAGCGTCAATGGAGCATTTGATACTTTAGGACCAGAGGTAGCATTCATAGCCATTCCATATTTTGTTGTGACATTTTTAGGAAGAGGTCCATTATGATCAATATTAGACTTTTCTGCTCCTTTATCGGCCTCTGGGAGAGGTGATGGTAGACTAAAGCGACTTGTATCAGAGGATTTTGTTTTTTTTGACCCTTTCGCAAGAGCTGGAGCTGATATGGCCATTGGCATCCAGGTGGCAATAAGCAGTAAACAGGCGGCAGTTGCATATGTTAACTTCATAGTGGCTTGCTTTGTCTTCTAACGGCAGGTGATTGAAATGCTGCTCAATTTATATAGAACACGCACCCAAGTCTTCTGAACGTTCGTTGATGTAGGTAGCAGCAGGATGGAATGCGTGGTTGTGTTCTCATATAATTGGAAAGGCGGGGAAAACGGTAACGCATATGCATTTCGCACACACGGTTCAATTTTTATCGTGCATGCTTGTCCAACCTTAACTCACCAATTGGGAAGTTGAATAATCCGGAAACTGGGAGTACGTACATGGCACAATGTGGAGATTGGGTGCTCTCGTGAACAGCCAAAAAAGAAAGAAAGGTAAGGTGTGAAGCTGAAGAGTATCTTTTCGAAACGTAGAGAGAGAAGAAAAATAAGTTTTAAATCAGTTTCTGCCTAGCGCTAGAAAAAAAAATTATGCATTAAGATTTTTAAATAGCCTACACAGCAAAGTCAAGGCCTGATAAAATATATATCAGCGAGCTTTGATCACCCCTCATTTCTACCTACCAGAATCGATTTATATAAAATTCGTGCCATGTGAAGATAGGGGTTGACCTTACGGTATATCAAGCTATTCTTCAACATGCACAATAGAAGATCGATTCAATCAAGATTCAATGCCATACGATAGTCAGAAAATACAGAGGTCTCAGCCATTGGGTGGTGTGGGCTTAAAAGTAGCCATGCTACTAGATGATTCTATTATGCTTTAAATTAATTGCTTCTTAGAGTCTCTTGCACTATGTTTGCGGTCAGCAAAAGCACGTTACTTGCCTCATGATACTCCAAACCGCGTCCATTTTTGTGATGAAGAATATAATCCATATTTTCAATATAAAACCCCAAGACTCCGAAGAATGGAATGGAATACAAAGTTAGCTTCTCTGTACGAGAGAAAATATTACGGTATGCAAAGAAAGGTTGGACTGCAGCATAGAGCATTGTATGGCCAGAAGCCCGCTATAGATATTGGAGTTCCTTCGATCGGACTGGTAAATGTGAACGGCTCAGATCGCACCTGCGCCGTCTTATTACACAAACTGTAACCACGATTTAAATTTGCAAATCCTTGGACTATATTTTTTTATGCTAAAGTATTCTCCAAAATTGTAAGCTACTCTCAGTAAATCTAATTGTGTACTCCTTTGCAGTATAGAAAGAAAAAAGAGTCCATCGAGAATGTGGCAAAGTTTATCTTCTGTTAGGGAAATCGAGTTAAAATAACTTGGGAGCTGTACAAACTGGAGTGGGCTGAATCGATCCATTCAACAAGTCATATGTCATAGTTCTGTCTTGCGTTCCGAAGGTAGCAGAGCGAGCTTTGTACTGTAAAGATTTTGAAACATTCACTGAATTCAATAGTCAATATTGCTGTAAAGGAAACGGCAGATGAAGTAACAAAGACATTAAGACCAAGTTTAACAAATAGAATCGAGGTATATCAGGGTAAATTTTATGATGTAAAAAGCTTTTGTAAGCTTGGCAGTAGATTTCAAAATTCCGAGTATTTGGTTTCTAAATTACGGACCCAATCTTATCTACTCGTCTTGGTATCTAACCTAAGAGGAGGGGTTGAAAGGGCACTTTCCGCTAGTAGTTTGGATAACTTCTCCGTTCTCATCCTTTCTGTTCTTAGCCAACTGCTTCATGAGGAGGTTAGGGTCGTAGAAAGTCTCAAGCTGGAAACGAATGGAAGGAAAAGAGAAGGCGTTTTAGTGGTCAAGAGTTTTGTACGTTGGTGTAGCCATTTTGTGACGGAGATAAATAGTATCACAAATCGAGAGTTACTTACTTCTTCGATTTCGAATTTGTCATTGACCTTGGCAACGGTGACACCGAAGGACTCGCAGACTTCGTTGCTGGCAGCAGCTTCCAACTTCTTGCCGTTACCGAGCTTGACAGACAAGTCACCAGTCATCTTGCCCCAGTGGCTGATATAAAATGACAAAAATTAGGTTTGTTACAACAAATGTGACACAAACGAGATAGCGAATCTAGATGAGCTTACCGCCATTTGAAAGCAACAGTAGGAGGGCCGGAGTAGACTTCTAGAACTTCCCAGGAGAAAGTACCCATAGCGCGCTTGAACAACTTGTGAGAGTCAGAGAAGTCGCTCTCACTGGCCTTGTAAAGCTCGGTATCACCGATCAAAGCGTTGTAGGTGCCCATCTAGAACCAAAAAATAAATCAGTATTCGGTACTCAGCTGTGAAGTAATCTAAAAGCCCGCCTTTTTTTTTTTTTTTTTAATTATATTAGTTGAGTCGCCAGTACGTACCTCGAGCATCTCATCGATGGTGTGCCACTTAAGACCGTTAACAGAGAATCTGTACTTTTCACGGTTGATAGTACGGATTTGGTCGGCTTTGAGCTTATAGGACATTTCCTTTTCCCAGTTCTATTGAAAGCCGATTGCAGAGTTAGTACAAATATGGGATGACAAGGCACGGCCAACCCCAGGTAAAGTAGGATTGAGCTGGCCTGTGCGAAATCGAAAACACATACCTTGACGAGGTTAGACACCAACCACTCCAAAGAGCCTTCCGCGTGATCCTTTGTCTTTTCTGTAATAGAAGTCAGCATTTTCAACTAGTGTGAATCAGTAAAACCTAAACTCGAACATCTTTACCCTTGTCAAAGGCAGCGTTGACCTTGTTGTAGTCAGGAATGCGGCCATAACGCCAGTCATCCTCGGTATCGCCAAGGACGGCATTGGGGTTGGTCATAAAGTCGGGCAAGCTCATGATTAGTTGTGAGAGTGGGGAAGGAGCGTAAAGGACGTGAAGAGCAGATTGAAATGGTCTATTTATGCAAGTCCAATTGCACACAGATAAATTGAGTTTTAATCAGTACATTGACACATACATTCACTGGTTGGTTGACTGGCATTTGATCGGGTACTTTGGTTGAGGTGTGACAACTGCAATGAAGTTAAAAAAAGAGTTGTTACATAACACAATGTAATGGAATCCAAAATCCCATGCCTCGCAGGATGGGTTTAGTGGATTAGAGATACCCAATTTGAGAGAAAAAAGCGAAATGGAATAAAGTGCTCAGGACCAATCAGAACAAAAGAAAAAAATTCGAGCGATTCCATGTCCTGATGGACCTGGACTCGCTATAACGGTAGTGGACTTGTAAAACAGTAGTGGACTTGTAATACCCCCCACCAACGATGTGGATGTTCGCTTTGCAAGAGGACTGTTTGTTATCACTGACTGACATGAGCGCAAGAATTTTGTGGCACTTCCTGTGATGCCCAATATTACTGATACGAGCACTGCATCAGGCGGGGCATAAACACCATGGCTACCTTGTAAGACCAACGCACCATTTTTGTTCAACCTAAAACGGTATGTGTGGCCATGGGCACTTTGGTAGAACATTGGTGAGAGACATATTCCTGAAGACTTTGATAAAAGGCGTATTGACTCGATGAGACTTTTTATATATAATCATTTTTATAACAATCTTATATTGGGATCTATTATGCTACAAGAGGGGGAGGAGTCTTTTCCTTTTTTTTCTTTTTTTTTCTTTCTGGCTTCCCATACCTGGGTTTTATGTTACCTTCTTTTTAAGTCAGGGTAGATTTTTTGTATACAAGGCGTTCTATCTTTCATTAAGGTGAAAAAGAGGGGGTCTAGTATGCAGAAGCGTGAACCTTTTGAGCACGACCAGAAGGATCTTCAGGGCAGCCCCAGTCAGCTCTTGGGATCCATCTAACGACGCTAGCTGTGCATGCTTCTTGAGGGTACCATGAGTCAAAGATGGTGCGGTACATGTAAGCTTCCTTGGTAGTAGGGCAATCCTTTTGCCACTTCTCGTGAGCCTTGCTGAGTTGTTCATCAGTGACGGTCTCCTCTGAAACGTCCTTGAGCTTATCGATCCATCCGTAGCCAACACCATCAGAGAATTGTTCCTTTTGGCGCCAGAGAATGCTATCGGGCAAGTATGGTTTGGCGGTGGGATCGTCGCTGGTATCAAAGGCCTTGCGAACGATATACTTCTCCATGCGACCCTTGCTTCTATCACAAATCTTCTCCTGAGGATCAATGTTCATGGCAATTTCCAAGAGAGCCTTGTCCAAGAAGGGAACACGAGCTTCCAAACCCCAAGCCATAGTTGATTTGTTGGCACGAAGACAGTCGGAGGTGTGAAGGTTCTTGACACGAGTAACGGTCTCGGTGTGGAAAGCAGCCTTATCGGGTGCAGAGTGGAAGTACAGATATCCACCGAAAACTTCATCAGCACCTTCGCCAGAGAGGACCATCTTGACGCCCAATGCCTTGATCTTGCGAGAAAGAAGATACATGGGTGTTGAAGCACGGATGGTGGTCACATCGTAGGTTTCGAGATGGTAGATGACATCAGCAACGGCATCCAAAGCTTCTTGAAGGGTGAAGACATATTCGTGGTGAATGGTGCCGAGATGCTTTGCAACTTCACGAGCAGCAACGAGATCTGGAGATCCAGACAAGCCAATGGAGAACGAATGGAGCTTGGGCCATGATCGGGGACCACCTGGAGAAAAAAAAAAAAAGAGCAAAATAAAAATTTGATTAGTCACTGCGTTATGAAGAGCAGAATTTAGCAGCGTATCGTATAATACTCACTCTCATCGAGGTTGTCATCATCAGCGTTAGCACCGCCAGAGGCAATCTTCTCGGTCTCACGTTGAGCGATAGCAGCAATCAAGCTAGAATCCAAGCCACCCGACAAAAGAACACCATAGGGAACTTCAGCCATAAGACGCTTGCGAACGGCAGTTTCCAAAGACTCGCGCAAAACGGTGTAGTCAAGGGGAGTGTTGGGTATCTTGTCTCCATCCCACCATGTAGGGTTGAACCATCTAGTGGTTTGCTCAGTCTCAGAATCATAGACGTGACCGGGGGGGAAGGCCAAGATCTTGTCGCACTCTTCGTTAAGAGACTTCAACTCAGAAGCAAAGTAGATGGTGCCGGGCATCTTGGATGACCAACCATAGTACAATGTGGTGATACCAATAGCATCACGAGCGGCGATGATACGGTTGCGCTTGACGTCCAACAAGACAAATGAGAACATACCATCAAGGTGTTGAATGAAGTCGGTTCCCATCTCAGCGTACTGTTACATACAGAATGGGTTAAGTTAGTTGAGCAAATTCATTTTTGATGTATAAGGTTGGCCACACTCACCATGTGCATGATAACCTCACAGTCAGAGTGAGTCTGGAACTTGTGGTCTTCCTTCAATTGAGCACGAAGATGTCTGTGATTGTAGATCTCTCCGTTGACACAAAGAATGATGCTTTCGTCTTCGTTAACGAGGGGCTGGGCACCACTGTCTGTAAACCGAAGAGCAGATGATGAATATCAAAGGAAAACATCATATACTAACATTTCTGCCCATTTCCCCAACTTACCGACACCAACAATAGCAAGACGCTCGTGAGCCATGATATGGTTACCCTTGACAACACATCCTGACCAATCGGGACCACGATGTCTAATCCTAAAAGCGAAACGCAGAAAAGATGGTGGAAGACGGTGTGAGTCGATTTGTATTACAAAGAAAGACATGAAAAGGCGTTTACGTACTTCTTAGAAAGATAGAGTGCACGTTGGCGATATGAAGACATATCGCCTTGATAGTTAAACACACCAAAGATACCGCACATGACAATGAGATTTGGAGGAAAGTAGAGATGAACTCGTTCGACTGAAACCAACAGATCGATTTTTTATCTACTTCGGAAACCTTTGCACTCCGACGGCTGCCATTTTGACAGGTTTTTTTTTTTGAATAGATTATCGGCAGCCACTTTAATTGGCTCTCCAAAGTGATTTAAGCCAAGCAAAAATCATATCCTTTCGCTCTGGTATTTCATTCCTTGTTACTGTTTTATGATTAAGGCGCTTGATATGCTATCTTCACTGCTGTTCTATAGCTTCGCCATTATGCGATGATCCGAACGTTTCCTATCTTTCTGACTAGTTCACGTGATCACTCGTTGAAGGTCAGCATGAGTCATGAATTTTTTTTTTGATGGGTTATTGGGTCAATATGGCAAAGGGGTTTAAAGGTATTTTCTTTTGGCTGATTGTGTTCTTCACGTCGCTTGTTTAAGGTTGACCCAGACGCGTATATGACACATAATGAATGATTAGTCCGTTTTCAAGCCCTTCTCGTAAGAGTTTAATTCCTTCATGCTGTGGCCACTCTTAACTTTTAATCGATGGATAAAAATGCAAAATATTCTTATATTAGCTCCTAATGAAGAGCCAATCTATTGTTCGCCACTAATATCGGGCATTACGCTGAAAAGGCGGCAATACCTTTTCAGTGGCGGTTTGTAGAGCGTGAGAATAGTACGTTGGATTGAACACCAAGACAATAGCCAACGGGTCGATGAGAATGTGGCAGCACAATTTGTGGCAGACGGTGGAAAATTTAGAGACCGCATACTTTTGCGATTGGGTCCAAAAAATGAGATCTGGCATTTTATTTCGGCTGAGATTTTATGTGGACTATTCAGGGTTGCCAGTGCTGTGGCAGAATGAGCACCAGTAAGATGGCAGCTACCCCATGCGCAGCCTGTGACATGCACACCAAATTAAACACAACAATTGCTTTGGAAGTAATGAATCAAATATTAATTGTCACTTTGAAAGCTAATAGTGCCTCCGTCCACACAATTAATTTAAGCTGCACCATCACCCATGACTGCATGTGCATTCTTATCGCCAAAAAGAGCCTTTTCCCACCTAAACAATACAATGGAATTCAACATTGTAACAAGTCAATGCAAATCTTTATATCAAATTGGAATGAAGATGCAACGTGTGCGAAATTGTATTATAAATGGATTGGGGGTGGATTGTGAACTTGGAAAAGAAAAATGTCAGGATACATAGGGGAGAGAGAAAATTTATACAGGAACAACAGGAGCAGCAGCAATGGTCTCGGCACTAGCACCATCCTTGTAAAGTTCCAAGTTGTCGTTGAACATCTTGCCGACAGAGTGCAATGCAGTGGTGAATTCAGCATCAGTTCCTTGCCAGGCACGTCGGGGATGAAGAAGCTCATTAGGAACACCGGGTACAGATGTGGGGATGCTGAGGTTGAATACCTCGAAGGTCTCGTATTCAGCATTAGCAAGTTCACCGTTGTGAATGGAATCTAAGATAGCACGAGTGTACTTGAGAGGGCAACGCTTAGCGTTCTTGGCAGAACCACCAACCCATCCAGTGTTGATCAACCAAGCATTCGTCTGGTGTTGGCTCATCTTTTCGGCGAGCATGGTGGCATACTTTTGAGGATGCAAGACAAGGAAAGGAGAACCGAAGCAGGCAGAGAAAGTAGCTTGGGGTTCGACGATACCGTCTTCGGTACCGGGAATCTTGGTGGTGTAACCCATCAAGAAGTGGAACATGACTTGGTCGGGAGTCAACTTGGAGACAGGGGGGAGGACACCGAAGGCATCGCATGTAAGCAAGATCAAGTTCTTGGGGTGACCACCAAGGCAAGGAATCTTAGCATTGGGAATGTAATCGATGGGGTAGGCGCAGCGAGTGTTCTCAGTAAGGAAGTCATCGGAGTAGTCAACGACACGGCTTTGTTCATCAAGAACAACGTTTTCAAGAACGGAACCGAAGCGAATGGCATTGAAAATTTCAGGTTCCTTCTCGGCCGACAAGTCGATACACTTTGCATAGCATCCACCTTCAATATTGAAGACACCAGTGTCACTCCAGCAATGTTCATCATCACCAATAAGCTTACGCTTGGGATCAGCACTAAGGGTGGTCTTGCCAGTACCAGAGAGACCAAAGAAAAGGGTGACATCGCCAGCAGGACCTTCATTAGCAGAAGAGTGCAAAGACAAGACGTTGTATTGCTTGGGTTGAAGATAGTGCATGACAGTGAAGATCTAATAATAGACAAAACAAGCGTGGTAAAAGGTGTCAGGCATGTTTGATTTGATTCCGACGCAATTTTTTTTTTTCATTTTGGGATTGGTAAACTTACACCCTTCTTCATTTCACCAGCGTACTCAGTACCAAGAATGATCATTTCACCACGCTAAATAGGAGGGGGAAAATAAATCATGATTAATAAAAGTTGGCCGTTATGAATAGAACCATTTGCTCTCATAAAGTCAAATACATACCTTGAAGTTGACAGCAACGGAGGTGGTAGAAGTCATTCCAGTGGTGTATCTGTTGGCAGGGAATTCACCGGCATTGAAGATAGTGAAGTCAGGAGTACCAAAGTCCTCAAGTTCTTCTTCAGTAGGGCGAATCAACATGTTGCGCATGAAGAGAATGTGGTAAGCACGGGAAGCAACAACTCTGATCTTCTTGCGGTACTTGGGGTCCCATCCGGCATAACCATCAAAGACATACAGTCTTGGGCGAGTGTTCAAATAGTCGATAGCACGTTCACGGTTGATCAAGAATACTCGTTCGCTCATCTTGGTGTTGACAGGACCCCACCAAATATCCTCGTTAGAGGTTTCTTCATCGACAATGCGCTTGTCCTTGGGGCTACGACCGGTCTTCTTACCAGAGTAAGCACAGAGAGCACCAGCTGAAGAGATCACAGTACCATACTCATGGGTCAAAGCTTCTTCGTACAAAACAGCAACGGAAGGGTTACGGTGGATCGAGACCTTGTCGTAATCGATACCAGCCATTTCGTGCAATTCTTCCTCCACCTTAGTGTGAGGAGTAGAGGGTCTTGGGGAATTGGGTCTGTGAGGATTGAAGTTGACCATGATGTGATGTATGTGAGTCAAAGAAGCAAGAGAGTGGTAAACGATGTTGGTATTTATATTCAGGCTGATCCGGCTGCTTGAAAGCCCAGCCCCAGTCAGCTAGCTCCGGAAAGTCCCTTGGCATGCTTAAAAAGGAGGAAACGAAAAATGCGGGGGGATTGGCTCCCTTCATTGGCTCGTGCCTTATTCATCATCATGTGGAAAGGTGGTTCACTTCATCCGCCAATAAATGCCTCTCACCCAGTATCCATCCACAGCTGTAAATTAAACACTTTATTGCATTTAATTTCAACCGATCGTCTTTAGGTTGAAGGGATCAATGTAGTCAAATGCAACCATGGAATTCATACCCTAAGGTTTCCCACGCACGAGAGCATATTAAAACTGGCCTCTCAAAAAGTTCTCACGATGGGATTTTCAATATTTAAAGCCCTGGCAGCCCGCCGCGGCAAGACAGGCGGAACCAAGTCACATGAGATGCATGTGAAGAGCCGCTCTCCCCTCCGGAGAATGACGGAAGTCGTCTTCCTGCTTTTGCCTATAGCCCTTATACCGTTCTGACGTAAAAAATGCCTACTGAATTAAGCAGTGCAGTGAAGAGGTGCGGTCGTGCGTGTCTATCGGATGGGGGGAGAACTAGATATATGAAATAATACCAAAAATGGGTCATGCTGAACTGAGTGGACATTACAGCCCCTAATGCTCATGACCAATGCTTCACTCACAGACCTCCACTATTTCCAGATCAGCTCCGGCAATTTATTACTCATGATGACGAAGATTCTGCTTGTGTTAATTCCAACAGCGTGCGGCATTCCTCTAATAGCTCACTGTATTCCTCAATCTCTCTTTGTAATGAATCGCACTTTTCTTTGTGGGTCAATTTCATGTCCGTCAGTTGCCTCTCCAACGCTTTGATGAAGTCATCTTGTAGCTTGTGATCTTCTTCCAATGCCTTGCGATGTGATTTCTCCTCATCTAGTTCCTTTTGGAGCCGTTCATTGTCACGTTTCTGTTGTTCTAGTTGTTGTTCCAATTCCTGCACAACTTGGTTGTGGCGTGACTCTGAATCCAAGGAGGAGGTGGCGTGCTCTAGATTACCATCCACATCAGATGATAAACTTAAGGATCGCCTTCGGTGTGATGGTAAATTTCGACCTCGTTCAGGGCTGTTGATAGTGTCTTCATACACTTTAAACAAGTCATGTTGCACATCCAGTGTCCGTTTGCTTAAGGGAGACCCTATGGGAGAATAGATGGTTGCTGGTGCTGACAGGCGTGATTTGGGGGTTGTGACTGGTGAGCTAGTTTTTGATTGTCTGCCTGTTTTCTATCGTAGGCCATCATCAGATATAGAAAATCCCGCTTATACATAATCAAGAGCAAGACGAAAACAAAATAAATACCTTTCGTTCCGGTGACTCCGGGATCTACCATAGCCGTTATCAATAAGTGGAAACAACGCGGCAAAAACTCGATTGTACTCGGCTTTCTTACCTTGTGCAATGATTTATTGGTTATTGTGGCCAACGGTTTCTTCGGACTTTCGGTTGTCTCATGGGTATCCTAAAATACAGTCAGAGTGTGAGCCATGAGGTTTTAAGCAATTGGAGAGAATCTTTCGAGAGTAACTGTGCTAAAATCACGCGTAGAACGCGCACTTCCACTGTTCGATCCATTTACCTTTGATGAAGCGTATGCTATAATGCTTGTCTGTTTTGATTGCGCGGATAAGGGCGTCGACTGCATGGACGATTTCACGTTGGTTAGACACAATGTAGTTAGTTGGAATAGAGTAGACATTCGGTAACTACCTTTGTATTTCGGCGACTAGGCGTTAGCGGCTGCATTATTGTAGTATAGGAAAGATGGGTTTGTGTGGTTTAAAAACTTGGCGTATGAATTTTTTTTTCTTTTCCTTTTTCACGCAAATACGCGTTTCTCGCCCACTATTGAAAAGGGAATCTGATGGAGTAAGTCACATGACCCAGTGTCGGTAACTAATAATTTTTTTTTTTGAAGAAGCGGAGCGTCTCTCATTGGACATTTCGAACCCAAACCTGCGAGAATAAAAATATAACCCAGTATAACCCAATATGCCCGTCGAGCCAGCTATTCACCCCACAGCTACGTCTGACTCGACTCAATCGGACCCATCCACTGGACAACTGTCACCGCAGTTCATTGATTCCATTTCTTCCCCACTCACTTTAAAACCTGAAATGAACGTTGAAGGTGCTACTGTCTCCGAATTGGCTTCCCATGCCAACGATACCAGGGACATCGTGCTTCCTAATCAAACTGAACATGTCTCTCAGATTGCTATTGATGTAAGTACTTATAGCTCAGGGAAATCTTTCAGCGCAAGTGGTAGGCACACGGCTCAATCGATCTGTCCATCTCACTCATCATTATTGTCGTCCTAGATTGGAGGATCTCTCGCAAAGATTGTCTATTTCACGTCGTCAAACGACATCAAGGGCGGTCGATTGCATTTTAAAAAGTTTGAAACCGAGAAAATAGACGAGTGTTTGGACTTCATTGCAGAACTAGTTGAAGACGCAAAGCATATCGATAATCGAAATGAACAGGTCGTCAAAGCTACCGGAGGAGGCGCATATTTGTTCCAAGACAAGATTGCAAAACGATTACCGGGTATCACTATACAAAAGGAAGACGAAATGGAGTGTTTAATAAACGGTAAGTATTGTTGAGATGATGCGTTGAAATTACGAGGAATAGCGTAGAGTTTCGCGGCAATCCGTTTTGAACGTTCATTTACTAAGTTGCTTTATCTCCATCTTATAACTTGTTTTGCATCCATAGGCTTAAACTTCTTCATTACCGAGATTCCGTATGAAGTTTTTACCTATTCAGAAACCAATCCTATGCAATTTGAAGAACGAACTCAAGATTTGTATCCATATATGGTATATACTATCCAATGGGGTTGATTCTCATGATTTTTTCAAATCACTAACAACTACTTTTTAGCTGGTTAATATAGGCTCAGGTGTCAGCATTTTGAAAGTGACAGGACCAGATGAGTTCTCTCGAATAAGCGGAACATCGGTAAGTCTACGAATTGAAACTACAGCCCGTTCTACAGTCTCAGACGGCACTAACGCGAATATTATACAACTTTATAGTTAGGAGGTGGAACACTGTGGGGCCTGTTATCGCTTTTGACTGGAGCGCAAAGCTTTGATGGTACTGTGAATTTCATCCGTAGATTCGATAACGTTAGTGTCTATGAGTCTACATGATGTACTAATAGGCATTTGGCCCTTACAGAAATGTTGGATCTGTCACAAAATGGAGATAATCGCAATGTCGATCTGCTGGTTGGAGACATTTATGGTTCCGATTACTCAAAACTTGGGTTAAAGTCTACACGAATAGCATCAAGTTTTGGCAAAGTATTCAAAAAAGGTGTACGGCAATCTCAAGATGCATTTCATGCTGAAGATATTTCAAAATCCCTATTATTTATGGTTTCGTAAGTGCTTCTTCTTTGCGTTTCTCTGCACTTTTGCTTTACTACGCCTCGACTTGATGTCATCTATTTATTAGTTTTACTTATTTACCCTTCTCGATCTAGTAATAATATTGGCCAGATCGCATACTTGGTTGCCCAACAGCATGGACTGCGAAGAATATACTTTGGAGGATGTTATATTCGAGGTGAGTTTTCTCAGCAGTCGATTTCGAGCACTTCACTACACAGGCTAAGCCGAAATAATTTGTCAGGCCACCCTGTTACCATGAACACGCTGTCGTACGCCATCAACTTTTGGTCTAAAGGAGAAATGAAGGCGTTGTTCTTGCGACATGAAGGCCATTTGGGAGCGACTGGAGCAGTAAGTGGCATGATTTTCACGCACATGTATGCTAGATGGCGGCGACTAATTTGACATGCTTTTCGCCACTTTTGTAGTTCCTGAAGCATAAGCCAATACGACGAGCGCGACACTCATTCTCATATTCTGAAAACTTTACTCCTCAGATCATCACTGGTAATCCGAGCAACGTCTATGGAGTTCTGGAACAAACTAAACTAGAACTTAGAAGCAAAGAGTAATCTAATCCTACTAAAAAAAATTTACCTTATTGTTATTTATGGCGGCGGGGTGTGCAATCCGGCGGTAGAGATATGGTGGCAATCACTTACAAGTAACTCAAGAACTGGGTGGAGGTTTGCACAAGGAGGTCAGGTCCGATTGAAATGCCAATTAGCCACGATCATATCATTGGGCGATCGAAGAAAAAGTGGTGGCTCTGTGCCATGGACTCTTTGATGAATGGTCCAGCCCAAAACTGTCTCATTACGGCTCCTAAACCTACATCCAACGGAGTATGATGAGGCTTTCGTATCTCTTTTCCTCTCCCATAACGCGTGATATATGCATTTACATTATCCCGACCAAGCAAACAACATTATGCCATCCGTCAAGTCCGCTGTCAGCATGCAATGTATGAAGAACAGCGGCAAACTCACGTGGTAAAAATCTGGATTGTAGGGGGTTTTTTTCTAAAGGGAGGTCGAAGTTGAGATCTTTCACACACATCAGTGAAATTACTCGTGCGGTTTTCATTTTCATGTCTATCTTTATGGCCAATGAGCGATCATTTTACAACTTCATTCCTTTAGGAAAGTTGTGGATTCAAAATATAATCAAAAGTGTCGTTACTAATTTACATACCACATTTTTGGAACGAGACGATATTCTGAAGTGAATATCGTAACTCATATGGCATAGAGATTTGTGTCATGGGGGATTTTACCTCCCAATAACGTAAATCCAGTTTCAGGGTCCAGGATGCCAGATCTTGACTGCGCTACCCGAAAGCATGAAAACCCCCTTATGTTTTTGCTACTTATTTTTCGGCATGGAAAGGTACAGAATGTATCTGATTTTCGACCGATCGTCACGAGCCGTCACAAGAGATAGAATGATGATCGATCAATGCGATTTATGAGGTGATCTCTGGGAGGTAACCATTTCAAGGTTTCGATAATTGGAGTTTAGCTAACATTGAGTCGAGCAAGGTTGCTACATAAATGTCAGCAAATTGTATCCTTACGTTCAGTGATTGCGGTGTGCAGCTTGGAGTTTAATTTCTTTTTAGTTAATGGTCAGCATGAGTATATGCTAACTATTTACAATCTATTAGCGTAGATGATATCCCCAGTGCCAGGAGTTGATTATGCTGACTATGACGTTGCTGTCATAATGCATATCCAAATTTGAAAAATGTGTTACTTAAGGACCGAAAGAAAGGTTAAGGATCATCTCCCCTCTTGATGCCAAATGGAAGCTTCATATCAGCCTACTATAAGTAGTATCCAGCATGGTTTACTTGATTGATAGGGAATCAGCCATGTCACAAAATTGACGAAAGAACACGCTCCTCATGGAAAGAGCTGAAGATAACCGCTTACACTCTTTCTGATAGTTGCTTACAACCAAATTAACATGGCTATATCTATCACTTTCCCCCTTCCGAGTCATTCACTGATAGAACGAAATGGAATAAAAGTCCTGTTATGAAGTAATGCTTCTTGTTTTTCAGGAGGCGACCTTAGTACGCTCAACCGTACTAAAGTTGGTATGTGAATGATTTGAACGAAGTGCTGTAAAATAATTGGGAAGAGAAGCCTTTGCTCGCGTAAAAAGATTGAATGTTAACGACCACTTTAGTAGAGAGTATTTTTTTTTCTGTCTTTCATCTACTCCCAAGGAAAGGAATATACCTGCAAACAAGAGTGACTGCATTTTAGTACAGCGTCCACCTCCAGGGACAGTTTGTGCTCAATCCCACCCATTCATTTTGGTTCTCGATCTCACCTTCCGGTTCTTTATTTGTGAGGTTCCTATATTGGGACAACCGTAACAGGAAGGAGGATACACAAACATATACACACACTCTTGCTTGCACAAACACGCCTATACAAATGATAGAGCGAGTGCTCAAAGACATAGATTGTGATGATCCTTAGACTAGAGGATTTATGTTGCATACCCACGGTGTGTGAAAGATATCCATGAAACCACAGTGCTTCATATAATGGTGTGGCAGCTAAATATATGCAACAGGTTTAATTATAAGATGTTGTTTCTGTCATGCGTGGCAAACGCAGCTTTTGGTTTGCGGGAGATTGATATATAAAGGATGGGGCCGACCCGTCTTAAGCAGAACAGCCTTTTTGCTTCTTTTTTTTTTTTCTCTTTGCACTCATTCTCCTTTCTTCCTCTTTCTCTCGTTTTCCCCTCCCTTCTTTAGCAAAGAATCCAATGTCTACTGTCGCTACACTATCAAATCACGAGTGGGATGATGGAAATATACTTTCGTTCCCCCTCATGTCTTCATCTGCCTACATATCTTCATCTTCCCTATTATTTTCCTCACTTGACGCCATGCAGCGTCAAATGGCACCTTCTCCAACTTTGGTCACTTCACCCTCGGAGGACTTTGACTTTCTGGATAATAACGCTAGTTTCAATGATCTTGCGAGCGACTCGTCAGAATATACAAGCTATACGTGCGGACTACTAGACACGGCTGGCACTGATTATCTTGCCTCGCCCGCAGCGTATATGATGTTGCCCGATTATTTTGAAGAGCCACTTGCGTACGTAGACGACATGGTTACTGTCGGTCCAGGAGTTTTGCCCTCTGACAACATACCAACATCCCCTGGAAATCAGGTCGACGGGTTCCCCTCGTACTACAATTCTAGTCGCGGAGTTTCCTTGAAAGGTGATTCAACTGATCCAACCATGCCACCTGAACCAATTGTAGTTACAGCGAAGAAAGGCCAAGCTAAAACCAAACCTTTAACTCGAGAATGTCAATGTCCCCTCTGTCCTCGAGCATTTGCTCGTAAACATGATTTACAGCGCCACATCCGGGTTCATACTGGAGTCAAACCGTATGTTTGTCCTTGTTGTCAACGCTCATTTGCAAGAACAGATGCTCTCCGACGCCATTTTCGTATGGAGGAAATTTGCAGGTCAAGCCCTCAAGTACAAGAGATGAAAACTAAACGTCGAAAAGGACGACATTTACTTGATCGGTAAAAGGAACCCTCAACCATACCAAAAAATTGAAAGAGATGGGACCTGAGCAGCAATCATTCAAGTATTGCTTGGCTTGGCTTTGCTTTTTTTTTTTTTTACTCTAGTTCTTTTGGTTCCATTTTCTTTCGATCTCTCTTTCTTCATTGTCCATACTTGCCTTTTCATTATCATCTGCTTTTCTTGTCCTACGATCCTTCTTTGTACAGAAAAAAACTTTTTTTTTTGCATTACCTTTTCTCATGTATACAAATTTCCAAAGATAAAAAAAATAAATTTGGCTTACTTGCACATTCAATTTACCAAGACAGGGAAGAAAAAAAAAACCCAGCTCAGTGGGAAAAGCCCATTGTGTATTGCGCAGCCTCACCAAAAAATTTCCCCCTTCTGTTTGGACCAAAACCAGTCTCTCTCATCTCAATTCATGGCATGACATATTCGGTATGATTCCGAAAGCGAGAGTGAACGAAGGCACAAAACTTACTTTTCTTTTGTTTACGGTCTTGTGCAGTTGTTTGTGGGGTGGTGGTACGGACTCTTTTAAGAACTGATATCTTTCAATCAGATTGCGTCTGCACGGTCCATGCAAATGCTTGAAAAGGGTAAGCGAGATCAATGCAACACACGAAAATGATAACATAGCATATTGCAACACGTAGCATTGTAAGTGCATATATGGGAGTGCCTAGGCCGCAAAAAAGTCTTTGTTGCCTATCAACCGCATCAACTCTTTTCTGCACTGCGGCCACGAATGCTGCCTCCTACATTACATGGCTTTCAGGGCAGTCACTTCTGGCAATCAGGTTTTTTTTTTCCCTCCCATGCTGTCTAGTCTGACCAACTGAGACCAACAAACGGTTATATCAACGCACCTCATCTTATTGATCTAGAGGTGTCTTTTAATGGCCCAAGCCTTGGCAAACAAAAAAATTCATTCACCTCTTGCAAGTATCAAATACTGAGACATTTATCCACCAACCTATTTTCCCACCTGCCTGCCCAATTTAATCGCACCACAAAGGTCCAGGTCCCCCGGCACACAGATCCGCTCTACGTGGAGATTGAAACAAAAAGTCAAAAGCACTTCACACTAATAAATAGTGGAAGATGTCATTCGTTCCGTACACTTTGTCGATGACGTATTAGGCACTATCTTTGTGAGCGAAGCGTTCAGCTTGAGTTTGGGTATTAGCATATCCACACGTGCTAAACTTTGCACCCCTTCATCGGAACAATGTATTTGGTTGGTTCATGCGGAAAACATGTATTTGAGATATATAAAAAAAAGTCAAAAGTAGTAATAAAGGGAGAAGAAAGTTTGAAGAGAGAAGAAAGAAAGAGAGGCAAATAGCATAGAATATCAAGTATGTAAAATCAAAGACGTTGAATGCTATAAAAACTCTACAAAGTTATCCGTTGAATCACAGTGCTAAAGCAAAAAAGAAGGTGAAGCGCCTAGTGTAGGAGGAGGGGCAGATGTGGAATAAAAAAGAGAAAAGGAAAATAATGAACTAGTCTACCTAGTCGCTTCGATGGTAATCCATTACATACAACACGAGAGGCTCCAATATCGAGCAGAATGTAACAAGAAACAAACATGTCAAAGGTGGAAGAAGCAGAAGAATATAATAAGAGGAAAAAAGAAGAAAGTATATGGGGGGGAATGGGTGGGATTTAAGCATCGACTTGAGAGCAAGGCGAAATTGGAGCTTCCATGACTTTTTGATTTGGTTGATTGAGAGGGGGGAGTAGAGAACTTTATACATTACAGAAAACACAACCCTTGTGGAGTTTGTTGCGGTTTTGTTGGCTGGACTGAACATTGTGATAATAAGTGGAGCTTGCTTGGCTTTAATTAAACGCTTTGACGGACATCTTGAAGCGGTGGACTGCAATTTCAAAAGCATGACATTTAAAAATCCGGCTTCGCTTATCCATACAGCACAACAAATACAATACATACCTAGTTCGCCTCTTTCCGCGACCTTGTCTTTCCTTTGCCAATGGATGATCTGCAGGTGTCAACAGCTGTGTAACCGAAAACAAAATAGGATTGTTAGTTTGGGAAGATGTGTAAAAAGATAAGCCCATTGGAAACTGTACCTCAAAGCTACACAACAGCTCCTCACTAACACTCATGATTGCACCGAAGTTGTCGAATTCTCCACAATAGTTTGGTGCCGAAAATACAGTAACCAGGGTCCGTTCGTTGAAAAACTCGTAGCCGTCTTCAACAACCATATGTGCTCGGCAAACCAGGTCCAAATCGAACTTGGCTAAGAACTCGTTGATAATTTTCTTTCCAAAGCAATAACTCACTCCTCTCTCGTTATCTTCCCAATCGATAGCTGTTTCCGACGGGTCCGACCACAGTAAGTCATTAAGCAGTCCATAATCCGGCACATCAGTTGGTCGTTGGATATTGCGAATCTCGTCCATACTATGCATCGACGGACTTTAGGTGAAGCGTATGAGTCATATGTAGCCTTGTCAACTATCGGTTTACCATGTGAGTGCTCACCTTAAACCTCCATGTACACAAAAGATTTTACCAGCTACAAGAGCAGCTATAGGAAGTGTGTTGAAGACATCTACAAATGTTTTCCAGATCTTGGGGTTGCATCGGCGTTTGCATTCATCATAAAAGCCATACACTGTTGGGAGAAAGGGATAAAGACGGTTAGCTGGATAGTCACGGCACAAGGGTGAGCTGCACACCACTCAATTCTCTACATAGTCAAAATCCACGTACCTCTAGTGACATTGGCACATTCGTGATTGCCTCGTAGAATAAAGAAGTTTTCAGGATATTTGAGCTTGTAACATAATAGTAATAGGAAGGTTTCCAGACTTTGCTTTCCACGATCAACATAATCTCCTAAGAAGAGATAATTGGAGGTTGGAGGGAAACCGCCCATATCAAATAGCCGAATCAAATCCGTAAATTGACCGTGGACCTATGGAGTTGAACAAAGGGTATTTAGAAACCGCAGTGAGGCTAGGACAAAAAGTCCTGACATCGAGTGAGTACTTACATCTCCTACAATCTTGACAGGAGGAGTTAATTCGATCAAAGACTAGTCGGGAGGAAATTTCCTTGGTTAGCAGAGAAAGAAAGACATGAAGCATACAGCTGTGCCGATACATAAACATGGGGTTTTTTTACGACGTAAAGGAAAACGGTATAGTTGATGTAATGGCAACAAAGTTGGTGACACTCACGGGTTGACTGAGGAATACGTCCATAGCGGCTCGGCAGATAGCAGTGACTTCTGCATTCTTTAAACAAAGTTGCTTGGATACCTTTGGCGCGTAACCAGCTTCCAAAAGTCGGTGTATATAGTCATCAATATCCATGGTTTTTCCATTGATACTGATCATGGAGCTCACGGTGAGCTGATTAATTGAGTTGACAGTCAATTGGTTTGAATCGACATCGTTGTCAGCGGCATTGCCGTCTTCGGGAGATTCCAATTCTGGACCATTGCTGGTTGCTCCTGGCGGCGGTGATCCTTTGCGGCCTGTCGGATAGTTTGGATTAAGTTGGCTTAAAGCGCTTTGTTGTGCTTGCTGCTGTTGCTGTTGGTTGTTTCGATTATAGGAATTTTGTGAATTTATGAGAATCGAGCTGACAGACGATGCGGTGTTTGTACTAAAATCATTGTCTGGCAGTTCAAGGCGGCTTGGGAGACTCTTTGGGCGTTCTTTGCCGGATTTCTTCGAAGGATTATTACCCATGATTCGTCAAGAACAAAAAAGAAAAAAAATAGGTGAAGACAGAGAGCCTGGTTCTAGACAAAAAAAGAGAGTTGGCTCTCTTCCAATAGAAATCACAGAAAATTTTAAAAACAAAAATACTAAAATAAAAATACAAAAAGCAATAAGCGTTTCAGACGTGTCATATCACCCGATTCATTACCATTTCAATTATCATAATTGACGTGCCAAATAACACCATGGCGAACTCTCTATTCCCTCATCGATGTTCGGTCAACCTCAGCAGCTGGTTCCGAACCGAGGATTTCCGATGATGCAAAGAAGACGAGAGGCCTGAGAATCCAAGTATCAACCCGACTACCCGTTTTTATTTGTTCTAGTATCAATGACTGAGGTGGATACATATTTTATCTTAATGCCATGAGTTGTCATGTACATTTTATGGATCGTGTATACTCCAGTGTGGGCTATCCTTCTACAACAAGCGCCAACAACAATCCAACGCATATGGAAATAGAGCATGGGGTTTGTAACGGCCCAAAATCAACAGATCGGCTATTCTGCATAACTTGATATATTGACTAAATCTGATTGAGTCCTTAATATAGCTGCCCACAAACTCTATCTTCCCCATGTTCGACGTCTACTATGCGTTAACAACGGCAATGCTGGATGGAACTGCGGTCATTCGGGGGCGGAGATTCATTATTGTATTTTTCCATGTCATTTTTTTTTTTTGGGCTTGACACCACCTATTCTGTATGACGCTCCACTGCCTTATGATATAAGTGACCATGATGCAGCCGTTTTCCGGCCACAGAGCCATTCAAAACGAAAATAAATAAAAATAAAGTTAACGCTGTTACATGTACAACCAGGTTTTTCAAATGAAAAGCCTAAAACACATGCCAACCGTGACATCTCACCAATAAGCCTTACCTGACAGTCCACGTAGACGTACAACGCACCTACACTCCGGTGGTGAAGCGGTACAACTTTGCCAAAAATACCTTGCTTCTCAATAGAGGACTGTCTAAATTTTCCCATGTGCCGCTGCAGAGCCCGGCCAGACAGATATGGCACGTTGGCTATAGAGGCAACCCCATGCACAATCAACCTTTTGTAACCTCTAGCCAATCATATTGGCTTGAAATTATTATTGGAAGATGCTAGAAAAAGCTTCTCCACTTATGGTTTCAGGGTCAAAGAAAAGTTGTATGCGGTCGCTACACAAGCCCTATACTACCCAACAGGGGCGCATCTCACCACGTTTCTCTCAATAGGTATTCTGTACGTGTGGTGTAGTTTAATAAAATAGGATGCATGATTTATGGGTGTGTTTGTTACGGGGGTTGACAGCAATAGAAGGTGTGGTGTGGCAAAGAAACTCGAGGTCAAAATAGCAGTGGCATTGGTAGGCAGCAGTAATGGGCTTGGCGCTCAGTCTTCATCCTCAGATGTCAAATCTCCCGTATCTCCAAATGGTGCAGTACATGTCTGAGTTTCTTGGAGAGTAGCTCGTTGGCTAGAGAAAATAGCTCGAATTTCGGCAGTGACGGCTGGATCGATATCTTCTTCTCCTGCTAACTATATCACAGATGCGAGATGTCAGTTGAAGCGAAGATAGTCAATACGTACAAATGATGAATGATAGTTTATGAGCAGTGCTATAAGTCGCACAGACTGATGAAGTACTTACGTCCATAACAATCCAAGGGTGCCACTATAAACGATAATTAGTCGAACTGGACGAGCGAAAATATGCATACACCTTACAACCCACTTACCATGGCCTCATTCACAGTGATACGTTTTGTTGGATCAACTGTCATGAGTCTGCTAACCAGGTCTTGGGCTACAATGCGCAAACGAAGAGAAACGGTGAGATATGCTAGTGGATGGAAACGCAAGTTCCTTATAACGTGATGTCACTCATACCTTCCTTGGTAATGTTCTTCCAGTCAGCTTCTGCAAAAGTAAACTGGCCGCTTCTGATAGCTTGTGAAGGCACTATTATAAGATGTTATACATTTAGTGCCTTCAATTGATTCATTCAAGTACTGGAGGGATTCTCTTACCTGTGTGGTCAGCATAAAATGGTGGATAGCCGCAAAGACAGATATACAGCATGACGCCTAAGCTCCAAAGATCAACCTCTTTACCATAGGCACGAGAACTTGCTGGAGCGAGTATCTCTGGTGCGACTATTGAAACACAGTCAATATCATGCATGTATCGCCGAAGAAACTACAATAGCTATCCACTCTCTTACCATAGCTAGGCGTGCCGCATCGACTGGTGAGTGCAAACTGTTTATGAGAAAAAGTCGCTAGTCCAAAATCACCGATCTTAATCCTAAGTTCCTTTTTGTCTTCAAAGAGAACTGAAAGTGTTCGGTCAATGACATGTTGATACAACCAATGAACGTTCAGCATGCGAGCATACCATTCTCCAGTTTCAAGTCCCGATGAACGACGTTGTTGCTGTGTAAATACTACAAACATACTCAGATAGTCAGAGAACTTTGTTTGAGAGAAACCCTAGCACCCGTAAATGCAGATTCAACTTACGTCCAGACCAACCAAAAGTTGCCAGAACAGTAGGCGAGCCTCAGCTTCTGGGAGGCGTTGTTTCTCGTACACGTACTCGAACAAGTCTCCGTCACCACCACTGCCAAGGAAAATATAATATGTCAGAGTTTGCGACGGGAGTGATTAATGAGAAAATTGTGTAAAGATGGAGTAACATTTACAGTTCCAAAACCAGATACATTAGGTCGTCGTCATCAAAAACCTTTTCCACAGACATGATGCATTTCTATTAAACAGATTAGTGCGTGTGGGGATCATAAACACTTCCAATTTATGGTTATACTTACATGTTTAGGAAGGCCCATAAGGACGGCAATTTCTTTTTTCAAAGATGCAAGGAGTTTGGGTTTGCTAGCAAAGCGTCTCTTTTGTATAATCTTGACGGCAAACTCTCTGCCGGTTTCTCGCTCAATTGCGACGTGAACCTTTGCAAAATTGCCTTCGCCAAGTATCTTTCCAAGTTCATAACTCTCCTCAAATTTCTATTTCCGTCAACATGAATGTTAGATTGTATAAGCAGACAAAAGGGTACGACATAAACAAATATGCGATACATACCGGCTCGACTAGATTAGGAGACAAAACTATCTTGAAGACTACAAAAAAGGATGGGAAATATCATATTAGAGGCCCAATGGTGTTGCGAAAAAGCGAGGGGAGGGGAGACAAGTTAGTATTTAACTTACACTGCTGGCGTGGATCTGTTTCCTCAAATGCTGCACGTCGATAGAGCTGTATATGATCTCCATTTTTCAAAACTTGTCTGGAACCTCGCTCCATCGATTGCCCATTTATGAACGTTCCATTTCGACTCATATCTTCAATAATCACTGTAGGTCGAACAGGTAGCTTGATATCTTCGTTTACATTGTCACTTGAGCGTTGCTATATGAACAAAAGGTCTTTCAGTGAATAATAATGTCAATTAGTGTATTGGAAGCATTCGTAGACAAACTTACCCATAGAATATAAATTAGACAGTGTCGTTGGCTTACGTACGGGTGATCAATGCTTCAAACATACAAAGGTATAAGGAACAGCAGATAAGGACTCAAAGTAAACTAATTGTCACGTACCTAAGCTCACATCGGTCCGATCGGCCAATCATGTATCCAGCACGTTGATTGACGTCGGGTTTAGGTGCGCCTTTACGTTCCAAATATGTGGAAGGATAATCCTCATTGAGTGATTGAAGATAGCCCCATGCATTAGGATGAGTAGACCAGTCAGGTCCAGAGGAAGCACTATTAGTTTGAGAGGGTATGAGTTGGGTAAATGTTTTTGTTGAGTTCGTAACAGGCGCAGTCTCATCAAGGGAAGGGTCTGCGAGAGTTTTAACCGAGACTGAAGTTTCAGACGCGATACTATGAGCTGTGACAAAAGTATGACTGGATCCAGCGATGGTATCTTCGGTTTTGTCGATACCAACAGTGCGCCGTTTGGATTCGCGACTGAACGAATTTTGATTGGTAGGAGGTCTAGTAGTAGATGTAGATTCAGCTGAATCAGTAGAAGATTCGCCACTATCATCACGACTGCGTTTGCGTTCGTTGACTAGTTCTAAGTTGGAAGCATAGGGTCGCATTGTAGTTGGTACATTGTTATCGAGCTTGTACATGACATTTCCAGGAGGCACGGTCGCGTTGCGAAAAAGAGTTGGATGTGCAGGGAGTTCCAGCTTTTCAAATTCTTGCGAAGGAGGTGTCGTTTCCTCGTACATACTCGTCTCTCCTGCCGTGAATTGAGTCATGAGCAGCGAGAAATGGAGCGGAAATGTAAGAAAAGGACTAAAAGAAAATTATCGCCTCCGACTGACTACGAGAGCCAAATTTTCGATTGTCAAAAGTTTGGGCGTGGCGTATCAAGCACTGTACTACCAGCATGGTCTTTTCTTCATGCTGTTTCATCTTTGCCCAAGAAACAAATATGGTTTATCCAACCAATATCTTTTACTATTATACTAAAGGAAGCGCTAATAAAATAATACAAGCTATTTTTCCTTGTACTGTAGCACTACAAACTACTTATCAGTGTCGGGGCAATCCTTCGTTTTTTCTTTTGCTGTGAATTTTCGCCTGGTTTAGCTTCTGCTGGTGCGGCAGCCATAGGTCGCTTATTGTCTCGACTAGGACTAGTAGCAGGCGCTATGGTAGGTGATTCGACTTTGCGGGCCCAAGTGTCTAAAGCGGTCAAAGGTCGCGGCTGCTCAGCAGTCTTGATCTGTGGTGGCTCCTGTACGATTGGCATTTTTTCGAGCATGTCTCCTGCAGGTCTAGCTGATTCTCCTTCATATGGTATCCCGAGTTCTTCCTTGTCATACACAGCAACTGAGCAGTAGCCATCATTGGACGTTAGCATTAAAACATTTCCATCAGATGACCTTATATAATGTCCAAATTAGGTCAGTATGTCGAGCTAGTGCCTGTCAAATACCTTTCAGATGAACGATCCTTACCAGCTAATATCAGTGATGGAAGCGTAGTGCATGCCAGAGAGCATGCAAAGTGGTTTACTCTGCTGGGTATCATAGACAAAGACGGCATCTTGTGTCGCTACGGCAAACACCATACGATATGGTAATGCGAATTGACTTGGTTTAACGATCCCGCGTTTAGAGCGAAGTTGGTATTTAACAGGGCTGTACTTTACTGCTATAGCAGCCTTGCTATAATTTCCAAAAAATGCAACAGGCTGTCTGTGACAGTAAAAAATCAATGTTAACGCTTGATAGCATTCTTTGCCCGCAAATATGATCCTTTTACTTACTGTGTGACTGTATTTCTTGCGTAAACGTAGATAGTGTTTTGCGTATCATTGTTTGCTGCGCCATCGCCGCCATGGCTTGAAGTATCATCTGTATCCATATCCGCTACATTATCATCATTCGTCTGTTTGTAAAGTCCAGCCGGGGTGATGAGAAGTGCTCCATCATTACTAAACGCTAGTCGTCTGAAAAAGGATACAAGATTTTCATCTTGAAACAATCGAAAGGTTTGACCGCTGGTTGCTGGCGCTGTCGTCGATGGTAGGTTTGTTACATTGTCTTCTTGCATGCCCTTCGCGATGTTTGATAGCAATTTTGACCGATCAAGTTTATAATGCTTTTTAGCGCAGCTTCCAATGACGAGATTGCCATGATTATCATTTGTACATTTATACATTGCCACGGACCTGAGAATATGGCGAATCAGCACGTTTAACGGTATCGGGAGGCAATGGACTTTTCGTCATCTACATACCTGTCGCTACTCTGAGTTGCGATATACTTTCCTAGTGGATCCCAAGCAACTCCTTGTACATAATGTGTGTGGTCTGCCAACACCTTTATACATTTTTCTATACACAATCACATTTAATTTTTGTACCAAGCGTCATACAACCCTCGCATTCAACCTACTCTCTTCCAAATTCCAGACACAAGCAGTGTTATCAATAGCTCCAGTTATAAAGTACCGTCCACACGGTGACCATGCCAGGTCATAAATCTCTTTGGTATGTCCTCTGTGAGCCTAGTTTCAGTGACTGTATTTGATTTTTTCCATATACGAGCTAGGTCGTGTTCGACTTACCTCAGTATTGCATGCGCTACCCAAGATTCCTTTTCGTAATCAGCATTTCCACTTCCAAATGTAACTTGTTTCACGTCGGTGGGCTTCCAAATAATAACGTTGGTATCTATTTTGAAGGTGACATGTTAAGACAAAAACTACATCATTTGCAACATTCATCTATGGCCATTACCATCCCCAGCCGAAGCGATATATAGACCAGATGGTGAGAAGCGAGCCACATTCACAGGGGCAGTATGCCGTTTTAGTTCTGAAAGAAAATCTACTTCCACAGGCATATTAGTGTTGGCTGATGTGGATAATTCACTAACAGCTGCTGATTGAGCCCTTTGGACGATGCTCCATATCTATGAATTGCAGTTGAAGTGTTAGATTTTTATCGGTGATATGACCTCGACGGAAGACGATTGCCTTACCCGAACTGTGCCATCTGCGCCAGCAGTGACCACTCGATTGCTGTTTGGTGAGAAATCTACAGAATATACAGCCTCCCTGTCATGCCAATTGATCTCGATGGGCTGGAAAAATTTGAAACAGAGTTATTGACGGCCGGGAAAAGTGTGAATGCTAGTTCCAATTTGCTTAAGCATGGTTTTGGAGCATTAAATACCTTTGCTTTCATTGCTGCAGTGCAGTGTGACCAGGAATCCTACAAGGCACCGTGTCTGGAAATTTTGTGCTCGACGCGCCGTTCAACGCGACTGCTTGGAGTTCTTGTAACAAAGTCACAAGCCTGGGTTTGAAACGTACCAGTGCGTGTTGATGGTGGCTGTTACCATTGAACTGAGATATAGTATCAAAGGCCCATGTATCTAATTTTATTCCTTCAGGTTCACTTCAAATATCGATACACCGAAGTTCCATGGAAACGATTGTCAATCCTTCATTCGTTTATTCACAATGCCGTCACTGGACGTCATTATTTCTTGCTAACGAACAGGATATCTTCGACAGGAGGATCAAGGTCTACATTGTATAGGCACAACAGGGAATAATGAGATTGAAGATAGCATATGGTGAAGATTATCTGGTTTCAAAGGACAATTACGTGCTTATTACTATTTCAATCAGATTAGAACATCCTACCGAACTCCACTCCAGTGTCACTCAAACACGTCAGTCTGACATGAGGTATGTTCTGCGAATTTTCTAAATTTTGTTTTCGATCTGCTTGCTTTAGTATCCTTTCGACATATTCTGTTAATTTGGATTCGATATAAATACATAATTCGAATAAAGACGATGCCTCGGCAAGTAGTGTTAAGTAAGGAAAGTGGCACGGCTTGGGTTGATTGCATCCCTGTGGCGAAGCGGAGTCTGTAGTACAATCCGCAGGTGAGCTCTTTATCTGATTGGCTGCACGATCCACCTAGACAAGGAACGTAAGGGAAAAAACGATTTCTACTTCTCAAGTACCCACTTTATACTTTGACGTAATTTTATACATTGCCTAATGGTATACTACTACAATAATTATAACCGCTACTGGGGTTTAGCCGCCTTGTTGGTTGCTATAATATGCTTGGCGATGTTCTTCGTGATCAGAAGGAGGAACAGAATGCGTGCCAACATGAATCAAGACACTGCTTTGCAGCAATATCCACCACCTCCACTTGGACCGCCTGGTGGTCAATATCAGTATCCACCACCACCACAAGACTACCAAGAAGGTTATTACCAGCCTCCTCCTCAACAGCCTGAAAACGGTTACTACCCACCACCAGCCAATCCTCCTCCTCAGCAGTACAACTCACAGTCACCAGTACCGGCTTATAATAATGCCAAGACTGACAATAACCCTACATACGATCAACCAGCACCGATGTATAGCCCACCACCAGGTCAGTCCGCTTATGACGCAAACGCTGGTCAAAGTTATGCTAGTCCCAGTCAAGGCACTACTATGCCAGACCCAGCTCATTATCAAAACCATGATAACCAGTTCAAGCCAAATCATGGTTGATCTAGGCTGAAATTTTTTATAACTTCCCTATTAAAAAGCCATTTTCGGTTGTATTATACATGATGCTTTTCAATATATCTTTGTTCAATACTAGGAAATACTGGGTATAATGAGATAATGAATATGTTGGGAAATCAAATTTGGGAACTGTATCGGGCAAAATTCCGAGATCAATCCAAGTCGTCAGTGCATTGCTTGTGATCGGCATTTGAATAATCCGATATGCTCCAATCGGTTGCAGTTACAAGAAACTTGGCGATCACTTCAGCAAAGTAATGTGGTTTTCTTCGTATTCATAGCCAAAGTCTAAACCTTACTTTGTTTTAAGGTACTATTTGTAAATCCAAAACTATGTGCTCAATGGATATTAGATAGTATAAACAGCCAAATCTATGTACATATTTATTGTGCGTTAGTCGTATGCTGTTGGGTATTATCGTAATTGGCAACGAAAGCAACTTTGTGATAAATAAGATAATGCTCCTTATTTTCCGTTTATAACAACATATAAGTTAGTGATGGATGCGCGAAATAAGAAGTCTGAAATGGGATAGAACCAGTGACAATACTTATTAGCCTTTGTTTCTTTTAGCTGAGATTACAGAAAGTGCAGAGAGGAACGACTCCGGCAAATTTGATACTATGCAGACAGATTTTATATGTCAGTTGCGGGTTCTTCAAGTACATGAAGTTGATCCAAGCCAAATCTGCCCAGCCTCGAAGCCAATTGTAAGCTCTACAAGCTGATTATTAGTTCAATGTGTATCTATGCAGCCTGAGAATTCAGACAGCTTTTCAATGTGAGCAAATATAGATTGATCTTACGTAGTTACCGTTTCTTACTGTGGCCATCACGATATATATAATTTGAGGGAACCTTCATTTTCGGTTAGGCGGAATTTAAAAATCACCCGCGTACCACAAGAAACAGGGAAGGAAAAAAAAGGTCGCGTTCAGATCATCGTTGTTCGAAATCTGGTCGCCATCGATACTTGTGTGAGCTCTGCTCAGTTTGCGTTTATGATCACAAACGGTAATTGCCCACTTCTTGATCTATTCTTAATTACTTCCGGCTGCATTTACAGTCACTAACCTCACGCACACCCACCCAACGGCGCGATCAGTGGAGCAAACGAATCAGCAGACGTGAGTAGCCAAAGCATCGACTTGATACCTATTCGCAAGGTTAGATACTTACATCTTCGATTGCAGTGAGAGCAATGTGCAAGTTTTTGTGCGCATAAGACCTCCTCTTAATGAAGGCACCGACGTTAACGAAGGACTAGGTAATAGCGAAGAAGAGAAAATCAGCTGTCTCATTATTCAGGTACTCGACCATTTTACCAATTGCATTATTTTCCGCAGTGAACATGGTATCACCGAATACAATTATTCTGTCTGGGCCACGTACGGAGATGTTCTCATACGATCAAGTTGGCAGCCCAGATACCACGCAGGATCAGATGTTCGAATGGGTAGGAGTGCCAATTGTGAACAGGTGCATTCAGGGTTACAATGGAACAATATTTGCATATGGGCAAACAGGAAGTGGAAAAACGTTAGTGAAAGTTGGTGCAGGTTAATGAATCTTCAACATTCTTTAACCTCTTCTGTCTTTCGGTGATATAGGTATACCATGCAAGGCAGATCTTCACCTAGTTCTGCAAATGCTCGACACCAAGGTGTGATACCCAGAAGTCTAAAATACCGTAAGTGTCATCGACTTTCATGAAGCTTACATCAATTGAAAAAGTTTTGTATACGATTATTCATTATATCAACAACGTGCATTGCATCACCATTTGGCGACGATGTAGTATTCGAACTCATCGAAAAGATGCAGAACGAAAATCCTGGATCTCAGTACATTTGCCGAGGATCCTACGTTGAAATTTATAATGAATATGTCTACGACCTCCTTGATCCACTTCAAACTCATCGACCCATCAGAGAAGATATCAAACGTGGAGTATATGTTGATGGAGTCACACAAGAAATCATCGCCGATCATCACAGCGCCTTGAAGCTATTCCAAAGAGGAGTCGCCAATCGCCACGTCAGTGAAACAGCTATGAACAGAGAAAGTAGTCGATCGCACGCTGTTTTTACTCTGACGATACAAAGCAAGATCTTGAGGGATGGAACATTTCACGTCAGGGAATCCAAACTCAATATGGTCGATTTGGCTGGATCCGAGCGCCAAAGAGATACCAAGTCCGATAATGCTCGATTAAAGGAGGCAGCCAACATCAACAAGAGTTTGTTATGTCTGGGTGGTGTGATTAATGCCCTATCTGAAATTGCAAATGGCACTCAGCGACATGTGGTAAGTAATATACGAACTATAGCAACCACCGGCGGAAGTGAATATTAACATACTCTTATCTAAAAGCATTATCGGGATAGCAAGTTGACGTTTTTACTAAGGGTGGGCACTTATTGCTTGTGTTGCATTCTCGCTATTTTGAAACATTTTGCTGACATCAATATGAAATTAGGATTCGCTCGGTGGCAATTCCGTTACCTATATAATTGCTAATATTGATGCCTCACCGAGGGCATACCAAGAAACTTTATCCACATTACGGTTTGCACAAAGGGCGAAAATGATAAAAAATACGGTATGTAATTTGGTTCATTTTCTGTGAAGTCGAAACAGCAGCTAATTAGAGGCTATTTTATAGGCTATCGTGAATCAAAACGTAGAGGAAGATGTCCTCAGCTTAAAGCAAGAGGTATCAAAATTACAGCAGCAGCTACACCAGTTAAAGAACCGACTCAAGAATAATTCAAAGGGGAAAGCAGTATCGGAAGGTATGATTAGCGGAGATCTACAAATGCATATGCAGGCACTCATTGATGAGCTTAAATGACGTCCCTTAGGAGAAAATCTATCTTCTGTTCGAACATTACTGAGGACGGCTTTGGAAAAGCAACAAGAGGGTACAGTACTCCAATATTGATAATGCATCTATGATCGTGCGATCTGCCTTATTAATGTAATCTATCACAGCAATACAAGATCGAGACAATTTGAGAGAGCAGATAGAGCTTGCGGAGGATTTCCGCCATCATTTACAACAGCAAATCGAGGTATATTATCTACAGCTGCAGAAGATCAAAGATGTAAAAGTATTCACCATGACAAAACTTTTAGTTGGATCAACTCTTATTGAATGCCAAAGACAAAATCATATATAGTGCAACATATGAAGATAGACAAAGTGCAGCAGAGGAAGAAAACAGACTTTTGAAACAGCAAATTTATGAAATGCAGCGGCAGGCTGATGAGCCCTCTGAACTATCACATTCACGCCTTGAAAATCTACATCTTCAAAGTAAGTAATTCGACGAAGTTAAAATGGAGTTGGTCTATTTCAATCGATTCTCAAAATCATTCTGTTTCTTTTGAATAGATGAGCTTTTTGGTCTCAAAGCGTCCAGAGATGTACTGGAAATGCAGACGGAACATAAACAACAAGAAGATTATACCAACACACTATCTTCTCAAGTCATGAATTTAATCGACGAGTTGAATCAGAGCCTCAATAATGATCCATCGAATAAGCCTTTGATCCAGAAATACCAAGAGGCTAAAATTGAGTTACAAAAAGCGAATGATAACCTTCGCCTTCGCCATGAACAAGTACAGTTCAATAATACAGTCATAAAAAGGCAGCAGAATCAATTGGAGGTAATGTGATTCGTACAACTGGCATTTTGTCTTTGATACCTATGCTGATGTGAGGCGCATTCATAGGCTCTGAGCAAGCAAATGGAACAAAATCATATGGTAAGTGTAACACGGCAAACTTCTTTCTAGATGGTAGCTTCTTAACGTTTTCATTAGACCTCTCCACCAAAATCGAAAGAGAACGAGCTTCAAATTGATCTCAACACTCTTCGACAAGAGTACAATATTGCTAAAGAAAGGGCTGATGGTAGTATACGTGCTGAATAATACGTGCTACAATGAGTGTTGCGCTAACATGTGTTCTACTATTGTTTAGCGCAACGATTGCAAATCCTGGAAGTTGATAATATGCTTCAGAGCGAAAGGAAAATGCGCCAAGAGCTTGAAATGCAACACATTCAAGAAAAGAATGAACTAACTGCACTGGTAAATATTCAGAGACTGAATGGAATGAATGATGCTTAATCAATCAATTAACCAGCACGTCATGTTCAGATTCGTCGTCTTGAAGGCGAAAATGAGAAATCAGTAGCTGCACAGCATCGAATTGAGCAAGAGTTAAAAAATATCATTGACGAGTCCAATGCGTACCGAGTGCAGTTGAGCGCATTTAACAAACAACATCAGGCCACCAACCAAAGACTTAAAGAGAGTGAACGACGCTTAAAGGTGGGTTTTCAATCTGCAAAGAGAAATACAACCGCCTGTAGATCAACTATGCCTCGAATGACTTATATATCATCTCATCATTCTAAAATTGCATCGCTCAGACCATCGAGGATGATAAACGATTTGATCCCACCAAACAGCCTCGTGAAATACTTTATCAAGATCACATGGCTGCCTTGGAGGTCATTTCTATGATGAAACGGGACTTGGCGCTACAAATCAATGATGTCGCTGAATTGGTAAAAAAAAAAAAAAAAGCGTGGACGTGTTCAATTTGCGCCTTGATGCTAACAATGACCTTTCCAGTTGAGTAACAAGAATACCACGGAATCCGGGCTTTCCAAGCTTACGTCACAGATATGTGATCTGACTCTACAAATGAATTCTGCTGAAGACTATGATGCCATCTTGAATAAGGCAGAAGAGAGTACATCTCTAAAAACAACAGTGGCAAGGCTCAAAGCTGAAAATAGTGGTATGAGAGAAATAGTGGAGAGGTACAAAAGGCAAGCGATCAAGCATAGGGAAAGAGAAGAAAGCTTGTCGATGTATCGGTCTCAGTTTAGTGATCATCAGCAACAGCAAAGCGCGTTGCAAGAGAAGGTCGCAAGACTGATGGAAGAAAGAGATTCGGCCGTAGACCAATTATCAATACTACAAAGGAAAATGTCAGAGATACAGCATGTAACTGAAGAATTTGAAGAGCTCAAAGAGTACGTAAATGCTGTGGAAGAAGTAAGTACGCGCACAATTGATCCGTGCTCATGGGTTACATAACGTTTATGTCGCACCAAAGACTAATAACACCGCACAGACCAATTCCAACCTTATACAGCATCAAAACAATCGGCAAAAAATTCAGTATCACGTAAAGATAAAGCAAGAAAACAATGATCTTCGGGTGAGTGTACAAGAGTAGCGACCATCATTTTTCTGAGACCACCAATGCTTAATCCGTTTTTTTGTCTGTTTGTTAGGCTGAAAACAGCGCTTTAAAGCTGCGACTGAAAGATCAAAGCTATGAAGAAGTAACAAGAAAAAAGAGGCGGTTTCCCTCTCTACCATCGTCCCAGTAAACTGATAAGGAACCTGTTATGCCATGTATATTCTGTAGAACTACCTAAGTATTATTAAACATGTTATCGTTGAGTTCTTAGAGCTGTAACGATTCCTATTTATCTCCTAGAATTTCATAATTGTACTTTATGTCCTAATAGCACTATTTAAACATTCACAGACCCTAGCTTTTCCATGTGATATAAGGAGTGTCCCAATATTCGTCTTACGTCGACCTTTTTTTCAAAGAAAGGTTGCTGATAGCAGCAAGCTTCGCTAAGAGACGGCTGAAACAGCAATACCACATTATCAATGTTTACTGCTAACAATCTCTTTCGTCTGGATTGAATGAGATGCTTCTCTGATTTTTAGACACAGATGGGACATAGAACAAAAATATGGAATTTCAAGCTCTTTGTATTCTGACCAATCTTACATTATGGGAATCATCATTCTTCCGCGTTCAAGTTCAAAATGTATGCTTATGTTTTGCTATTTAGCTTATCTTAAGGTAAATTAAATCAAGCATTCTGACTCTAAACTAACTATGATTGAGATGGGTGTGGATCTTTTTGATCTGAGATAGCCAATGAAGGTGTTTCCAGCTCGTGGACTGCGCCATGATTGGACACCAAATGGGTGGCGTTTGGGTCTTTGTTGTCTAGATACAATAACTTGTCTTTTCGCGCATACACCTTGTGGAATAAATCGACATTTATCATTGGCGTCAGATCAAGCCGTTCGCACCGTTCGCAATTTCGATGAACGGACAAGGCTATGGATCTGTCTTCATATCCATTACCGCATGTGCAATAGTCACTTAGAAGACACTCGATCACGGATCGACCAAGTACAGGAGCTTTTGCTTGTAATCTGTAAGTGATTACAGAGACAAGCCTAGCGACAAACTTAAATTGCAGAAGAGTTTGTGTTTGCGTTGAGAATGTAAAAACTTATACTGTTCATGCAGGGATTCTGATTTCACAAGAGTGTTTGATGTCGAAAAAGTATTCAGAGTATTGAGTTTCGCAGGCTGTAAGCGCGCATCTTTGCAGTCGGAGAGCACGGAATAAATAAAATGCAATGGTAGTTTTTGTTCATCAGCCATCTTTTCACATGAACTTTTCAGATGAAATTTGTACATGCCATTTTACAACATTCGCAGTAAGTGCTTCTGCAGACTCTTTTACGTCTTCCTGCGTCAAATTCTAAAATCTCTTTCAATGCTCCTTTCAATATCTCATACTGTTTATTTAGAAATATTTTGCACAAATTGAGAATAAATTTTACGTCAAGTGTATATTTAATTTGGTCAAATGGATGACGAAGTTAGTTCAGCGATTCTATAGTCTCATTGCAACCTTGTTCCAAATCAAACTTACCCGAAGTATCCAAGGGTGGGATAGCGGTAACTATCCCGGCGGGTTAGACGACCGTACAGGTATGGTAGCTTGAGAGCCTACAAGAGCAATTTATGTTACTGGTCAATGAATTTAGCGTTGCAGCTTTCTCTACCATGACTTACTTATACGGCCGTCTTCTTTGTACAACCCTGGATGCTTCGGAGGAACTTGGGACTTGGGAGACTTGGGAGGACTTTGGGAGACTTGAGAAACAGTGACAGAGTTGGAGGCCAGGAAGAGTTTGGAAAATTGATAGCAGAGATTTGTAATGGATACTCTTGAGGAGGTGCAGCTTGATATCCAGCTTTTAAACTCGTTACTCTCACCAAATCTCGGGGCGTGAGAATGCATGATTTCCCATTGCATTCCCTTAACGAGTCCATAGCCGTTACAATCTAATTTCCTTGATCAGATGCTGACTTTACGTTTAGTATTTCTATAACCTTATAACTTACTATCGTTGATGTGTCGCTGTAAAAGATCTCCCCTTTGACATGATCGGTACTTAATTTGTGCAGCGCTTTCTTGGTGAAATTGGGATCTGTACGCCTGTAGTTACACCAAGGTTACTGTCCCTAACAACCAATTGGTGTTGAAGCAGAGCACTTGCTTTCATGTGCTCTCTCCTTTATGACATGGTGATTATTTCGCTCAACAGAACCCCAAAATTGCCTCAAGGGTACTGCGAGTAATACCTACTTTATGTCGAGATAAAAGACTCTTACTTCTGAGCTTTCTCATTTATGACATGGCGATATTCGCCAATAGATGCTTAAGGTTGCTACATCCCATAACCGAACTTTGGGATATCACTAAAGAGCCAATGTCCGAACTTGACTTTTTTCTTTGTCCCTTTTTTGACATGATGATCATCACGCTAACATAGCCTCAACGGAAAAACATGATTAGTAACACCCGATTTCTGTTGATACAAGCCTCACAAGTCCAAGTGCTCTCTCCTTTATGATGTGGCAGTCATTCCGCCGACGGAGCATGAACATCGTCTCAAGATTACTGCGCTCCTAGCATCTGATTTCTGTTGAGAAAAGGCTGTTAAATTCATGTGCTCCCTCCTTTATGACATGGTGATATTCGCCAACAGATGCCTGAAAATTTGCTATGTTCCATTACCGAACTTTAGCGTTTCACTCATGGTAGATGTCAGTACTTGGCTGCTCCTGCTTTGTTCTTTGTGATAACGAGTATGGTTTCGCCGCCCAATATCCAAATTTGTTTATGCTCCGTTAATGAGGCTGGGTATCACCTACTTACCGTATGTCATTCATCGCATGGTCAGAGTTATTGACAATATAAACAACGTTGCTCGGATTACTACGGCTAGAATATACAGTTGTGTTACATGTATAAGTCAATACCTTACGGATCCAACGTGGTACTCAACAAATTAGCAGACAATCAGACTTTTTTATTTCATGAATGGAAGAATGAGAACCAAGGGAATTGCTGTCTAGAATTGAATGATACGTCGAATTGTGCTCGAGAGTTTTACATAACGAGTTATTTGCGAATTTCCGTTTTGAGGTTAAAGGGAAGTCCCACACTTTTGTTGTCACTTTGGTTGAACATTGATTGGAATATTCAGCAAAAGTGGATATATCATCTGTAGAACTTTTAGGATTGACATTAGAGAATGCAGCTTGGAAATATGATCGCTATTTCTTGCAGCAGGTATTTTTTCCAGTTTTTTGAGAGTCAACTGGCATTTTTCAACCAAGTGTCTATGCAACGCGGATATTGATATAGATACTTCTGAAAACGCCGCACAGAGTGCTTTTCTAATATCCAACAATATAGCTGTCGGGTGCTCATCGGCATAACATATCAGAAATTGCGAATGGTCGTCTGTCAACTTAAGCTTACGACCAGCTCCTGGCTTTCTACCGCTTATCGGTAATCGTCGTTCGTCATTGTATGTTCTGATGTAGTGTTGCGCTGTCCTAACGTTAATTCCAGTCAAGAGCGTAACCTCCTTGGCAGTCTTACCCTGCTCAATCACGTAATCAAATAATTGTTCAATCTGATGTCCAGTTTATCGTCGATATGGCCCTCTTATCTTTCGTGATTGGTGCCTTTCTGTTGAGCTCTCGACGATTGCTATGGGTGAAGCCGTTTCTGTGGATAGCGTGTGGTCCGGTCCCACCATATCAATATCCATCAGAGTTCTCAACGGTACCAGAAGGTCATCGTCATTTCCGCCTTCCTCCTCGATATCCACCGGTTGACTTGGTTTTTCCATCATAGTTTTCTCATTTACATGGTGGACTCTGTAGAGGTAGAGTTTTCATCTTCACACAAGATCATGTTTTCGCCTTCAATAAATGCGATATTACTGTTTTCCATGTCATATGCTCACTATGTAAGGGCTCATAGTCCGTATATTCAATTTTCTATGAAAACCTGAATTCGCATTTAAGGCTACCTAGGCAAAATATGGCTAAAGTTTGCGTATACAAATCAAAGGATCTGCGCCAATTATTTTGAGAAAGACTGTATGTATGCACCTATGTATCTTTGCTGGATATCACGTGGCAGTAATTGCGCACAGAAAGGAAAGCAAGAACTCTTCCTGCTTGCTTTTCAATTTGCCTCACCTCTCCTAACCCATCACCATTTAGACAATTCTTGTACTGAAATTTCACTCATGTCTAGAGATTATTGCAATGAACCTATTTCCTCAGAGTCCTCTGTAAAGGAGGCTTCTCACGAGAGCACGCCTTCCACAACACCAATAACCTTTTCACCCAGCGAACCGAACGTGCCTCCACCATCCCCAATGACAAAGGTCGGTACTCCTAATGAAGGGGAGCGATATTATAACTCTGGAAATACGTCAAGGGGCTCAGAATCCAAAAAGAAGCTCTTGAGCAGTGAGTCCTTTGAAGGTACGTATCTTTCTATCCACGGCGGGCGGGTCTATAATTTTTCCCCCACTTATGTTTCCTCCGAACCTCATAGACCTAGTCAGTCTGCTGAAAAAAGTACAAAATCAAAAGCAGGACAGCTAGCTAGTAGCGTTGGAATAATTCAGAAGTATAGTCTCATATAAGCTGCATCTTTTATCTGTAGAAACCCAAAAAAAAGAAACCATCAACAACATCTTTGCAGTGGCACAGCTTTTGCAATCATTATCAACTCAAATTCCTCAACCCACAGCATTAAAAAAACAATCACGTGATAATTTTGTGTAAGGTCACGTGAGTGCCTTATTATTTAAGAGTTGAAAGAGAACTGTCTTTTATTGAATAAACAAACCGGAATCCATGGTTGACCGGTCATGTGACTGTCGGACATGACATTTGAGCATCATTTTTTTCTTCCCATTTCCTTCGTTGCTTATACTGTGTCCTTTGTTTGATCAAGACAACAATAATACAAAATGGATATGGATGTAGAAGCAATGTTAGAGGCTCCGTATCAGGAGAAACCTCAAGCTGATGAATCCCATTTGCAGCATTCCAATGGACGCTCTGACTCTCGTAGTAGAGATGACCATAGAAGGTTGGCGCAGTTCAATTATAATGGATGCTAACTGTCAACTTATTCCTGACCTATAGCTAACTCTTTCATTTTCCTCTTTCTAGTTCATCTCGACATTCAGGTTCCTCAAGGCACGATCATTCAGCATCTCGTTCTCACCGTGATGATTACAGACCACGAAGCCGTTCTAGACCTAGCAGTCGTCGACACCGTAGTCGCTCTAGAGATTACCCAAGGTCCCGATCCCGTGAGAGAGATTATTATAATTCCCGTAGAAGATCTAACTCCAGAAGTCGAAGAAGAAGAAGTAGAAGCCCACGCAGACAGGATCGAAGCCGTGAGCGCTTTGAGTAAGCATCATTGTATTGAATCGCATTGAAGTAATAGTCTTCACCATTAACCCTTCAATCTCTTTAAGCCGCCGCAGACGTAATAGATCAGCTTCTCCACCAATACCGGAAGAGGAACGTGATAAAAGGACGGTGTTTGTGACTCAACTTTCGGTTCGTCTTGAATCTAGGGAACTGGAAGAATTCTTCTCCCAAGCAGGCAAAGTCCGAGATGCGAAGATCATCATGGATCGTAATTCCAGACGCTCTAAAGGGTACGTGAATGACTTGTGTTTTACCCGAGAGCATATGTAGCCATCTTTAACACCTCTTCTGCTTTTAGTGTTGGGTACGTCGAATTTTATGACGAAGCTACTGTTCAGAACGCATTGGCAATGTCAGGTCAAAAACTTTTAGGTATACCAGTTGTGGTCCAAGTAACTGAGGCTGAGAAGAATCGTTTAGCAATGCAAGCCCAGAACGCGTACGTAATCCCTTACGTTTTCCTCCAATTTTTTTTTTACCTGAGCTAATACGTTTTTCCTATCTAGTGCCTTTGGACATAATGACATTTCATATCATCGCCTATATGTTGGGTCCATTCATTTCAAGCTTACTGAAGATGATCTGCGACAGATATTTGAGCCATTTGGCCCTATTGATTCTATCAATTTGCACACAGACGAAACTGGTCGATCTAGAGGATTTGCTTTCATCCAGTAAGTATACCAGTCATTTGGCGATTCGGAGATGATATGATTGTTAATATCTTAAATTAGGTTCCGCAATGGAGCCGATGCAAAGCAAGCTTTAGATAAGATGAATGGCTACGAGCTTGCAGGACGTAATGTAAGTAAACTGGAAAAGTATTCGAACATATTACTTGTGCACATTGACAACCAAATTTTTTCTTTTGGTTCCCTTCTCAGTTGAGAGTTGGTTTAGTAAACGAGAAGACCGGCACTGGTGGCAACTATACTCTAGATGAAGAAGGTAAGAACTTTCTTGTCTTCTGCTTGACATTGGTTATACACATCTTTAACATTACTTTATAGAAACATCTGGCATTTCATTGAATTCCACTTCTAGAGCAGAACTTATGCAAAAACTGGCGGCCAGACAGGCTGATACCTCGCCTAAAGCTCCTGCATATAAGCCTACTCCAACGCCGGCGCCGTAAGTACCATGATGGATAATATGAGCTGTCTTGATCTACCTTTGGTTTAACATTCTTCCTCGTTCTGTTTAGTGCAAAGGTCAACGTTCCAACTGCGGCGGCTACGCGTACCATTATGCTTAATAACATGTTCAACCCTACAGAGTATGTATATTCGTGCTGTCCTAACGCTCAGTTCCTAGATTATATACTAAGTGTTTGTACCTCTTTCACAGGGAAACCGAACCAAACTGGGTGCAGGAGCTTGAAGCTGATATCAAAGATGAATGCAGTCAATATGGGCAAATCTCCCACGTCAATGTTAACGATGATTCATTGGTATGTTTACTTACAACTCCGCTTTCCATCTCACCCTATCCAGCCTATTGCTAACTGTATGTGCACTTATGTAGGGTGAAGTGTTCTTGAAATTTGACAATGTATCAGCGGGTGAGCGTGCTGTGAAGGCGCTGAACGGGCGTTGGTTCGGAGGCAAGCAGGCAAGTGCTTTTTCAACGTTATTTTCCAGTCCCTGTCCTTCATTTCATCTAACCTGTCCTTCAAACCACAACAACAGATTACAGCTACGTTTGTACCTGAAGCAATCTATAATGCTCGATTTTCGCTTTAGGATCCGCTGATAACAACGAAACATCGCAACGTCTTATACTTCCTTGCTGGCAATGGTTAAAAATTTCCCCTCCCTTTCCCCGAAAGCAAAAACGTTTTTCTTTGTGTCATCATTCTGTTTTTCAATAGGTTCATGAAAGTATTCTCTCCAAAGGAAAGCATGCCAGTGAGTGGTAATTTCACAAGGGTTTAACTATTTTTCTTTGGCTTTCCTTTTGCGCGATGGATTTAAATAAAAAAGTAAAAGTGTTGATTTACTCTCTGTACAGACTGCGTGAAATTCACAGCAGCTTTCTTACTTCTGGTCCTCCAAACCACACATCTTGCCATAGGACAAAAAGGTAAACCCCGCAGATATTCATGGTCTGACTTGTTGCTTCGCGTTGTCTTGCGCTGCTTGCTCACAGTACACCTTGTAGTCCAGTTACGGAAAAGGTCTGGTAAGGGGTTAATAGCATGCTGAGGGCCCACAAGAAGTATTACCAAAGTGGTGGCTTCTGCACATCCATCGCCTAATTGGCTGGGAGCTGCATCAAGTTCGTCTCATCCTTGTAAACACAAAACGTCTATTAATGCGTACAGTAACTGCATTTTGCTTCGAACTAACGATTATGTTTTAGTCCGAAGTACGGCTGACGCTGAGTTCCATCGACATAGTGATTAAATCAGGATGCGTATTTGTTGACTTGTAGTGTGGTGTAGTATTACTGTGTTTTGATCATTAGATTTGACCATCTTAATTATCAAGCGCTAAGCCTGAGGTTCAGCAGAGGGATCTTCGCCTGCTGTGTCACTTCCCCATATTTCCGGTCCAAGCAAAAAAAGATAAACCATCTTGCAAGACGGATCGAGTTGAATTTCGTGTATTGCCATTGTGGTTTTCATCCGTTTTTCTTACCCTCTATTACGTTAATAGTTATATCGCCACTAATTTCTGATGCTTAATGTGCTGTTATCCATTGTTAAAATACGTGTTGGCAGCGTGAATGCTCCTAGGTAAGCATCTATTGGTTGTAAACGGAAACATTCTATGAACTTATCGGGTTTGGGACTTTCTTTTTAGGATTGGATCAGGGAGTAAACGTGCGGTAAGGGTTGCTGTTGAAGCCCTTTTTTTTCGAGAAATAAGTTTTATTGCTCTTGTTGAAAGGACCAGTCAAAAATGTGATAAGCGCTGCCGAGGTAGACCATATCGTGGCTCGGGTATCTCATACATTTATTGGTCCATGCGGTTATATGATAGCCTCATGTCGTCACACCGGAGGAGACCGCAAGGCGCATTGACAAGTTGCCACATGTATATTCTACTATTTCAGTTTTCGACATTCTAAACGACTAACCAGATGGACTGATGCCATCTTGCCTGTTAGTCATACCACTTCACAAGCTATTTCGCAAGTTGGCAGCAAGCTTGAAATTTGCTACTGTCACACACCGATGAAAAAGCTAACATGTTGCTAAAATGGCGTAGGATCGACAGCGACAGCTCAACGGAGCTGGCCCAAAAAAAATATTTTTTTTTCTTCAGCAATCATCAGCACTTCCCCTTTTCCTTTCCCCTAGCCACCCGTCATCATCTACACATCCTGAACAGCAGAATAAGGTAACGGAAAGGTTTGAAAAACTCGTGTTATGCTATTCCATTCATGGGTGATCTACTTTTACTGGAACGCCAAGTTTTATACTAGGTCTCTATCGTTCTATATGGTACCATTTCCTATATTTTACTTCTAGACTTTCCTTATAGTTCCAGTGTACATTTCGTCTTAATCTGCCTACTGTTTCACTCTCGAGGCACACAAAGATCTAGTTCCCCCACAATATAAGGCAGAGTCCACCCCCTCATCTCATCGCGTGATGAATTGACAGACTTTATTGCTTGTATCACCTCTTCAGCACGAGCAAGCTTATCTCATTTCTTGTATTGATTTATTTATTGATTTATTTTTTCTTTTTCTAACTCCTTTTTTTTCCCATTTCAACGCATCCCATCTCACCAAGTCGTGTGGCAGCTGCCTTTCTTCTTCTATCCTCTCTTTGCTCGTCTCCCTAAAGGTGTCATTGCCATATTACATCTCTGTCGACCATTGTACTCTCACGGCGTCTGATCGACATCAAGTATTCTTTTATGATATCCTTGAATGGTCCTATGAATTATGACATTGTTTATCCATTTTCGCCGAATCATGATGAACCGTATCCTCAAAGAGAAATGCATTTACATACAACAGTAAACCAACACGACCCATTGACGAATATGTTCACCACTCGCGCTTCTGGTTATTATCCACCAGCTGGTGATTTACGAACCAACGTTTACGCTCTACCCCAACGTGCGCTTGGCCGGCAACCATCTCTTTTACCTTCTCAGTCAAATTCTATGAAGGATATACCCGACTCGTATGAAATATATGAAACTAAAGATTTTGGCCTTCAGCGAAGATTTTCCGCAAACGATTTTGAACCACGGCCACGACAACTCTCGCGCTCCACTGATTGTATATTCGACCCTTTACCAACGTATCACGCTGGTTCAGTGCCGGAAGCCCTGCCATATGAAGCTTCCTCTTCGTGTTATCATGATCAAAATCGTATGAACAGTGACGATACTAGCAGTACCAGTAGCAGCATTGGAGAAAGGTAAAAAAAAAAAAAGCCTTCTTTCAAAGGGCCATGACGCCGAATTTCTTTGCGTGATAGAGTGAGGATAGTAAAACGCTGTCTCTATTTTAGCCGCCGTCCTATGGTTACCTCAAGGATGACAGCCATGAGCAATAATTCATCAAGACCTGGCGCATACGACGTTCATTACAACCAAATCACCCAAACCCATCTACCTTCACAGCCTCCGACTCCTGTTGCAGGACGATGGAGATCCAGCACCTGCTCAACTGATGCGAATATATGCGATATGCTTTACGAAAAAAATTCCTATGCTGACGAAAATGCATTAGGTCAACAGCTGTATGTAAACAGAAATAGCGGTGACACCTCGATATATATGAGTTCTGAACACCTCCATTTGTTGTCTAGAACGGCAGCTAGCTCTAATAGCCATGCAACTGGTATTTTACCACCATCATTGGCAGGTCATAGCGATCCTATTGTTAGCAATATATCAAAGTCTCTTAGTAATGATTCAAGGCAATGTCTTCCTGGTGCAGGTCTTATGTCAAGCTTCAGTACCAAGGCTAATTCAACCGTGCCCAAGCGATACAAATGTACTGTTTGCACTAAAAGGTTTACGCGTCCCAGTTCCTTAACCACCCACATGTACAGCCACACTGGCGAGGTAAAAAAGAAAATTTCTGCATGGGCATTGTACAAATTACTACTATCCAAACCTCCTCGTTCTATACTAACTATTTTGCCTTCACTTGTCTTTAGAAACCACACAAATGCCCAGTATCATCATGCGGCCGTCGATTCTCGGTCGTCAGTAACCTTCGCCGCCACATTAAGATTCATGAAACGGACAAAAGTCATTAGTTCGTCATACCTTCGACCCTTCTGCACTCTATAACAAAATGATAAAACAAGTATCATACTTGTATGATTCCTGGCATGTACCAAAAGGAACTCATATTTTTTGCATCTATTTCATGTCAAAAAGATCTCTCTATGTCGCTCATATTTCTTGGCTAGATACCGGCAAGGGCTGGATACATCACCAGCAATTGCAATTTTTTCTTTTAAATTTTCCCATCAATTTTCTTTTTGTTTAATACTTTCACATCTGACAAAAAGAGCCTGCTCTTTAGTCAGACAGTTAGGCTTTAGCGAAAGGCTTATGGTATGCTCCTTGAGGAGTAGGCATGCTGTCATCGCGGGTTTCATGCTTCTCTCCCACCTCTACTCTTTTTTCCTATTTTTCGTCCACTGTCAAAATGCTGTAAATTTTTCGTTCTCTGTTCAAGTCATTATACCATCAAAAGTCTCCCTCTCTCAAAAAAAAAAAAAATTCAATAAGAATGCGTCAAAATATATTTCAAAAAGATATCGGACAACAATGTATTTTATTGTTCAGCCGGAGCATCTTGTTTAAATGGGGCTCGAGGTGTATTTTTGAGTGAAAAATTTACTGTTGGGCAGCAGCACGGCGACGGTCACGCTCCTCAGAAATGGTCAACTTGATACCCTTCTGCTTGGGAAGAGAGATCCAGGGCTTGTTACCTTGGCCAATGACGAAAACGTTGGACATACGGGTAGCGAATTGACGGTCAAGGGAATCCTTAACGTGGACAATTTCGAAACCACCAATATGACGTTCACGGTGGACGATGACACCAACACGACCCATGTTACGACCTCCAGTAGCCATGCAGACGTTGCCAACTTCGAACTTGATGAAGTCGGTGATCTTGGCGCTCTCAACATCGTAACGGATGGTGTCGTTAGCCTTGATCAAAGGATCGGGGTAACGGATGGTGCGGCCATCGTGGGTGATAACGTAGGGGATACCCTTAGCACCGAGTTGGACCTTGCGGACCTTGCAGAGCTTGTACTTGGACTCCTCCTCAGTGATGCGGTGGATGGTGAAACGACCCTTAACATCATAGATGAGACGGAATTGCTCACCAGTCTTCTCAATGGAGATGACGTCCATGAAACCAGCGGGGTAGGTGCTGTCAGTGCGGACCTTGCCATCGACCTTGACGAGACGCTGCATAAGGATGTTCTGGACTTCCTTACCGTTCAAGGCATACTTCAGACGGTTACGCAAGAAGATGATGAGGGGAAGGCACTCGCGGGTCTTGTGGGGACCAGCGCTGGGCTTGGGAGCATAGGAACCTGTAAAGTATAAACCGGTTAGCAAGTTGTTCGATCATCGAAGTAAAACTTTTTTTTTTCAAGCATTGATTCCCCTTAAAGATAACCAATGATGAGCCTATCCTTCAGATACTGCTCAAATTCGGTACTAGAAGGTGCCGTTGAAAAAACGAATATAGAACGAAATCGTACCCAACAACTTGTCGAGCATCCAGTGCTTGGGAGCGTTCAAACGCTTCATGTGCTTCTTAGGTCCACGAGCCTATTAAAGTGCAAGGTAATCAGTACATATCGTTTCAATCAGAAGAAAAACTAAAATGGCAGTGTCGAATGCATTGTTGAAGACATAGAATGTTGCGTCGGATTTTTGCAAGAAAAAGTCGCCAATGCAGAATGTACTTGCAAATGTTGATTGCTTCGCTAAAACCGATCGATCGAATCATCGGTAATCCATCCATCCATGTACGGATGCATTCATCTATGTCGCTTCGTTGCCAATATCTTATCCACATCACAAACTTTTGTTATGTACGAACCATGTTAAAAAGTAAAGAGGAGGAGCCTTCAGCTGCAGACTCTGTGCCGAAGGAAATGGCTAAAATTTACTACTCCGACCTTTGGGTTTCTGAGCACCAAAACAAAAGCACAAAAAAAAAGTACAGCCGCTGTGAGTGTAACTAATATATGTCTAGCCATAAACTCTAGCTATCAGAGCCTTCCAACAACGACAGGACACAGACATAACTCATAGAAAATGGATTGATATCAACTGGAACAACCAAAGTGTACTTCTAACATCCTATTTTTGACTGAACAAAAAGGTATGCATTTTAAACTCAGGTAAAAGGCAAGTACAGTCTCAATAACGCACCAGAAAGTTTTATACACTGTTATTTACCTGGAACACAATATAGGTGCACTCGGTTATAACTGGAAATGTTCATGATAGATGACTAACAGCCTCCTCTGGTTGAATCACTGCCCTTTCTGCTGGTGGCCAACCACCCCCTCTGTCCATGACCACTTGAAATGAAACGTTGCAATATGAGACAGAATAAGATTTTGACAGTTGATGTTGAGGTGTTGCTCGTTGTGTAATCTCAAAAGTGTAAGGTACCCTGCTAATAATGGTGATAATGTGACTGACTTTATCTTTCTCCATCCCTTACTGCCATTATCTTCTTTATCACAAGGCTACCATCGAATAGAAAACAGACTGTTACTTTTAGCTAATGCTGTGCGTGTTTAAAAGGACTGGGAGACGCAAGTTTTATTTTTATGAGTAAATAACGTTGGGGCGGATCCATGATATTCGATGGTATGGCTAAAAGCAGAAAAAAATTTATTGCGGCCGACGCAACCCTACTCACTTATTCCGCTTTCCAAACACGAGACATGGAGTCAAAGAGCCAATCTCACCGTCTTGGTCAATTCAAGAACAAGTCCACCTTCAAGACCGATGAAGTCAGACGCCGACGAGAAGCTCAATCTGTCGAGATCCGTAAACAGAAGCGAGAAGACAATCTTGCCAAGCGCAGAAACCTCAATGCCATTGGTAAAGAGGACATGTCAGAGAGCGAGGATGAAATGGAACAAGCTGTAGATCTTCAGGTAAGAATAATAACAACAATTTCGGAATACGTAACCAACCATGACAGCATGGCCTTGTCATGGTTGAGCTTACGTGGGACAGGTTGCTTTACTACTGGCTTCCATGGCAACGTGGGGCTGGCATGGCGACCTGGCCAGATCATGGTATCACCGATTGACCGATCTACTTGCAGCTTCGCGAGATTCTCCCCCCAATGATTGCTGGTGTGTATTCAAATAACATTGAGCAACAATTGGACGCTACCACCAAATTCAGAAAGCTGCTCTCCAAGGAACGCAACCCTCCCATTGAAGAGGTCATTGCCTGCGGCGTCGTTCCCAAATTTGTCGAGTTCTTGAGATCTCCTCATTCATTGATTCAGGTAAGTGATAAACCATCCACTGTATGTACGTGAATACGCGTGGACTAAGACTTATGCTTTTATCATTGATAGTTCGAAGCTGCATGGGCTCTCACCAATATCGCTTCAGGCTCGTCGCAACAAACTCAAATCGTGATTGAAGCTGGCGCTGTCCCCATCTTTGTTGAGCTCTTGAGTAATCCTGTTCCCGATGTGCGCGAGCAGGTAAGGAATCTTTGTTTTTGTTTTGAGTACTGTCGATTTCTTATTGACTGACGATAATGACAACTCATAGGCTGTTTGGGCTCTCGGTAACATTGCTGGTGATTCACCCATGTGTCGTGATTTTGTGTTGCAATGCAACATTCTACCTCCTCTCCTTTCCCTTTTGAATGAGCATAACAAAATCTCCATGCATCGCAATGCCACCTGGACTCTTTCCAACCTTTGCCGAGGTAAAAATCCTCAACCTGATTGGTCAATGGTAAGTCTCGGCTTTTCTAAATTACTGCGTTAGACCATTTGCCTCTAATACTAAATCACCTGGTCTAGATCTCACCTGCACTTCCGGTTCTGTCCAAATTGATCTACTCCAACGACGATGAGGTTCTGATCGATGCTTGCTGGGCTATCTCGTATCTCTCCGATGGACCTAACGAAAAGATTCAGGCAGTGGTTGAATCAGGTGTATGCCGACGCCTTGTCGAGTTATTGATGCACAGCTCGACCAGCGTTCAAACCCCAGCACTTCGATCTGTTGGCAACATCGTTACCGGTGATGACGTGCAAACTCAGGTCATCATCAACTGCGCTGTTCTTCCTTCCCTGTTGAGTTTGTTAGGCAGTCCGAAGGAAGGTATTCGTAAGGAGGCATGCTGGACCATCTCCAATATCACGGCTGGTAACGCCGCTCAAATTCAAGCTGTGATTGATGCCAACATCATTCCACCCCTCATTCATACTTTGGCAACGGCAGACTTCAAGACCAAGAAGGAAGCTTGCTGGGCCATTTCCAATGCTACCTCTGGTGGCTTGAACAAGCCTGAGCAAATCAAATACTTGGTTTCTCAAGGTTGCATTCGCCCACTTTGCGAATTGTTGACTTGCATGGATAACAAGATTATTCAGGTTGCTTTGGATGGATTGGAAAACATTCTCAAGGTTGGCGAAATGGAACGTGCTAATGATATGGATAACATCAACCGATATGCTGTGTACATTGAAGAATGCAACGGCATGGAGGCTATTCACGCTCTTCAAAATCACGATAATGAGGAATTGTATAAGAAGGCTTACCATATCATTGACAAGTACTTTGTTGCTGATGATGACGATGTTGAGGATAGTGATTTGGTACCAAAGATGGATGAAGCCTCAGGTGGTTTTGCCTTCCAACAGAATGTGAATCTTCCACAAGGAGGATTCCAGTTCGGTGGATTTGGGGCTCAATAATCGATTCCAGCCCAGACAACCCATCTTATTTCAACAACACTTTTCTTACCGAGACGCATATACTTTGAATTCTCTTGTCTCATTTCTATTCGTCTGCCTCTTTCTCAAAACACCCGTTTCTATTTTTTTTCTTCGTTCTCGAACCCTTCTAAACTTTCATGCTAAGGTTTCCTTTTCCAACATAATGACCATCTCTGTCTTCTTCATACCTTCTTGTGCTACTTCGTTTTTGTCTACCCCCAAACCTTCGTCTACATCCAATTTGAGCCTCTCCCAATACACCATTATTCCCAACCTTTTTTCTTTTGCCCCCTTTTCCCCCTCTTCTAACAAACCCTTTTTTCCTGATACATATTCAAATCGAAATAAAGATCTCAATCCTGAATACTGACTCTATACATTTTAGAACGTTTTAATAAGATTAGAGGTATCAGCACGAAAGGCGGTACCCGTCGTCAAATATGCTGTATAACGTAAGGTAGGTATCAAAGGGGGTGGGGTTCGTCTACAACTCTGTCAATCTAGGAGAAATAATTATTTTGCAGCATTCTTTCTTGCCTCACGACTAGCCTTAATGAGCGGTGCAAGGCTTCTGAGTTTGTCAGCCTTGGCAAGGAAAGGGTGCTGCAAGATTTCACTGGCAGAAGGGCGCACATCAGCATCCACTTCCAGACACTTGGCCAAGAAATCACGACAAAGACTAGACAGGGTAGTCGGGCTTTGAAGGTCGGGAGTGCCGTTCGTAGCAATAAGGTAGATGGCTCGTAATGGACTTTCATGTAAGTAGGGTGGTTCGCCTTCAATCATCTCAATGGTCATGATGCCGAGCGACCATATATCGATTTTAGGGCCATAATCTTTACGAGTGACCACTTCCGGCGCCATCTAATGACCCCAGTAAAGCGTGAGTATGAACACTAAAATCCCATGCATTAAATAGCTATCTGATGCTTACCCAGTATGGCGTTCCAATCATCGTTCGTCGCTTGGCGTCCATGTCATTCAGACGTGCACAAAATCCAAAATCGGCTACAGGGAAATGTTAGTGACATAAGAAAAAAAATTGGGCGGACGGACCAAACACTTACTCAGTTTGACTTCACCATTAATGCCCAAGAGCACGTTGTCGCTCTTAATATCACGGTGGATGATGCCTTTGGCATGTAGATGAGAGATGCCTTCCAGAGTTTCCTTAGCTACAGCGGCAATTTGACCTTCGGTCATCATATTGTTGGTTACAATGTCCGTCAAGCTACCTCCTTCCATGTACTCCATCACCACCCATAAGTCGCCGGTATGCAAAAAGGAGTCAATGTAGTTAACTATATTCTTGTGGGCCGATTCGCGCATGACCAAGATTTCATTGATGATCAGATCCTTGTTGGGTTGCTTTTCCAGGTTCATCTGTTTGATGGCCACTGACATGTTGGTATCCACTGAATGCGCCGTAAACACACCACCTGAAGCACTGTTGATGCAATGAATTAATGTGAAATGTATGATTAAATGTTAGATCAAATGTGTTGCTTACCCTTGGCCAATTTTGACCATATTACGATACAGCTTCGTAGGATCAGCGTCTGTGCATATTGCCCGTAAGTTCTCTATTATTTTCGCATCACGAGCAGCTTCTTTCAAACGCCTTTGTTCTCTTCTTCTTGCCGGGGCTGCAGAAGCAACATCCATGGCTGGGTCGAGAGGTGCGGCTGTTGGTGCAACGTAAATGCTAGTTGAATCGGATTCGTCAGCAGGTTCTGCAATTTCCACTTTCTTTGGTTTGTTTCGAGGTGGAGCAACCGGCCGTTCGCTCACATATGACGGTGTGCTTGTCGACCCCGCTGCCTGTTCTACTTGCTGCTTTGAAGTAGACAAACCATCAGCAGTTCTAGGTTTGGGAGGTACGGTTGGTTTGGATGACACTGGAGGCTTTGGTGGTGGTCCAGCTTTGGGTTTCCTTGGTGGAGGTTTTACTCGGCTTTCAGCAACGTGCTGTTCCAGTTGGTTCCGAATGTTCTTCACACTAGTTGCTGGATTAGAATCTACTTTACTTTGCTCGGATGCGCTGCCACGATTGAACGAAGATGCCTACACGAGTAAATACACATAAAATTTTAGATCTTTGCTAATTGGTACTTCTTGAACCGGCAGCCATCTTACCTTCTCTGACTCATTCGTCTTTCCTGTCAAATTCGGCCGAACAGGGATTGGAGGGGGTTTGGATCCAGATGTTGACTTATCTAGATTCGGTGTCATACTACTCGACAGATGATGATTTGAATTGACTACGACGATGCGAGGGCGAGATTGACGTTTAGGGAGTGGTGGGGGTCGACTAGGTGACACCCCCGGAGGTGGGTTTTCAGTATTGGATATCAATGAAGGGTTAGGAAGTCGCGGTGGATGTTGAGATTGCGCCAATTCGAATTTTTGCCACACCTCGTCGTCCGGATCTTCTCGGGTTTCCTTAAAGAATGAGATGGCGTCCAGTACTGCTTGTGGATTGGCTTCTTGCTCTCTTCGTGTGATGCCACTTTGGTTGAGAAGTACTTGCCACTCCTTTGGCAAACCAGTAAACTCACCCGTTTGGTGGTTGAAGCCCACATGGGTAACGTGCGTCATGTTGTAGGGTGATGAGATAAGGTTCTTGTGCGGAGCTGATGAGGAGCTTGTAGAGTTTGCGCCGGTTGAAGTACCTTGAGCCGTCACCAGTAAATCATTCACACCGTTCACCAACTTGTCAAATGTTCCTTTCAGCACAGAGGTAGTTGTCGCTGCCACATTAGATACACTGCTCATGGTTGGTGGGGACCATGAGGATTTTTCATTCGAAGAAGACTTGAGAATTGGAGACTTTGGATCCGAGTTCGATCTAGGTGTAGGTGCTCTTGCCTCAAAGTTTGCTTTTGAAGGAAGAGGGTGTTGCGGTTTGAAAGATGGCGATGATACAATGCCTGCAGACTTTCCTACGGTTGGTGTTGTAGGTCGTGGAGGATAGGAAGGTTTTCCTGGTGACGGTGGAGGTATGGGATTCGCATCTACATGATCAACAGAAGTAGGTGTGGTTTGTGGTCTTGGTGGAGGTGGAGGTGGTGGGGTAGTTCTCGGCGTGGGGCTACCAGTCCTCATGACTGGACGAGGTGCCAGAGGGGGCTTTTGTATACTGGTGGTTGTTGGATTTTTAGGTGTTGGTGAATAAACTTCTATCGAGGGTGAGGCGAAGGCTGGGGTTTTCAATGTTGGAGTTTTTCTACTTAATTTTTCGGGCTGAGGTACATTAACGGTTGGCTCTCTATAAGCATTGAGATTGATTGTCTTGGTGAGAACCGGTGTGTCTAATGCATACGAGCGGCGTCGATCGGAGCCAGCTGTTGGCCGCTTGGATGAATCTTGACCGCCATTAAAAAGTTTTATATTCTCAGTCACAGACCGTGAGCGATGTAATTCCTCTTCAGACGCGGAGGATCGCTCGTCTGTTCTATCATGATTGGTTGTCTGCATCAAACTGACATCTATGGAAGTCGGGACAGCAAGTAAGTGAACAGCCAAAATCTTGGCTCCGAACGGATATGATGCAACCAACCCCAGTCACACTTATAAGGCAGCAGAAAGCCCCTCTCAGCGCAGTGGCAAAAAATCATACTTTTGAGAACAATTACATGTTATACATACCTTTGTAATATGAACTTGACCATGGATATTTGGTACAGCAGATGAGTTCATTTTACAACAGCTTGGCCAAACAAACGCCGCAGTGCTGTAAGTGTTTGCCTTGTACCACGATGACACCTCATAAAAATGACATACAAAGACCGTAAGACGGCAGCCTAGCTTTCAGTTTGAGTTAAAGATGAATGGGATTCTCAAGTCTGATTGATCACATATTATTTTATCTCGCTTATATACTCTTATTGCACGCATTTTCATAGTTACAAGGAGATGCATGCTCTTGTCAACATTATTTTTTGGTAGCCTATTCTGTTTCTCGGACCCTGTCCAATGAAGCATAAAGCGCTTTCGGAAGTCGAAGCATTGTGGGGTGTAAGATAAGCAATATCGTCTACATAAAATCCTTGGCATTTAACACAATTTTTGGATAAGCATAACGTTCAAGTTATACCTTGGGCGAAGTAGTATGGCTATGGTGTAGACATTACGCCGATATTAAATTACCAGAATCTAATTGCAGTCCTCTATATAAATGGGCACTCATGTATTATTCTGTTCCTTTCCCATGAGAGCATGCGAGCGAGATAAAAATCGAAATGACGGTCGCCAAATGCCCCAAATATCTCAAATGGTCAAGAGATTAAAAGGCATAATATATTAACCAAAGCTTGGGGAAGATTTTTTCATTTGATACTACAACATTAAAACAAACAAAGAATACATGTAAAGAAACATAGGCGGCATTGTCTAAATATTAGCCATCCTCAATGTGCTGGTATATAGCAGGGTGATGTGAAACCTAGTCGTTTGACCATTCTTGGCATGGGATATTAGAGCCTTCTATGCCCGTCAAGTTCTGGTTTGCAATATTTGCACATCGAACGGATGCTGGCTTCCAAGTCGATGTTATGTTTACATTGGACCACCTCAAATTACACGGGGCGGCCGAGGAACAGTGGATGTTTGCGAAATCATTTGTTGCTAACGCTGTGACGTTTTCCCAGGTAACATTGTCAATGCTCAACTTGGATGTATCACACTTGCGAGGGTTGCCTTTAGTAGCATAAAACGTGCACTGGGTCACGACGATTGGGATAGGACATGATATGTTGAAATTGCGAAAGGTGACATTCTGCACGTGTCCGCCGCCACCGCCACCACCGTTCGGTGCTACCCCGCTAGACACTCCAGACCAAGTTTTTACAAAGGCGCCATAACTGAGGCCGTCATCAAGTGTAATCCTCTCCATGGTGACATTTGTTACATAGTCAGGCCGTTCAGCATACTAGATGGTGTGACTGTTAAGCTTAAGGATATCCGTGAGAAATCAACAAATAAGTTCATCCTACCTGACCAATCGAGCCGATAGCAAAGCCGGTCGTGCGATAGGCATAAATATCAGAAACGTATATGTTTGAGGAGTTCCCCTTGATTGCAACGGCATCATCGAAGCACGTAATATTCCATCTTGATATCGTTACATTGTCCGCGCGCCACACATCGATGCCATCTGTATTGACAGTGGTAGAGGTCGAGTTCGATGTATTATTAACGTACATGTCGGTGATTACAATGTTTTTTGAGGTTGTTACCAGCATGGACCAAAATTGCGCTTGCACTATCCTCAATCCACGTATGATAACATTATCCGAATTGTAAACTATAAAAGTCATTGGTCTGCCTGGTGCATTTGTTCTATTTTGATTCCAGTCGTACCACACTTGTCCATTGCCGTCTAGGGTGCCATGGCCGTACCCATGAAGTCGAACATTTTTTCCGCCAAATAACCAACTGGTAGAGAGGTTCTGGAATTGAACGGGCAACAAGTTGTTTACCCAGTATGTAATGTTTGTGGACCAGAGAAGAGTTCCATGAATGTGGACATCACAGTTGTACAAATTGGTGGTGTTCATGACTTGGTCGATTTGGAAGGTGTGATTTGTGAAAATAATCGTGCCATTAACACCACAATGCTGGAAAGCTTTTAGTATATTTGGCGTGTCATCCGTTCCATTACCAGCTGGATATAGTCTACAGGTTTTATGATGCTTAGGGTGGTCATCGCGATGGTCTAAGTTGTATTCATGAGCATCGCCTTTGTGATGGTGGTGGCAAGCGGTTGTAATCCAAGCCAAAATTAACGCGATGAAGGTTACTTCAAGCTTCATGGATATCCTAAGCTAGACTCTGCTCTAGTGGGAAGAAAAATTTGGGAGAAAGGAGGGAAAAAAGAAAATAGTGTAATTTTTGGCATCAGGCATTAGTTGAAGTATTTAAGCAGCGCCTCAACTTTATTTTTCGGGTGAACGGACTGAGGTGATCATGTCATTAAAGTAGTAGTAAAGATGCTGCAGGTTGTTATCGTTTGTTTGCAGCGAAGGGGAAGCCATTGTCACACATGTCCAGTAACTCAGTTAGAATGTCATCTTCAAATATGCCGACTAGCCGTTTCTGCGATGGCATTAATGGTTTAGATGAAACAGCTATTGTGCCTGATCCAAGCAAGACAGTCGACGTTATATCACGGTTGTTGCTGACTGGTCATGCCCTAAGCTTGGGACACACCCTTATTCGAACCATATCATGATTCCAGTCACAGCCGCAAGAATCAAGCCTGTTAAAGGATTTGGTCGCATTATCGCACCAGCCTTCCTCGCAGTTGCCTACATCTAAGTTGTTTGGCTGGCTTAGCTCTTGGTTGTTTCAAAGCTGCTATCAGAAAATTTCCCCTAACCTGCGGTCGGGATATTACCCATTGAGAGTTTTTGCTCATGATTTATAAATACTTGTTATTGCCTTATTTTCCTTATGAGGAACAACGACTTGCTCTCGAGTGCAGCGGTGAGAGAAAATGCAGCCAAACCTAACCTGCATAGTTCATTTATTTTGACCGTGATTACGAAAGAATGGTTGATAAGATACTTCTAGTTGGAATAGGGAGCTAGCTAGTTGTACATACCAGATATCATACTAACAGAGCTAAAAGGTTCTTTGCAACAGTGCCCTTGCTTCTTCTGTTTCTTTCACAAACAGTAGAAAGCTGAGATGGCACCATTATACAAATTGTATTGGTATCGAGAAGTATTAAATATACTAAACATCCTACAAGAATCTTCCTGAAAAAGCAGAGAAGAACCCCATTTATATCAAATATATGATGTTACTACTCTGGGCTGCTATGTATAATAACCATTCGCTTATTTCCTCACGCTCTGTTTCAGTAACTGAGGGGTATGTCGAGACACCGGGCCCAATTTTTTTTTTTTTGTATTCCCGCGAGAAAAAAAAAGCATTTTGTGGGGCGACAGTAAACTGTTCAGTGAACAAAAAAAGTCAAAACCCTCCAGAGCGAGAAGCCATTATAGAAATGGATAGCGAGGACGTGCACCAAAAAGTCAACGACGGAGAGGAGCTACGGATTCCTGAAGATCAAGGAGATGCAACCCAAGATCCTCCATCAAACCAAAAGCCACAGCGAACACCAGCGTTTGCAAATCAATTACCTCCGTCCGTCTCACAGCAAAGATCAAAACCGAAGAGATCAACAAATGCTCTCCATCTTCTTTTCTTAGAAGCATGCAAATCGGTAAGCCTTCACGCCGGATCCTGCTATATTGTATTGTTTTCGATCCATAACAAACGTTTATTTTATATATTTCTAGTATGTTTTGAAGGATATGTCGCTGAAAGATGAGGCCGACATAACAAAGCTACTGAAAGACAAGAGAAAAATATGGTCGGAATTGAAGGCATATTGCAGTCAACAAGTCTTACAGGCAGCGAAAGTTACAATACAGCATGAGCTTACGGAGCAAGGCAAGGAGGCATTGGCAGATGTCAGCCCAGACAATGAGGTGAGTATGGCGTTTTCCTTTGTATGGAGCGTCGGATAAGTCATATGGTTTCGGCAAGGAAAGTGTCGTCAAAACTTATAAATTCTTCTTCGGACCGTACGACCTTGGTTATATAATCTTGAAAGATCATCAATATGCGCTTTGATGAATATGAAGCCGTCGAGCGAAGCTTTGATGACGCGATATCAGAGATTCGATACGAATATTACAATGATTTAGAGAAGCGACAGTTGGCTAATGGATCTGATACAGCAACGGGAAAAGGGAGTGTGGCAGATGTCAGTAGTGATAAGTTTCCAGAAGGTATGACAAGCTTGCATCGTGATGGGCGGCAACGATGACAGATATATGTTCTTTTTGCGGAATCTCGCCTTGTTGGAAACATTAGTCACGGATTATTGTGAGTCTTTCTAACTAAACTTTTCATGCTGAACACACTAGGTATTTCCATTATTTTACGATTATGGGATCAACTCAACCATAGACGATCTGGTAAAGACAGCGCAGATTCAAGGGGTGATTGGTATTATGATACCAATAGCGATGGTGGAAAGTATCGCGTGAGTAGGTCTGCACCTGGGCGAGGAAACTATCCTCCACGACATGCACCATACTACCCCCCTCCAGGAGGATCCTATCGATCCCGTGACGGCTATGGAAGAGGTCCTTCACCCACTCGAGACTATAGAGATAGAAAGGACAGGGATGATTATTTTCGAGAACGGCGCTATGATGACAGACGACCACCTCCTCCTCCCTTGTCGCCAGGTCCGGATATGCGGCGACGGCCGAGAGAAGACAGAATACCACCACCTGGTCCTAGTGCGAGGTACGATGATCGTAGACGAGATGGATACATAAGGTCGGATGAACGGTTTCCTGGACGTGGCCCACCGCCTAGAGGACCCCCCTCACCTGAAAGAGAACAGCGGCAACAAGTTGGGCCAGTTCATCCCAATCTTTCTGGACGACCAAGTAGGAGTACATATGAGGCACCACCTATGCCGGCTTTGCAACAGGCTCATCTTCCAGAGACTCCAGTAGAATCAAATTATGGATATGCAAATAATTATCCTGATGCTAACTCAGCATATGGTAACGGTGAGTACCAGACTTCGAACGTTCATGATGCGTTAAAAGACAGGGGAGATAACAGTAGGGATACTGTTTGCGTTCCTGTCTTACCGAAAGATACTGATAAACTAGTTTACAGGCTATTATGGACAATATCAAAACCAAAGTGCTAACCATGCTTATGGATCCCAGCAAACGATATATCCTACATACCAAGGGCAAGGGGCCCAAGCGCAGCAGCAACAGTGGCCTCAACAGTTCATGCCCCCCTTACCTCTGAAAAGCTTTGCTAGCCGAGATTATGGCAGGCATTCAGCCTTACCACTTCCAACGTAAGTTTACCTTGCAGCGCTTTGAAACCAAAGCCCTTCAGGCTATATTTTTATCTCTTAACTTTTTTTTTTAATCGTATTCTCTCTTAGTGATTTCATGGCAGGCGCTAGTGATGCTCCTAGGTAAGTCTTCATATTCTACATCTTATTTTTGGGATTTACAATGGTCTAATAATTTGGTTTTCTATTAGATTGTCGATGCCTGAACCTCACCAGCAGCTGGGAGTAATCAAGGGAGTCATTATCCGGGATGCACAAGGAAATATTGGATTATCCAATTACACGTTCAATCCCTTGTAGTGAGCAATGAAAAGCATAATAATAAAGCAAATATAATACACCCGAGATACCACGTTCATTGCAATAAGCCACTCGAACCTTCTGGGAGCAGCATCCTTGATGTTAATTAATATGCTGTCAATTTTTATTTTTTATTTCCCAACCTACGTTACTTTTTAATCTCCATTCCTTTTTTTATTGCATACACCCATCCAAGAATTCGTCAAGTCATTCTTAACACAAGTGTATCAGATTGGCGCTTCTTCCGTTGTTGCCGTTGACTCTTCATTCTCCTTTTGGATCATCTGAAAAATGTCTGACAGCGCCATTCGGAGTCAGGCACCATTCAATGTTCAAAGAAAGGTCACCACTGCCACGTCTGCCAGTGATAACCCCATGGCCAAAAAGTTTTCTAACAAGAAATTTAGTAACCGTTTGAAGAAAGATACAGCACAGAAAGGATCAATCCGACTCAACGCCAAGCTTCCCACAGAGCAAAGTCCTAAACATAGCCTTGCTCTGGTTGATACTTTACAAGTGCGGATGCCAGCACCCTCTGATACCAGTGTTCATGAGTCTTCATCATTATCTTCCCTTGAAAATATTTCGAATGATGACCTAGGGGGCTCAAGCAGCTTTGATCTGAATACCAGTCTTGGTCAGGATATGACAGATATCATGCTGGAAGTTGGGTTTTCAAATGATCTTGCGAATGATAACATCGATCGAAGCAAGCATACCACGGAAGATTCGCAGTACAGTCAAAGTCCATCAATCATTGAAACAAGCCCTTCCAACGTAGACTCAGTAGTGTTGAGGGATAGCCCAACGCCTCTGGATGATAGTGATAAATACACTCATGACTTAACGCAATTCATCAAAGATCATGAGGCCAGAAATTGGACCCCACGCAACAAGGAGAGAAATATCGAAATTCACGCTGAAAATATTGTTGACCCACCCAATACATCCCATAATATCAATGACATCGAGCAACGGCAAGTTCGACAATTTGTTGAGAAACTCAAAAGAGCCGTCTCAGCCCATTCGATAAAGGAGGATGACAAGCAGCTTGTCACCAAACATGATAGCCAAAGTGAAACACGTCGAAGTTCAGATCAAGCTCTGAATATCACTAACCTAACTTCGATTTGGGACGAACCAAAACCATTTCCGTCTGATTTAAGCGATAGTGGTTCTGAAGAGCATCCGTTTGAAACTCCTTCCTTTTCAGCCTTTCGGCGTCCACAGCTCAGCAACCGACAATCGTCAGACGCTGACATAAATGCCACTTGGGTTAAGGATAAAGATAACGCACCAATAGGATGGCTGTCACGGCACCAAAAGGGTCACTTTGCCAATACTGACTTTGCCTGTCCCGTACCTGCAAAGTACATACCCCGCATAAAGCAGGATCTTTACGAAATGGTTTCAAACGTCTCCATTGAAACAAATGAGGAAGCAAAGTCAATACCATGCGAAGAAACAGTAACTGGTACGTTGTATATGATACGATCTTTACCATTTATAATTTTGCATGATGATCTGAACAATCCGTCTATAGAATCGCCACCCGATGCCAACTGCTGCATTATACCCTCTTCGACTATCGCAGACGTGACAAGCCCATCATTGACGGGAGTTTCCTCGCTTACCAACAATGAAACCTATGACCCAGCTATTGTCAATATTATACCCGATGCAGACGCAAACTCTACAGTACCTTCACCATCCTTGTCGAACGATGAGCGATCAGAAATTACAGACGGTTCCAGCGACATCGATGTATTTAACGAACCATCAGTACACTCCACTAGCGCCTTACTGGAAAATATTCCATATGATGAGTTGATGTTTGGTGAAAAGGACAGCATGGTCGATACAAATCTGGATGCTACCCCAGAGAATATGCTTCAATCACAACAAGCTAGACCACGTACTCATGTTTTCCAAAAACATACTTACTCGTTCTCGCACGACATGAGCATAGCCACTGATAACTGCAATAAGGGTTCGACCATGGTTCAAGAGAAGCTCACTCAAACAAGCTCGGCTGCTGTTTCATTCAACCAACCATACCCTCATATCGACATAGGTATGCTTATTTTGACAATCAATGCAATTATAGCGATGAGATCGTCTCCCTTAACCAAAACTTCGTAATCGTTGTCTTCGATTAGACCCTATCAAACAGGTGTTTCAAAAAATGGTGACTGTTCATGATCAACACGGTCATCACGATGATAGACGAACTCAAGCAGCTCACATTACTTTGAGAGGTGAAGCTAATGACGGAATGGTGGTGCGGAAAGAAGATGAGCAGGATATATCACTGGGTGTTATTGTCGAACATTTGGCACGACTACGCCCGTATGAAGAGTGGAGCAATATCAGATATCTTGATCTCAGCCATCAGAATTTGTCTGCAATCTCAGGTTTACGAGATTGTGTCCCTTTGCTGGAAGTGCTAAACATGTAAGTCTACCCTGCCGTCTTCGTTCGCTACTGACATAGTCATTAATGAAGATCTTTCAATGGCTACATTTAAGCTCCCACAATATCATCACCCACATAGATAAGCTTCCTCGTAGCCTTCGACAATTGAAAGCTCACCACAACAGGTCAGTATAATATTCATAAGCCCATCTGTAGCTCACCCATACCGTTGTTTTCTCACCATAACACCTCCTGACTAGAATCACTGACTGCTCTGGCTTGTGTGATCTGCACGATTTACATTACTTGAACATATCTCAAAATATGCTGGAAAATCTTCAGGGTAAGACTGCATAAAGTAGTTTGTAAAATACGTCCATACCCATGCTGACTTTGAGTGAAATCTTACAGAGTTGAGCACATTGCGTAACATGCAAGAGTTGCATGCAGAAAACAATCTCATATCAAGTTGGAGCGGAGTGAAGCACATGAAGCTTCTGGTAAGACTGAATCTGTCGCACAATAGATTACGAGATCTGAATCTTTCTGGGTCGTCACTGTAAGTAACAGGAGTGTCAGTGCGTTTGGAAATTTTGGAACTAACTTGTACATTACTGTTTTAGACATTCATTGGAAATGCTGAACCTAGCATTTAATGGTATTGAGCGACTGGAAAATCTTGAGCACTTGACATCGCTGCGAGCTATCAATTTGGGTAGGTTCATTGTATTACTCTAAGCCGAACCTCAGAGTCCTTTGTCACTGACATTTTTATTTTGTACGAACTGTGAAGATCACAACGAAATCAAGTGGATGAACATCTACCAAACCTTACCGTCACTCGAACTCTTGAGACTTAGCTTCAATCGCCTGAAAATTATGGATGCGTCACCCTTTCCTTCAGTGAAGACCCTATATTTGGATGACAATCAGCTCATGACCGTTAGAAACTTATCGGTAATGGTTCACCTGGACAGCTTTTCGATGCGAGACCAAGGCGGACATAAAATGTGAGTTTATCGCTATGCGCTGGATACGAATGATGGTTTCAAACTAACATGAGGTCATAAGTGATATGGACATCAGCCAGTTGAGGCGGGTGCGCAAATTGTTTTTGTCAGGTATGTGTCTCGCAGATGTGAGTGAGCTACATCACACTGGTACAATTAATCAATGATATGAATATTACAGGAAACGCATTGCCGAATCTACAGGAATTTCAAAATTTCACTAATTTGGAATACTTGGAGTTGTGCTCAACACAACTTGAGAACCTCCCAAACGACTTCTCCCTCCACTTCCCTAATCTTGTCATACTTTACCTTAGTGGTAACTATTTGGGCGACATTGCACCTTTAGCCGGCTGCTCGCAACTGCAGAAGTTGGTGCTGGTGGATAACCGTCTAGACAACCTCAAAACAATGAATCAAACGCTCAAACAACTCCATTCACTTTCATATTTGGATTTACGGTAAATATTATTGCTAGTGTGTGTTTCCATTGCATATCACTGTACTGATATTTGGATTTTCCCGGCCTCTCTTTAATAGACATAATAACTTAACCTCCAAATTTTATGCTACATTATCCAACCCTACTGGTCCATCCGAAGATCTTATATCGCATTACCTGTCATATGAGCACGACGGGAGATGGAGTGATAATGATCATGTTTTCCATCGTTGCATGCCTCAGCTCTGGCGAAACAAACGAGAAGAGTATAGAGCAACTATTTTGAAAGTTTGCAAAAGAATCAAGTCGCTAGATGGTATCAAATTCGAGAAGATCGAATGTATACAAGCTCAGCAACTGCTTCGCCGCAAGATTAAGGATAGGGCCTGATGCTGGATGTTTTATTGGAAGGTTTTCTAATTTGAAGCTTATCGCTTTGATGATGAGCAGAAGTAGACATGCAGCGTTATACAAATAAATTGGATACCGCATTATATGCCATAAAAAACGACCAATTCGGTTTATATTCAGTGAGTGCTACGGGTTATTATAGCCATTGAAGGTTCTGAGTTATGTTCGTTAATGTCGTACTGATGGCTGTTAGAAATTTTGTTAACCGCAAAAAAGTGACTGTCCAAATTTTTCTGTGGCCGGTCCCGCCACCCATATTTGACTGACGCTGTAAAGCACCAAGAGTTCTTTCTCTTTCAAACACAATGGTGAGTGGCCCATTAAGTCTACGATATGATCAATGAAGCAACGTGAATATGGAAGACGGATGGATGGATGGATGGCTGGATGTTCGCTTGACCGGATGGAAAAACCGAAAAAGGGAGATGGTGGCGATTCGACAAAATGGACTAGCGACCCAATGTGAATGGCAAGAATAGAATCTATCAAGCATAGTATAACAATTCGTCGAATACATCATCCACCTCTCGGTACAAATATCACAATCAAGTTCATTCGAATGCTCAGCACCTCGATCGATTCGTCTTTCGTAACATTCACGTTGAAATGATCACCATCGCATACTTCTTGACCAACCATACTGACCTTTTTTTTTCTTTCTTATTTTTAGTCCAAGCGCGCTGCCAAGAAGTCTACCACCGTTCAGGAGACTGTCACCCTCGGTCCTCAAGTCCGCGAAGGCGAGCTCGTCTTCGGCGTTGCCCACATCTTCGCCTCCTTCAACGATACCTTCGTTCACGTCACTGATCTCTCTGGCCGTGAAACCATCGTCCGTGTTACTGGTAAGTATGGAAAAAATTATAAAAGAGGCATAACGTGACATGGAAATTAACAGTTTATGTGAAACAGGTGGTATGAAGGTCAAGGCTGATCGCGATGAGTCCTCTCCCTATGCTGCTATGTTGGCTGCCCAAGATGTTGCTGCCAAGTGCAAGGAAGTCGGTGTCACCGCTCTTCACGTCAAGATCCGTGCTACTGGTGGTAACGGTACCAAGACCCCCGGTCCCGGTGCCCAAGCTGCTCTCCGTGCTCTTGCCCGTGCTGGTATGCGCATTGGCCGTATCGGTAAGTGCAAACCTAATCCATTTTCCCCCCGCACAATAATGGTTCCTGAGAAAATCATTCATCTGACTATATTACTTTCCTTCCTCATTCAACAGAGGATGTTACCCCCATCCCCACCGACAGCACTCGTCGCAAGGGTGGTCGCCGTGGTCGCCGTTTGTAAGCGCTTACGCATCACTGCGTGGCTGTTACCATTGTCATGGATACTTTGTACTTTTTGTTCAGTATCCAATCCTTTTGTTGGCACCTACAAACAAATAAAATCTGAAAAACAGAGTCTTAATTTGACTACACTAATGGAATGGTGTGATGTGTTCTCTGTTTATCAAATGTTGTCAGGTCTCTTCTTTTTTTTTTTTAACTCGGTGGAGAGCCTGAGAACTTGATGGTCCATCGGTGCTCTGTCTACTTACCATAAACTGTAAAGAATTGAGATGTGCAAACTGCCAACTGAAACATAAGCAATTGGTTAGCAAGCTGAAAGCCTTTCTCTTCCGAGTATATTTTGTTTTGCAAAAACTCAAACTGTCTTTTTTGGGCTGGTTCGAGTTACGGGATAAACTTCGGCCCCCGTCAGTCTGAAACCTGTTCTCCTAAAAGATGGCATTTCCGTTGTTTCTGATGCATTTGAGAAAAAAAAAAGCCTCTCTGCGGCGGGGAGTTTATTCCAAAGGTAGTCTTAGCAGCCTCTGCGGTATCCTGTGGCAACGGATGACAAGAGACTGACACTGTTTTCGTGTTCCGATTATCCCACCATTAAGGTCGAAGTATTTAACTCGCAACTCTTCCATCATTGATCTTTTACAATTCAACACTTTATTGAATAAAATAAGCAACTTGATGGGTTCGTTTCTTGACGAAATTTTCTCTGATCCAAAGAGAGCTTTCAAAAAGCGGATGTCGGTATCGTCCACCTTCTCTTTGCCTAATCGCAAGAAGTCTTCGGCTTTGCACATATCATCTCCTGGTACGTTATCATTGATCAGGGTACCACTATTATACCTTTGCTAATATTGGTATCTTTTCTTTAGTCTTAACTCATGCAAGTGGAATCTATTCAAATACGTCGCCTGATAGATCAACTTTCTTGGTTGATCTGCAGTCTTCGGAGTTCTCAAGATGCTCACCAACAACTTCTGCTTCGGAAGATTCCCAATTTCTTAGCCGAGAGCCTCGCAAATCTTGCCCAGATATCCGGATAGGCAATTCTTCTAGAGCAAAAGATCACAAGTACCGTGCTCAGAAGATGGAAGAATTTGAGTCGATGATTGAAGGCTCAAACGTACTAAGTCTATCATTAACTCCTGATTATGCTTCTTCATAACCCCTCGGATTCATCCTCGTATCGTAAATTCAGATCTATGGTTATCAGAAGCAACTAGATTCAATTGAATGCAGTGCCATAGTGTATATAATGCTATCCCCGTATTTTAGAACGGTTAAAATGTATTTTTTCCTACCATCGTATGCTACTTCGAAATGTTTCAAATCAGAGAGGGACCCTGTCTGATATCCCCAAATGTAAATATCCAATTTTTTCAAAACTTTACCACTGTCTGCCAATGTTTTTGCAAAGCCTCGAACCTTCGAGTTTCCAAGGACCTTACTTTATCACGCTTGGATTTTTTTTTACACATGATGGTATTTACATGTTGTCTTTTGATCAGTGTCTCTAATTTACCAATCGCTTTATTGACTCATGTTGCAGATCCTCCACTCTGTTGCCATAGTGATTCTGGCCAGTGCGACCAACTTGTTTCGGTTTTGTAATGGAGCCTTGACCACTTGTTCGTTCATTCCTGGTGTATGCCTAATTTTCTGTCTCAGTTGACATAAAAGTCTAATAAACCCACCCATTACATCACGTACCGATGGGCCCTGTCATAGCATACTTCAAAATCATATCATCTCACATGAAAGACCCTTATCAGGTTTTAACCTCCTGATCTCTTCCAATCGCTCAAATACCGCATCGTCAGGGCAATGCTCCGTTTCATTCAACTTCAAACCGTCTCTTGTGCTTTTTTCGCACAGTTATGATGGTTTTAGCATACTTCACACGATGGTTAATTCTAAAACTTTGATTTATGGTCGTCATATGTGATGTCGAAGCCGTCACATGAAGAATTCCGGGCACGCAATATGACTTTGATGGTGATGATAAAAAAACTAACGTGATGATTTTATTTTTTCTGGGAGCTATAGTACAAATTTGGACGAGGAGAGTAATCTAAAGGGTCACAGTGATTATTTCTTCTTAGTTTCATTGAACAAGACATGCTGTTGGACTATAGGAAGACGGGGTTAGTTTGAAAATTAGCAATGGGGTGTATCGTTTAGCATCGATAATCACCTTTAGGGTCGTATTTCATCATTGAGAGTTTGGGTGAAGTACGTGGCCGTTGCTTTGTATAGAAGAATCCAGTGCCTGCCGAAGACATAAGACGGACAATGAGAACTCTGGCTTTCGCTTTTTTGGCCATTCTAAATGTTAAGAAGGATGAATCAGATCATAACCTAGTTAGTCACCATGTCATTCTGCAAGTATTGTTGATGGTCTGGTAAAATACAATGTACTAACATAATCGAACAATGTCAAGGTCAAATGTGTCAACAAAGATTTTTTTTTTGTTTTCTGACACATAGCAGTGGGACAGTCACACATCCTTTGTCATGTCCGTCATTGAGCAAGTCATCTTTGTAGGTACAGGGTGCAGCAGCAACACGCCTGCACTGAAATGTTTACTTGAGAACCCTCCTACATGTGAAGTTTGCCTCTTATCTTTGACAGAGGAAGGATGGAAAAACAGGCGGAAAAACCCCTCGGTACTCATAAGAGTTAGAGATCATCGAGATCCCAATGGCAGACTCCGGTGAGCAGAAATATATTTAGCCCTATATCGGCCCCCTTTTTTTTGTGACTGAAACGTTTTTGGCATATCAAGGAACATTTTGGTTGATTGTGGAAAGACTTTCTACCGTGAGTTGGTAATATGTCGTGCTTGCCAAAGCTGCTCCTCGGGGTCTAATCGTACCTGTGATTCATTTATTTTAGAGTCAGCCTTAGATATATTCCCAAGGTACGGCATCCGGGAGATCGATGCATTAATTCTATCGCACGGACACGCAGACGCAGTATTAGGTTTGGATGACCTTCGGGCCTGGACGTCAGGTGGCACTCTACAAGAATCTGTTCCAGTTTACTTGAACGAAGAGACATTTGCAGTGGTATCAAGAGCATTCCCATATCTTGTTAGCAAAGCTAATGCTACAGGTGGTGGTGAGGTTGCATCATTTCAGTTTACTGTGATCAAAGGAAACGAACAGTTCGAAGTCGCTGGGCTAGATATCACACCTCTTCCAGGTAAGTAAGTGGCAATCGGATTACCTAAACGTCCGGATCGCTTGCTAAACACTATTTATCCGAATTTCAAATACAGTGCATCATGGAAAATTTATGTCCACAGGAGAGCCTTACTGGTGCTTTGGTTATCGATTTGGCAAGCAATTATCATGCATCACTGATGCCAATTATATTCCGCCGGAAACGCTTGAAAAGATGAAAAATAGCGAGATACTGATTGTGGATTGTCTTAGAGGTCAGTTGAATATTTTTCATTTGCTTATCAAACCAAAACCCTTGGACTCATATCACATCGAATATCCAACAGAGGCGCCATACATGTCCCACTTTGGCTTGCACCAGGCTATTGATGTTGTTAAGGACTTGAAGGCTCGCCACAATTATCTGATTGGAATGGCTCACAATTTAGAACATGAAGATTTATCCCAGCGATTGTCGGTGTTTGCAAAAGATCTCGATTTACATATCAGCCCAGCCTACGATACTTTAAAGGTAGACGTCTTGGCTGACGGATATGTCAGAGAGTCCTCTTGGCGAGAGTAAAGTTGTTGCGCAATGCAATTTTTAGCTCGGCATATAGAACGTTCGCTACTATTGTTATCCATTAGACTAAGGTAACCACAGCACTGGTTTTTTTCCAGTGCTGTCAATTAGATTCGGTTGCAATTGAAAAAGAGAAAAATTAAAAACCGAAAGGTCATATTACATACTCCTTTTGGACAATAGATGCTGCACGACGACCTTCAACATTGCCAATTAACCATCAGTTTTTGCTCTTGTGGGGACAAATACAGTTATATGAGCAATCTGATTGGCGAAGTCTAGGGTTTCTGTATCATTTGAGTCAGTGCATAGGTTTCATCTACCGTTACCAGCAGAATACGATACTCTCAACCTACCAAAGGTATGCATGATGATTGAGAGACTGGTATGGTCTCACTTGGAGAACTGATTTTCAATTCGCTATGATTTCGGCTCATCCGCCTACAATTGCCCAAAAGGTTGAGACAGCATCGACTCTTTTTTTTTTCATATCGCTTGTCTTGGATACAGGCTGACGGCCTCTCTGTCTCAATAAATTCTTCTCTTTTAAATTCTATCTTCCTTTCGGTCTCAGACACATTTGTTTTTCCACTCTTTACCCATTTCTTAATCATGGAAAGAACAGCGTCTTCAGACCGCAGAGACTCCCTATCCATCTCTGCTATTCTCAATGAAGATTCTGTGGAACCGAAAGGTCAAATGATGGACATAATATCGGATAGTAAACGAAAGCGATATACATGGCCGGGGTGTTCCAACAACAGCATCTTACACCCACTAGGTTCATTTCAGCCTAACGTCGAAGAGCCTATGAATATAGTGCCAGTACCAACCACTTTACAATCCCCACCTCGATATGTCACATCGAAATCGGATAGCAACCAAATTCTCGTACCCGAAGAAGCCACCATCCGACAGCTCCCTGATGGGTTTGTCGTATGTGGAATTACTAAAGGGAAACGTAAGCGGATATCACCAGAACAACTCAAGGCTTTACTGGAAGTTTTTGAACAAACGGATACCCCAAGCTCCCAATTACGAGAAGAGTTGGCCGAACGATTAAATATGAGCAAGCGTGAAGTTCAGGTACTTTCTTAAAGCTTTTTCTAAAAAAAAAAACACTGACGCATAGATTGTTGCTTATATTTCCGGTTCTAATCTCGTTTTTCTTTTAGGTATGGTTTCAAAATCGCAGGGCCAAGGCCAGTAGGATGAGAAATAATTCTCAAGATCCGTTCGAAAAAAGTACGAAACACCGCCGCAAATCCACCAGTAGTGGCTCGTTTGGCATTCCAAATACATTTGTACCTCCCCCATTTCCCGCCAATCCAGCCATAATCAATGACCATCGTCCCAGACGTTATTCAGCTGTGCCGGTTTTGCAAACAGTGGCCAGGCCATTTACCAACATTCAAAGCCTGAGACCTAATCCTGCGGTATTTGGAATCCCTCATCCTCCAGCTGTACCTCAATTTACCAATGCATGGGCTCATGACAAGAAGCAGCAGCGTAATTTACCACACACTAGTACCGGAAGCGTCAACAACTCGTTTCCCAATATTGCACCAAAGCCAAGTTCTATCTCCCCAATGCAAGATGTGCGCATGTCGACGCCTCCGACACGACCCAGGCCGTTTCAGCCTAATCATGAATCGTCCTATCCCTCAGAAATGACAGAACATAAAAATTCCCCCATAAGCATGCTAGCGTCTGCCGCAGAGTTCGTAAGCTCCAAAGATGCTGCACACCCTGTAACTTGTTAATAAATACGTAAACATTTCCCATCCTATTGTATTTTTGTTGCATCGACGTAGACCGGCTAATTGGCATTTTCACTTAAAAGGCGGAGCGCGTTCGATTTAACAGTGTAGGCCAAATGGTCAATGCCCTTTATAGGTGTATCATACTAATTCATTGACGCCTTTTATGACATCAATTGCAGCAGCATAATATTGGCCGCAAACAGCCATCGTTATGATATTCTTCCGTTAACTCGGTAAACGATACCTACCTAATCGGTAGAACAAAGCGTACAAATGCCTGTTTGTGGCGATCCCTCAAATGTTCATATTTATTTCCAGGTGGCATGAACATGTCTGCAGCCCTCAATATAGCTATTATGAAAATTATGATCATCAATATTTGTTCAGGCACGATATTTATTTCGAGTAGAAGAGAGCTATTTTTGATACCATAGTGCATCATAGGCACCTGGCCATCAACAAAGTGTAAAGTGACGTGTTTTGGAAACTCCTATCAACGAATCCAAAATGCTTTCAAACCATCGACCGGATAAAGACGCTTGGAATGAAGCGCAGCCAGGGATATCAAAACTATATTCTAACATAATAAATCTTAAGTACTTTGAAGGTTCCCAAGTGCCTGATTCCACCAGCTCAAGCAGGTTATATCAAAAACACTCCGTTGCACAAAACTGTAGCTATATGATATGCTCCACAATTTGTAATAATAAAGAAAATAATCAAAATAATGGACCCAAGCGTTGGACCCATGAAGACGATGGCAATAAATGAAAGAATTATTCAAATCGTGCATTAACGCTCCTTAAATTCTTTAGAGCACATCATTTGATGTGTTACTGATCTGACCAAGCCTCAATCGGTGGAGATTATTTGACTGACCATTGCTGAGCTAAGATATAGCCCAGAGACAATACTACCGCAAAGGATTGCATTGGGAGACCTTCAAAGTGTAACAACTTCTAATCGCTTGTATGGCGATTATAGATTGCAACACTATATGGTGTTTCAGTTAGTCTTCAAGACAGTTCCTGGAACTAACATCGTCACTGCAAGGTAAAGATCTACGAGACTTAAGGTGTGGCGAAAACGAAAGTCAACCAGCGAATAAGAAATTCAGCAAGAGCTTGAAAACCAACATACTTGAAACATTTCAACATTTTCAAATACAGCAAAAATTTTCTATTGCGTACTGTAACAACGGACTTTGAGAGTTGGCAAGTCCATCTGCCTGAATCAGAACAATCCGACCATCGTTCTGAAATAGAACAGTGGCCCGCATCTGTAGTTTGCACTTTCACCTGCTTACAGCCAGAATTGACCTCAAAGAGGTTGAGTCGATGAAACAGACTTTTTTCCAACTTTGATACGTTTACAGCCTGAACCCATCCACACGCCCATTAGTGTTCAGTCAGGAGAAAAAACTCCACTTCATCAATCTAAACGAACTTACAAGGGACGCCAACAAACTCGCTCTCCTTTTTGCCACTCTATCAGCATATACATATATGCCCTTTTATACCCTTACCTGAACGCAACAGTAACTCTTCTCAGGATTTCTCTCTGAAGTTCAACAAAACACACCATGTCCAACGCTTTATTACTACGATTGTTCACTTCAGAGTTTTTTAACTCATGGATTGCTGTTTCTTACCTCTTTCGATACCCTGATAATGTCGGTATTCAACACTATCTTTGCAATGAGCTCAAGTCGTTCCCAATGTCGGAAATTGAATTCTTCCTTCCTCAACTTGTGTAAGTTAGTCAGGATGGACTGTTTCTTGTCGAATGGGCGTATGTAAACATATTATTGACTCGTTAAAACCGATAGACATCTACTCATAAGTCGACCCTCTGAATCAGTGGCTCTGGAATGCTTTATCCTTGATCAATGCCAACGATCCACTCACATGGCGCTTATGGTAAACGTGCTTTACCGTTTTAATCGTTTTTGGGATACCATAAGTACTAATCACAGAGGACACGTTGCATTGTAGACCTTATGGTACTTACAAGCTTACCTATCGGATTGCTCATCGACTCCTACAAGTCCATCTTTTATGCTATGTAAACGGGTTTTCAATAAGTGTCAGGCCATTGTGTTCTCCGATGGCTCGTCTGCACAGATTGAACTTGCCGACTCTGGATCGGTGCGTCCGGAAATTCTCACCAACAAGGTCAAAGAGAATGTGTCACCTGCTTTGGTGGGTATGGCAGCCATGCTTGCAGGCATTGGACAACCGCTCATGACGAAAGCTGCCGGACAAATTGCTATTGCTCAGGGGCGACGAAACAGAGCACTCAGCATTACCGAACCACCACTCACCGCATTGGCTAGACGAAATACTGTGAATGGGGATGGGTCTGAGCGAAGCAGTCATGACGATCAAGGCGCGCAACGTCGTAATCAGATCGTTACAAGATCGCCAGCGTCTGCAGAAATGAATCGTGGCTCAATGCCATCTTCGCCGACTACCACATCGCCTCCACAAAGAGGAGTTAAGCCGCCTTTCCAATCGGCTTCCCAGCCTGATCTTCCAATTCCAAAGAGACACTCGTTGCAGCTTCATCATGTAGCAACCTCACCATCCTTAGAAGATCTTCATCGAGGGAAAGCATTTTCAGTTGGGCGCTATCTTAAACATGCTCAGCAAAAAATCAATCGTAAAATCAATCCAAGTTCTAGTTCTGGTAGTTTACCTGGCACTTTCTCGGTTTTTGACCCTAGTACCACAGCCCTTGCCAAGTCCACTGTACCCACTGTTTCCGCACCGCTGTCTCCATCTCTTTCTCAAGTTTCATCTGAAGAAATCTTCTTCAGCCGGGATCCATCGGGACAAATCAAAAGGCAGTCAAGTTACTCCATGTCGACGGATTCCTTCTCTAGCCAAATGTACGATGGCGGTGACAGTCAAGATGGCTCGGATTCTGATGATGAGATCTCAACGCTTTCTCGTCTCAGCGTTGACCATCGACGATCATTGCTCAGGTCGAACTATTTCAACTCGGAAATGCAGTTTCTTTTGGCATTGGTAGATATAGCAACTCGTCTTGTCATTGTACCGAAACATGCAAGAGTCAGTTCGTTGCATGCAGAGCTGACACTCTTGAATCACAATTTACCAGCGGAAATTTGCGTGCCATTGTGGTGTCCAGCCACCATGGAGCGACCTCACCATCATCGCGTTGTTCGCATCAGTCCATCGGATGCTGTTGTATTGAATTCTGCTGAACGGGTTTGTATCAAGATGGCTCAATGTATACCCCCAAAAGTTAATATGTTTGTGTCCGCTAATCGCATTATTTCGTTAGGCTCCCTATTTGTTACTGATTGAGGTCTTGGATGATGATTTGAGCTTTGACGACTATAAGTCCTTAGCTACTCTTAAGAAGCGAAAACAACGAAAGGCGGAGCGTAAGAGACGTCACGAGAGTGCTAGAGCTGAGGCTGGGGAACTTCCTATAGCCCTCTCATCCGAACAGGCTGATGATGAAGAACAAGACATTGGCAGAGTGGAAACTACATCATCCGACGACCCATCGGTGCCACGAAATAGATCATCCACCCAATTACCCACAACCGTCCATATGCCGTCTCCTTTGAACACATCGTTCACTCCAAATGATTTGCCTAGAGATGATAATTCTTTACAAAGTATTCCCAGTGACTTGAACGCCAACCCTGAAGTCGATCAGCAGACCAAAACAGCTAGTGAATTTGCCGAGAGAATGCGCACAGCGGCTATTATGCTTGCTCAATTGCAACAACAGAGTGTTGCCATCAAGCTCGCACCGGCTTCATCGTCCTCTTCGGGCAACAAGTCGGCTGCAGCTCGAACCAAATTGGTCACAGAAGGTATTCGACAACGCATCATCAAAGAGATGATGGCGTTAGAAGACCAGCGAATGGCCAAAATGAGAGTTGAAGGCGTGGAAGGGGGTATTGGTGGCGGCGGTGGCGAAGGAGCCGGTAGCTCCATGCTGGACGATGAAAGCAGAGTAGCTCTCGTTGTCAACAAGGAAGATCCCAGTGGTAAGTTTCTCAGACTACCTTTTTTGGTAGATATTGGGCGGTACGATGGTTGTATTGACGCTGTTCCATTCTCTTCTAGCTGCTGTGTTTGCAGAGGACTGGGAAGAAAAGAAAGCCCGCATACGAGCTGCATCCCCTTATGGCCACCTTCCCAATTGGCGTTTGATATCTGTGATTGTAAAAAATGGAGCAGATTTGCGACAAGAACAGTTTGCCATTCAATTGATTCGAGAAATGCAGCGTATCTGGCAGGACAACGGTGTTGACGTTTGGGTCAAATAGTAAGTGCAGCATGCTTGGGAAGGAAACAGGTATTGGCATGTACTGACCATGCACTTTCTCCTTACAGCATTCGAGTGCTGGTTACTTCGGACAATTCCGGTTTGATAGAGACTGTTCGCAACTCCATATCGATCCATTCCATCAAGAAAGACGCATATACACGCGGATGGAACGATGCTGGCGCAGTGTATACACTGTACGATTACTTTAAACGAGTATGTACATTTGACTAGCCGTGTTTTTTCTTGTGGCCCCACAAAAACTGACTCCTCCCTTTAGCGATATGGTCCTCCAACTTCTGCAAAATTCCTCAAGGCTCAGGATGCTTTCATGCGATCCTTGGCGGCCTATTCCATTGCATGCTATATACTGCAAATCAAAGATCGGTATGTTTCAGTTGGGTTATGAGCAGTTGATTGACGAAACGATGGGGCTAATTGCATTTTCTGTCGACAGCCACAATGGAAACATTCTAGTGGATAACGAGGGACATTTGATTCGTAAGTTCCATTGCTTTTGCTCTGTCTAACACAGCTGATGTCTAATACTTGCAAACTTTCGTATAGACATTGATTTTGGCTTTATGCTCTCCAATTCTCCTGGGTCTGTCGGATTTGAAATGGCTCCCTTCAAGCTTCCGCAAGAGTACGTTGATATTCTTGGCGGTGTACATGGCGAGAAGTTTGCAGAGTACAAGGCTATGATGAAGGCAGCATTTTTGGCTGTACGCAAAAACAGCGAAAACATTATACTGCTGGTTGAAATGATGCGAAAAGACTCCAAACTACCTTGCTTCCAGATGGGAGAACTCACCACCCAACAACTGCGGGATCGATTCCAACTTCACTTGACTGAACCACAAGTCGAAGAGTTTGTAGACCGACTGATCATGAGTAGTTGCTGTAATGTCTTTACCCGGCTGTACGACACATTCCAATACTACTCTCAGGTAAGAACATGCTTGCAATAACAACGTAACAGAGGGAGCCAAGTCTTTATATGCTAATGCGACGCTTTTGCAGGGAATCTTGTAAAGAAAATAATTAATTAACTCATACACACTATTCTCTTTCTCCCTTATTACGCTAGAATTTGGACTATGACAGTCATAAAATGTATTTATAGTGCTACAGGAGGGACGATGTTTCCAATGTGTGATGACAATGGCTAAAGAGACTGACCTATCTTCGGCACGATATCATCAAGCCGGTCATTATCATTTATTCATTTCACAACAACGTTCTAAAGGACCATGCCATGTTTATTGATGAAGGTCTAGTGTACAAAGCTTGAGTCAACGAGACAAAAAGACAGAAAGGAACCGATCAAATAAGATCAAGTTTTAAAAAAGCCTTCAACGTCTGCAAGTGCCATAAAAGCTCAGGCAAGACTAAGGATCCCTTTGTTATTCTCATTTCGGCCTCAATGTCTTTTTTTTCTCTCGCAGTCAAGAGAAAAACTGAGTTATCCTTCTCCTCGAGCCCGCTCTAGCCGTGGTTATCGGTCACGAAAACACAACATGTTCCATCATTCTTGCTTGAACCCATTCATCCTAGAGTCGCGAATTCCATCTTTGGGCAAACGCCCTCACGGATCCATCTACAACTATCATCACTTCGAGTAGCGTTGATCAGACAGGCCATTTGTAATGTTTATCGCGCAAGATGAGGGTAAAGCCGGCATGGTGGCAGCATCCAGATGAGCTCCAGGAGAAGTGGTGAAATTTTTAGGCGGGCGAGCAAGCTCAGCCTTTTAAAAAAAATCTACATTATGAAAACACTCCAACCCAATATCGTATTTCAGCCCACATATTTCAACGACACAATGTACTCTTTTGCTACACTCTTCTGCCACTCTCATCTCACACATTGCTATAAGTACTTTGAATTATTCACCTATTTTATAAAAAAAATATGTTTTTACAAGGATCACAAAATCGGGAACAACGGAGCCAAAGTAAAGAATCACTTGGAAAAGCTCATCCAAGGTTTTCTAGCAAGGTAAACATTTTTTCGAATACGTACAAAGCTCTGAGTCAAAATAGAAAAAGGGTCGGATGTATACTCTCGCATATCGAGCCAGTTTGAATTTCGTCAGAGCGGGTCGAGATAGGATGGAGGTGTTTAAGCCAGAGGGCTAATAAGCCTGCAAAAAGCAAGTTAACGAAGTGCATACACCACTTTATTATGTTAATCAATACTTACTTGAGGAGAGAGGGTCTAGGGTTGCTTCTGGTCATTCCAAGGTAGATTACGAAAGGAATGAATCCCCAATGAACGATCTGCTTTGAGACGTCAACGACCTTTGAAGTGATATAAATAAAAGCGTCAGCACGTATTCGACAAGATTTCATAGCGGCATTGATTTAAGGCGACTGGTACCTTCATGATGGTTTCCTTAGTAGAGTCCTGCATTGTTGTGAAATGGAATGGAAGGCTAGAGTTGTTTTTGTCCACACTGCATTACCTACCCAGAAGCAGTGTGACTGCGAGTTTTACAATAAGGTCCTAAGTTGAGGACGAAATTTTTATATGATTGGAAGCAAGCCACCAGAAAAAGGGTACAGCACTGTCATGTCAGAAATCGTCCCTTCAGAAGCCGAGCTACTTGCTGTGATTACGAACATCAAGCAAGCCGAACCAGAACTTGGTATCAAAAAAGTACTGGCTGCTGTCAATGCACAACAGCCAACATGGACCGTTTCGGAGAAGCGAGTCAAGAAGCTCATGCAGTCACTGGGTCTTGTGCAATCAACCCACCTTGTCAAGAGTGGTATCGAAGACGACCCGTCTGTTCCCGTCAGTTTTATTGATCCCAAGCTTGACTTGAAAGCTACCTCGGCAGCTATTGAGGTAAAACACATCGATTTGATGTAGGATCTACTTGTTTCAGTGGGGTCGGCTAACTTATTGTGTCATCTGGCGTGTTGTTTTAATTTCCCTGCAGGCACGTATGGTGGATAGAATCACAGGAAAAGGACTATTTGCAGCACGCGATTTGAAGAAGGACGAAGTGATTTTCGAGGAGACTCCGTTTGTGTTTTTCCCTGTGTGGGATCTGTACAACGAGTCTAGAATCGGCAATGTCTGTTCTTTGTGTACTAAACCCTTCAAAAAGGTCAGTCACTCAGTGCTATCGGTTCGCTGCCAACATTGTGATGTGTCCTATTGTAGTGCTGGGTGCCGCAAGATTGCCTGGGACTCGTTCCACAAACTCGAATGCACACATCTCAACACCGCTATGAAAGATTACATCAACCTTTGCTCGTCTGAGTCTTGGGCTGCTGCTATGGCCGTGATGCGTATCTATTGCCATCTTATTCTGGCCAACGAGCGTGGAGATCTGGATGCTGTGCTCGCTCATTACGATGCCTTTGCTACTGTCAACCAATCCGAACGCCAGGCCAAGGAAACGGCATGGATCTTCATGGAACACACAACACGCGAGTTGTGGGTCAAGGCACGAAAACTCTTATCCAAGGCACTCAACCCACCTCCCAAAAAATGCAAAATCACTCAACCCCTGCCTGAGGCACTTGCCAAGAAATTGTTCGACGATGAAGATACGTTCTTGGAGTATCTTGGAAAATACAACATCAACAATCAGAATGGTGGTTTATACCTTGTTCAATCTCACATCAATCATGAATGCCACCCCAACGTCTGCATCGAACATCCTGTCCGCCTTTCCGACTACAAAATATCCGTGCGTGCCATTAGAGACATCAAGAAGGGAGAGCAGTTATTCGAAACTTATGTGAATCCTCGCTGGAACAAGGAGACTCGAGTGAATTACTTGAGCACAAATTACATGTTCCAATGTAATTGCAAGCGATGCAAGAACGATGAACCATTATCGGACGAACTTCGACAAGGCCTAAGATTGCGACCAGAGTAAAAGAGATGTTAAAGAAAGAAAGAAAGGGAACCCAAAAAAAAAAGTTCCCTGATCGCACTGACCCATGCGACCTCATCGCTTTGTAAATGTCGCCTCCCCCTTTTCCCCTCGCTACCCTATTCTCTAGAAGATGATCATATAATGTTTAGACAAAGAAAATCAGATAAAAGAAAGCGACGCCTCTTTTTTTTTTTTCCAAAAAAAACCAAAACATCCTTTGGGCAAAATGCCGTGCCGTTCACTCCTGCACAAGTGATTCACGGGGGACCCCGATCTTTGCATTGATCTTTAGTTCGTGTCATTTTACGCACACGTATTCTAAGAACCATCGTTCACTAGAAGGTTTACGTTCTGGGAAGGTAGCGTGGGTCAGTACTACCCATGAGCTTGCATCATGCTTCAACATATTCACGATTTCTGACCTAAAATGTATTTTAGTCTACTTTACTAAGTTGGGGAGTGCAGGATAAAATAAAAACACAAAGTGACCCATTGTTTTGGGCCCCAAAGCATGATGAAACGATCGGGGCGGTGTCCGTCTAATCTCGTGGATGCTTAAATGAACGACAAACTCTGGCACCCGAAATGACACCTCTTCCGTATGAAGTGAGTTGAACTTATTATTTATTATTAAAAAAAAAAAACAAAAGAAAAAAAAAGAGAACTTGCTGCTCGTATTCCAATTATTACACTGTTCAATGGGGAAAAGAAACCTGAGGTGAAACGGAAAAACAGAAAAAAAGAGAGGTGGGAAATATGTGAGAGAAAAGGAAAACACTGAATGAACGAAAACGAAAGAGAGACCTGTACAAATCGTGAAAGAAGTTACATGAAAGACCAAGGATGGATTCCCTTTTCTGGGGGTTGTTTACATGATACCTGCCGTGCTACTGTAGCTTGCAGTGTACTTTCCAATAATCTTCTTTAGAGCGTAGGGCAGCGTTTTCCAGGGGAATACCTTAACATCTTTTTCGATGTTACGTGGTTTGGGATTTGGGAAGCTCATGATCAACTTGAAGAAATCGGCACTGTCTGGTTTACATTTGCTGACGGTGAGAGGTCTGAATCCTTCTAGATTACGTCGAATTCGGTTCTTTTCTTCTACGGTGAAGCGAACACCTATCAAGCTTTCAAGAAGATAGATGCAATCTACCGAAGTGATAAAGCAGTCATTGCGTTCCTGCCAAAAGATGCATGAAACCACAATGCTGTTAGGTTGTCGGTCGGCTTGTTGAACCGCCTGGAATTCACAGTGAATCTCATTGCCTTCCTGGCGGCGCCAAAACTGGACCAATCTTCGGCGAGCGTTCCATTCTTCAGACGTCCATGCCTGAGCCATCGTGTCTAGGTCCCCGATTATTTTGAGGTTGGCTTTGTTGAGAAGTCCAGAATAATCAGTATATGGTGGTTGTGCTTGAGACATGGCACGATGATCAGTCATGCCTCCATTGTTTGCATAGGGAGATCGCTGTTGATTGCTCAATCCTACATCACCTGTCAGCATCGATGTCAGTCCCATATTCGTCGGACTCATCATACCTGGCATGGAAGCATAGGTTGGATAGGACATTTGTGGAGGTGCCTGTGATCGATAATAGCCTTTGAATGGCAATGATCAGCCAAAGATTTTTCTATTACTAAACTTTTTTTTCCAAGCCCTGTCCACTTACCATCCATGACCATTGGTTTACCTCCCTTGGCCGACGGATCTTGAGGCCGGATGGCCTGTTGCTGCATTTGAGCAAAGGCATAGGGATTTTGAGGAAGCACTCCATTCTCCATGGAATAAAAGTTTTGATAATGGTCTGCGTGGGGAAAGAAGGAGTCGTCCTCTATATACAGAATTTCCCATAAAAGTCAAGGTGAACCGGGGTCAGCGTCCGATACATTTGAACCTTACGATCAAAAAGCCTCATATTTACCATGCATTCGCTTGTTGGCCATAAAGGGATCCGCGCCATAGAGTCTTTTACGTTCATTTTTGTTGGCTTGACCTATAATTTTGGGAAGGAGGAATTATTAATGCCTATCCTAAAGACTGGGTTTGCTGGGCCAAAAAATTTCCACAGCTGGGATATTTAATTTCCTTCCAGCTGGGAAGATTTTTTTTTTTTTTGGAGTGAAGGGGGCTAATACATTACCTTCAGAGTAGGTGAATTCACCTATGACCCAACTGTTGTGAACAGCGTCATTTTCATAGACACATACAGAAATCGGTATCTGAGGAGCATTGTTCACTGAATGGGTCTGATTGGGCATGGGTACGATAGCAGCCAAATTAGTGAAATTCGCGTTGTCCAGTTGCTTCGTGTCTACCACCAGACCACCAAAAGCAAGCTTCAAAGCCGGATTGGAGGGAAAGGTTTGCAAAACCACACGAACAGTAGTGCCTGCTGGTCCCTCACTGGGACCGCATTCCAGAACTCTAGGACCTTCATCCTTGCGGTCAGCAGCCATATTAGAGTTGTCCGAGTGATGATCGTCCGTGTGGGGTGTATGAATATATCCTTGTGCAGCTAGTTTTTGGTAGTCAGTGTTAGATTGTTTAGGGCGCAATTCGAAGTTGGAGCCAAGGGTAAGTGCAGGTGCTGATGTAGTGAAAGATAGAAAAAACGGTCTGGTTAATTTGGGGGAAAAGCTCTGGCTGGACTTACGCCTTTGATACTACTACATTACAAGAGCTTCTATTACCTGGGGAGAGCGTTGTTTCCATTGTTTTTTAAAGAAGCTGATATTCGTAATACTTAGTCGCAGCTTGTCGATCCCAAAAGTTGGATGGAGAAGGCAAAATGATATTCAGGAGAAAGAAGTGTATCTGTTTCGATTCAAAATATCAAGCTTATAAGGCAGTGAAACTGGATCTTGAACAATGGAAAGAGAGAAAAGGGAGAAAGAGGGAGAGAAAAAAGAGAAACCTGCCACTTCACGGTTGTCCTAAATGGAGGGAGTTTTTTAACAGGCCAAAGTGTTTTTATTTTTTTATTTCAATATATGTAAACAGCATACGTAAATTGGGAGAGCAATACTTTGCTACTGCCGCGGGTGATTTTTTTTTTTCCTCTTTATCTTTGACAACTACTCTATTGAATTCAATATCCTGGAATCGCTTCTAGGGAATTTGCAACGCAATTCAGAGTAGTTAGTCTTCGTTTGTTTTTTAAAACGGGAAGGGGCGGTGGAAGTTTTGCGTAGGTGCTGGGCGCAGCGTGATAGGCAAAGAGTCTTGCGACGCTTTCCCCGGTCAATGGGCATAGCAGCTGGGTCTGAAAATTTTGAGCCAGCCTATGGTTGGGTTTTACATTGTGATTCATGCAAAATGTCAAAAATCTGGAAAAAGGGAAAACGCAGCAACCATGCGATGACCCGTTTTCGGACTAATCCATCAAGGAACTGACAGCTTGCCAAAACCTATACAAACAATCCGACCGCTATGGCCCTGAGACGCTCTGTGTGTTTTGATTATCTACAAGTCCTTGGTCCCTCTCTTCAAGGGACTAGGATTTTTTTTTAACGTTTTTATTTTGTGTGAACAGCTCAAAAGAATCAAGTAGCTGCAAAGGTTATCAAAAAAAGAAAAGAGAGAGAGATGCCAAGCAGCTCATCCCATGATCATACTTGTAAACAGCCAAAGCGGTGCGGAGCAGAGCCAGTGAACAATACATCAGGAAAAAAAAAAGTTGTATCTAGGAAATGTTGTTTTGGGACATGATACCGTAGTCAGGAGCAAACGGCCGACGCTCCGATGGGAAGCCGGCTTGCGCGGGTCCGGCCTGTTGTTGGTGATAATCTAGTATTCAACGACAAACAATCGGGTTTGGGGTGGTCAGTTCACGACAAAGTAAGTTAATATGAAAGATGGGGGGAGGGTTTGAACTATCGGTTCATTCACTTACGAAGGGTAGTGTATTTGGGCATAGGTGGATCACCTCCGGCCGAAGAGAAAACGGACCAGTCATCCGAGTTTTGTGGAACTTGGCCGAAATTATTGTAGCCGAAGTGATGTCTTTGTGGTGATAACCCAATACTAACGTTGCCAGAATCGCCTTGTGGCGCCTGTGGAACAGCCATGCCCGAGACCTGTTGACTAGCGGCGGAGGATACTGGAGGCGGTGGTGGGGTATCTGGCTCGTGCGCTACTTGTGAGTACTTTTGAAACTGAACTAACGCATTGTTCGTCATTGTATTCCGATGTTGTCGTTCATCGTATATGGTCTGTTCCAATGGAGAATGAGAATTGGTCTCAACAAGTTTTGGGGATCCGTCTACATTCAGGTCGCCCAGGTAGGGCGGTAACGCCGAACTGGTTGCCACTTCATTGTTATTGCCTCGTGATGGAGAATTGCCTGATGAAAAGAGGAACAAACAATATCTTTTAACAAGAATGATCATCACCACCACTACAAATGGATAGATCCTCATTGCCTACCCAAGGAAAATAACTGGCGTCTCAACCTACCTGGCGTCTGTCGTAACGACTCTACAACCGATTGAATCATATCCAGCTGTTGTTTTTGTGTATGTATCTGCTCTTGTGCTCTAGCAATTTCATGAGCGAATGTCTTCTCCATGCTCTGGCACATTTGTTTCAATTCTAAGATTTGTTGCTTAAGGTACAGTGTGTTATTGTCGTCACAGTGCAAGACCATTGCATGCTTTCGACTCGATAAATTAACATTTAGATTGGGCGGTTGTTGCTGATGCATCGATGCCAAAGGGCTATTCAAAACCATGGATCGCTTCGATACATCCTGTAATCGTCGTTTATCTTCTATCCCGCTACGTTGCATATTTTCGTAATAATCGTCATGTTCAGAGTCCGACCCAACCGGGATGATGGTTTCGGTGTCTAGTGCTTCAGCTTTGACCAACTGTGAAGACCGACGTCGCCGCTTGTTACATACAGAAGTCTTTCGGCGAATGAGATGGAATAAATCTCTACGACCAGGTCGAAAGTTGACATGGTACCAGCGACAAGACTCTCGATCTTTTGGTTCCTTGTATTTCCTTGCGTCGGTATCGCGCTGAAATCCATATATCTAATAGATGTGGGTGAGTCACACAAATTTTTGGGACAGACAATATTGAGCTTAAAAAGTCCACCTACATTCAGCTGTCTTACAAAGGATGCAAATTTACAGTGCTTGAAAAGCTTTGGTAAGACCGTATCCGTAAATTCTAAGATGCCATTTTCGAGGGGTAAGTGGGAACGGGGGTGGGGAGAGGGAGATGATTGGACCAAGGAAAAGAAAACAACAAAAAACAAGAGGCGTAACTTGACTGTTAGCATGCAGGGATATCACATTGCGATACAGCAAGATTTATGTTACTTACTAGGGATACAATCTATGACAAACATATCTTTACCATTTGCCTTTGTCCATCGTGCGTACTTATTGCCGTCATCGGGTGCTTGCAGTGCTCTAAGCAGAAGTTTGAAAAACAGGTATTAGTTGGGATACGTACACATATACAAACACGCTTTATATGTTCAGGTATATATGATTTTTTTTTGATTTCTTTCCTCGCAGCCGCTTGAGCCTACTGCTTTCAAAGGTTGGTCGAGCAGCGGTCATCGGACGAGCTGAGATCCCCAAATGGTAAAATACGATGCTTACAGATAGAGTTTAGATATAAAGCCAGCTATGCCTTCGCTGAAACTTTCAAGTTCATCACTTTCATGTTCAAGGATAGGCGAAATGGTGCGATGGCGAAGGCGTACTTGCACATTTTGAGTGTGATATCGTTGAATGGCAACGGATGATTCTCTGTTGTCTTCGTCATGTTGTTCGTTGATCTGCGGCGGCGGAGCTACATGCCAATACGCATTGGCGGTAGTTTGGTTCATCATTATCGGTTGCTTTTGTCGTGATGTGCTGTTTAGTTCCCGCCTTTTAAGTCAGACAAAGTACGAGTTTGAACCGATTGATAATTTTAAACAAAAAAAGTAGTGAACCAAGAGATAATACGAGAAGGTTGTGGATGAGCGTCAACTACAAGATGTGGATGAATGTATATGGTTGTATATATAAAGGGACGATAGTTTGTTTAGAAAGAAAAAAGAGAGGGAAAGAAGGACAGGAAGAGAGAGAGAGGGAAAAAAGAGATAGGGACACCGATCAGCAAAGGGAAGATGTAAAAAAAATAATTGTGTGTGTATAAATAAAAGAAAAAGGAAGAGAAAAGAAAGCTTTGTGACCTTCAGCTTGTCACAAGCCCTCTTTTTTTCTTCCTTTCCATCCATGCTTGGCGTCTTCAATCACAGCTTTGAACATCGCATACCAAATCGAATTATACCTCGCACCATGTTGCTCCTAGGCAGTCCCTCAATATTTCTATCATCTTCATGCTTTATGGAAGAATAAATGATTTTCCCTTATCTTCATCCCTTTGAAAGGACCGTCTCCGTTTTCAACAGGTTAGAATATGGTGTTGCACATTGGCTGGCTGGGTTGTGACAACGACTGATAGTTGCGGTGGTGCAACATTGGGGGAAATCGAAGCCATGCTCAGCTGCTGAACGCGGAAACTATGCTCTACCCGCTTTGGCCGAGATGATCTCACATTGTCATTTTTTCCTTCACTGTGAGGGACGATCTTTCTCTTTGACTTTAGTGAAACGACGAATGCAAACTTACGTCCATCTTCGCACAATGTTTATTGAACTCTATACAGGAGAATAAAATAAATTTGAATAATAAATAAAAAATAAAAAAAGAGGACCCACCACTGTACACCCCGAAGAGTATTACCCAGTGTCATCGGTGGCCCCCGAGACTGGTCAAGTCCCAAGTTGCCTACCCATCATATCTGAATAAATGCCGCAGGAGGCACAGGCAAGGAAACAATTACTCCGCGCCTGAACCTAAGATTATTGTTCAGTAATAGGCTGATTTCATTTTCATAGTCATACAAAAGCATACTGATCTTTCAAATTACGTGTTCGAAATGCCCAAGCCATATGCAATACCATGCTATACGCTGCATGATATCCGCTTCAGGATAAAAAGGATGTTGAGCATAAACATTTCCCAACTTTTTTCGGCGGAGCTACATGGGGGTTCCCTATGTGATTTCAACATACATACTTGTAAAGTATGCGATGGGATAGGATAGGGTGCGGTGTGTCTGTCACAATACAGCCAAATAAAAATGAGAAGGTTCAAAAGGAGGCACATTTTAATACAAGGGTGGGGGGTTAAGGTATGTGATCACCTTTTTGGCCGTGCGTTATTGATAATGCCACCAGGCCAAAAAACTCCACCTTTACCGGCACACCTACCGGGATCCATGTAATGACCAACATTCTGCACATGACGGAATGTTCACGACAGTTGTCGAGCTTGGCCATGGCCGCCTATAGCCGCCTTCACTTTTTGAGGCCTCAAGCAATTCTGCCTTGGCTTGTGAATATCCCAGAGCCCGAGATTTTTTCGTTTCTATTTCCCACCTTGACCAACCGGTGTCTTCAAACTTTGAATGGGTGTTGTTTCAGAGAAATTAAAGACCTGTGAGTGTGCCCATCTGCATCACATCGTTCCACTCATTCTAATCATGAAACAAAATGCTTACTATATGCTCTTCCTATATGAAATGTATTCTTGCCGTCCATCATGCAGGGCGCATGGGAGCAGTGGGAACATGGCTGATAGTAGCGTTTTCTTTTTTTTCCTTTTTTTTGAATGTCCACTTAACCGACCGGGGAATTTCGAGATTAAACCTGGTAAAATGCAAACGGGCTTTGTAACTACCATTTCCACAAAAGTTTGCCCATGTTTTGAAGTAAAAATTATACATGTGAGCTTTTCATAACTGAATAATTACGTAGGGCTGCTGGTATCAGATATTCGCTTTTCTGTGTCTTCCATTGTTCCTCATGCGGGCTTTCATTTAACTTGCGGGCATTAGTTTCTAGCAAGTCAGTCAGTCTTGCTTGGCTCACTGAAATGTTTGATCTGGCAAATGGGTAGAGAGGTTTTGGTTACAGAAAAGTTGTCAGTTATTGGTATGAGCTTCCGGGTCACGTTAGCATCTCGGCTATACCTGAATCCGATCCTTACTACTGCGCTCAGCCCACTTGATCAATTTAGTGTCGAAAAATTATTCATAGTCTTTTTTTAAGCCTCGTACCCATTCACTTCACAATGGCCAGCATTAACGACATTCCTTACAAAGTCATCCAGCACAATCCAAATGAAGAAACGAGGAAAGTCCCTATACCACTAACCAGCGAAGGTTTCTTTTTTCACAACGAACGAATGAAATTTACCGTAAAGACGAGCTCTCGCCACCATGCAACGAAACTTCCCGGCTTTGTATATTTGACGAATAAACGCCTTGTTCTGATCGCAAAGGAGCCAAAAGACTCCTTTGAAAGTTTTCAAATCATCTTTGAGGAAGTGATGTCGCTGAAAGCAAACCGGACTGTGAAGTCTACGCTATCGTCGTACGTATGCCATACCGTCCATGAACATGGAATCCAAGTCGAACTGGATTTCCACGATGCCGCACAATGCCAGACATATAATGATTATATGAAAATGATTGTCGTTACGGCCGCTGCACAGAATTTGGCTCCTGCCGAAACGGAATTGATGGAAGCCACTCGTATTGAGTATGTGGAGTTGCCGCCATCTTACAGCACAGTTGCGGCGGGTGTATCCGACCCGATTCTGGAAGAAAATCCCATACATCCAAGCCGTAGCCAATCCATCCCATCCTACAGTGCCACTCAGTCGCTAATCTAAAGTAGATGACTTCATCTACTCAAGCATTGTAGATACATTCCGTTGTAACATCATAGCTGTAAATACCCGTAGTTTTGAATGGCCAATTTTGCAGACGGTAAGAATGCTCGTTCACTTCACCCATTCAATTCATGCTTCAGAAAGTCCCATTTATTGCTTGACATAAAGTAGAAACCCTGTCATCGTTGGTTCGTTTGTAGTTTCCTTTTTATTTTATTATTTTTCTTTGAAATTCCTTTCTACTTGCTTACGATTAAGACAAGCGAGATTAGTCCAGAACAGACCACATATCTCTATAAAACCTGTACTATACAATGTTCCTATCCAATGCTCTACGACTTCATCAAAACATCAATGTGACCTTTGGAGATGTTAGCGCTATCTCTCAGTCTCTCATTTGCATTACCTTCTTCTACCCGGTTCAATCCAGTAACCACCTTGCTTCGAGATCCGAGCGCTCCTGATACTGTCAGCTCTTCCACCAACTCTCTAGCATTTTTGATGCAGTCAGGAACACTGACACCAAAATAACTGGCTCCGGTAACGCTTAGCGCATTTCCAAATCGAGATTGAATAGCTGCATGCATCTCTCCCAATCGCTGGTAGTGCCCGACCTTATACTGAGGTATACATCCTGCATGAAGATGAGTCATGGTATGGGAGGGAGTTGCCTTGATTCCGAGATGGCGTTCGGCTACCTGGAGAGCTCGATCACGCACAACCTTTGGATCTATATCTTGAATCGACTTATCAAATGCACTATCCCACATGTGGCCGCCTAGCATAGCAGTGAGTTTTAATGGTGCATCTCTCTCTTGTCCACTCAAGGCATTTGAATCAAAAACCACTCCAAGCGTTCCTGGGACTGGGTGGGTATGTTGAGAGGAAACATGGGGTGTGAGGAAGCCAAAGCCGTCATAGTCAAGTTTAGCTTGATCGTTGGCATACGCCAAGTTTACGACTGCAACGTCCGCATGTCGGTTATAATTGAGATGCGGTATTTGGCTTGATATGATTTTGTCTAGATGTATAGCAGGGAGAGTCGATACAGTATGCGATGCATGGATGATACCTTTACTAGTGACAATCTGAGAGAGACGTTGGGGTGAGTACCAAACAAACCATGAATATGATAAATAATGGCCAGCATTGTAGTGAACATACCTTGCAGTCTCCTCCAGTAGTCAAATCAAGGGATTCAACCTTTTCATCAGTTCTAATTTCGACATTGTCCTGCTGTCCCAACCATGTGCCAAGAGCTCGTGTCAACGAGTCCACACCATCTTTAAAACCTATGACGCTCATAGCTTCCATTTCTCCAAACCATTCGGGATCGTTGTTCCTTGCACGGGTCATCATTCCACGTTCCCGAAAGCGATCCATTTTGGCTCCTCCGCGTAGCATGCCTCTCACCACACTTCCAAACGCTTGTTCGTTTTCCCAAAGCATCTTGAGGGTGGTGCGTAGGGAAAGCTCTTTCGCATCGCCAGCGTAGATGCCATGCACCATAGCACCCACCAGGTTTGTTGCGACGTGCGTTCCAAAACGTCTTTCCGTAAAGTCATAAATGCTTTCATCGTCTGCCATTGATTTCTTAACAAACATCTCCTTCATACCCGATAACAAGACGGACTTCATAATGGGAGGAGGATTCAGCAGCATCTCCTTTAACGAAGAGGGAAGAGTGTTGATGCGGTCTTCATAGTAAATGTAACGATGGCGTGCGGAAGAATGGGTTTTCGGTATAGCTATTAAATTATCTGTCAAATTGAGGTCGCGTATCTAAGTATAACAGGAGTTCAGAGTGTTGGCCAACACGACTAAGTTTTAATGCTCAATTTGTCTCACCAGGTCTAGTGTCACTACACCTCCGGGGCCAACAGGCCGCAAAGTTCTTGGACCGCCCTCAAAAAGGACGTTACTATCGTTCGTCATGTCTGCATTGCTTGAGATTGGAATGTGTCGATCCAAACCGTATTCGCCTGGCGCGACTCGACAACTTTTAATCCAACCGCCAAGACGGTTCGATCCTTCGGTCAATATGATCTTAGTTCCATGAGGGGCTAGCTTTGAAAGGTAGTATGCGGTTGTGAGGCCGGAAATGCCACCACCCAGGACGGCAATGGTGGACATGTTGGGTATTGAAATTTCAGTCCCAGAGTTAGCGCGCACCAGTCAATCCCACTTTTTTTTTTTTTTTTTTCAGCGCTGTTTGAACCAACCTTGATCAAACGATGACCCCTGCGACCGAAAAACCGCGGCTAAGACACTGTTATTTGCCTGAACTTCACCAGTGAAGGTGCATACTGAAATTCCTTTGTACATTCATGTCTAGAAGCATTATCATTTAGATCGCTCCTAAGAAACTGCATTGTAGACTACTCACCTTCCGTAGCTATCACATGTTTTGTTGGTCCTGAAGAGGGAGTGATATGGGCAAAAAGAAAGTTTTAAAAGAAAAATGAACAAGCATAATTGCCTTGCCATCGACCTTGTAGTAAATACTGTTTACAAACATGCCGTTCTGCGGTTTCTGTGTGTTTTTGTTCAAATGCAGTAAAACATTGTAAAGCGCGCGAGAGCTTGGGCCTGGTTTCTTTTTTTTTGTTTTTTGGGCACGCATCGACAACAAACGCGATCCCAAGCATGTCGCTGAAACAAGAGCGCTTCTGTCATCACGCAAGGAACAACCGGCTGCCCATCATTCCGGCAGCCAGAACAAATTAAATGGTCGTTTCACATAGATGATCCGATATACTGGAGCTAATTAATTCATATCACATCCGTTGCTTCCCTCGTGCTCACGGCAAGCGGCACTCTGGCTACCAAAAAGCGCTGTTTTGGGCAAAATGTGTCCCAATTCACCAGAGAGAAGGTTTGAATCCGAGGCCAATTTTTAGGCGTTTCCATATATAGGAGGCACGTGCAGAGGTAGGGGTTGGCCCACCAGGAAATGAGGGACCAGGATATCAGCACGTTTGTGTAGCAAATAAATTATACTCAAATCGTGTGGCAAAAAAAGATGCTCATTGGATTCGATGTCCCATAAAAGATGCCGCTTTGTAGGACAGTCCAACCAGCTTCTTGCTCCATCTCCTCTTCCTTCCCATTCTGCTTTAATTTTCTTTTTTAAAGTTCCTTTCTCTTTTCTTTTGATCTCACCACCTCTCTCCTTTCCCCTCAATGCCTAACGACGACTACAAACTCATCGACAAATTTGAGGATTACTATGAGCCCTCGACTACTCGAGCTTCATCTTCCATCGAAGAAGAAGAGCTCGGCATTGCATTGGACGACAAAGGCTTACTCCAGGAACCTCGCCGACGACATCACCGAGAGGAACATTTTGAACAGCCAGAACTCGTCCGAGACTGCATTCTAGGCTTGTCAGATGGCTTGACCGTGCCATTTGCTTTGGCAGCTGGTCTTTCATCTTTAGACAATACCAAGATTGTCATTTATGGTGGTGTTGCTGGTGAGTACACGGGAGGAGGGACAATGCCCTTCCAAACCGATGGCTAACCATGGTATTTTCAGAGCTGGTCTCGGGTGCATTGTCAATGGCTCTAGGTGGATACCTAGCTGCTCGATCTGAGATGGAACACTACAAAAACGAACGAAGGCGCGAAGAACAAGAGCTGGAACTCTACCCTGAAGAAGAGGAGGATGAAATTGTGGAATTGTTCGAAAGCTATGGTATGGACCGTGCTTCTCTTGAACCAATGCTTGCAAAACTCAGAGAATCACCAGAGCGAGCTGTGGACTTCCACATGCGTTTCGAACTGAATTTGGAGAAACCTGACCCGAATAGAAGCTGGGTGAGTACCACAAAAACTCAACGTTTTCTTTTTTTAACGCAGTTGTGGCTAAACATGTTTTCGCTTACTTTTTAGATGTCGGCGGTGACTATCGGCAGCTCCTATTTTGTAGGAGGATTAATTCCCCTTATACCCTATTTTTTTTATGAGAAGGCTAGACCTGCTTTGTATATGTCAGTACTGATTACTTCCATCACACTGCTCATCTTTGGCTACGTCAAGAGCATGTATTTGACACCACGGCAAGCCGTTGTAGGCGCATTGCAGACGTTAGCCATTGGTGCCGCAGCGGCTGCCTGCAGTTACATGATGGTTTATGTTTTCAGCTACGACGCAGAGCTGGAGACGCCTCCTCTTCCTCACGCATAAGATTAACCGTTTATGCGACAGTTCTCACATTTCACTTTGTACAACCTACTTTACTTTTGTTGTGATGTGTCTGAACGCAACTCATTACATCTACTCGTATTTATCAGACGCAACAACATCTCTATTTCCATTTGTCATGTACCATACCATTACGTAAAAAAAAAAATTCTTCTCAAGAATAAAACACCTCCCCACAATCCAATAACAATCGGAAATGCAATACGCCGTAGGATGCATGTAATGTAGATGATCAGCATTAATTGCTGCAAGGGAAGGGCGGCTCCAGATAAGGGCAATTGGACTTATATGGAGGCTTACCACATTGAAAAATAATAGTTTTCCCTCATCCTGTTCCTTAGCGATTTGAAAGCAACCCCTTCTTCTACACAAAAGATGACGAATACCCGGGGGCGTTAAAACGACTCGATGATGCAAGGGAAAGGGCAACACTTTAAGGGCAAGTATGGCCAGATAAGAGCAGATGATAGCAGTAACACTGCAGTGTTGTACCTGGCAAATGGGGTAGATCTGATAGCGAGGAACCTGGTTCTCTTTTTCGCTTCTCCGTTAATACTTCATAATACTCTATATGGATAATACACGCATGCATGAAAGTTCACTGAAAGAAGATAAATTCCTTTATTCATTGTATTATCAAACACAGCCTGACAATCAATGTACAAGTTAATCTTGGCTCCTTCCCATATTATTTTTTCGAGAATTGGAATCTACGTTTAAGCGACCATGGCGGAAGCGGTGGCGGACTCGTACTTCCAGTTGGGAGGGAGTTGGCCAGCGGTCTTGTAGTAGCGGGCAAGACGGTGGATACGGGACTCGATAAGAATCAAACGGAACTTGGAGTCCTTGTCCTTGCGGTTACGCTCAAGATGCTTGCGAACGGAAACAGCCTTCTTGATGAGTTGGTACAAATCCTCAGGGATCTCAGGGGCGAGACCGTTGGACTTGAGGATACGGAGAACCTTGTTACCAGTGACACCCTTGACTTGAGGAATGCCGTGAGAGTCACGGAGAATGACACCAATCTGGGAGGGGGAAAGACCCTTCTTAGCGAGCTTGAAGATTTGTTCGCAAACTTCCTCGGGAGTAGTCTTAACCCATGAAGGAGGAGTACGGCGGTAAGGCAGGGCACTGCTAGAGATACCCTTTCCAGGAGCGTGCATGCGACCCATTGTTGCTAAAGTTGATCGGCTGGACGGCGAAAAAGAAAGTTTTTCATAACGCTTAAGGGCAACAGAGAAAAGAAATTTCAAAACAACCGTCACAGATCACGTGTACAATCTCTTTCCAGCCCACCACACTGTAAATGAAAGTGATCCCGCTGCGTTGAAAGCGATGCTATGTTGGAGTCCCTCGCGCAATAAAATGAAGAACTGATCCTATAATCTTTGATTACTATATTGGAATTCATCAATACAAAGCATTCTACTTGATATCACTTTACTGTCTCGATTCGATTTAAATTTAATGAATGTCTTTCATCGTACGTTAGGAGGGAGTGTATAACGACGGTCAAATGATGCTTTAAGCGCGTTGCATCAATAGAACGCAAGATAATGTCAAAGGTTCCAATCTCATCGGATATGTATCAGGTTATGGTCAAAAATACGGTCATCAGGAAAAATTTACTGAAACATGAAACATAAAGCGCATCTCGGAATTCGCTCTTCATTAACTCGTTTCACTTTTCCTTTGCATACACCTTTTCTCTGCATACACCAACTCTTTTTAATATCATCCTTCATGAGCCTACACAAAGTTGCTATCATTGGATCTGGTAATTGGTAAGCCCAGCAGAAAACTACCTTCATTAAGTTACCTAGTCCGCTTATAGTATACGTTTAGGGGTTCCGCTATCGCCAAGATCGTTGGCGAGAATGCACAAGAGCATTCCAATTTGTTCGATCGACAAGTGCGTATGTGGGTTTTCCAAGAGCAGGTCGATGGCAGAAACCTCACAGATATTATCAACGAGAAACACGAGAACGTCAAGTATGCTAACACTACAGCGTGATTTCCACAAAGTGATTGTTCTAATATATCTCCCTGAAGATACTTACCTGGCATAAAGCTGCCTGAAAATGTTGCAGCCATACCAGACCTTATAGAAGCCTGTCAAGGAGCAGATCTTTTGGTATTTGTTTTGCCCCACCAGGTAATGTCAAAATACACCTGTGCTGGCTGACGCCCATTCTTATATTGACATTTGCTTGGTTTAAAACTCAGTTTGTGGGCCGAGTATGTACAGATTTGAAGGGAAAGCTTGGAAAGAACGCCAGAGCCATCTCATTGATCAAGGTAGGCGGAAATGCTGAATACAGATATTAGCAGCTATATATATTAAACTAAGGCTGTAGGGACTGGCGTTTCATGACAATAACATCTCGTTGTTCACTGACGAAATCCAAAACACATTGAACGTACCGACAGCAGCACTTAGTGGAGCTAACATAGCTGACGAGGTGGCTAAAGAAATGTTCTGTGAAACCACCATAGGTAGCCAAACATACGAGGAGGATGGAGAACTATGGTTCAAGGTACTTGTTTGTGGCATGCTCAGTAGAGAATTCCATTTACGCCGTCCCATCTCGAAATTAATGCTGCTATATTCAATTCAGCTTTTCAATACTGCGTACTTCCATGTAACTGTTATAGAAGACTCTGTAAGCGTTCAAATATGTGGCGCTCTTAAAAACGTCATTGCCGTTGGCGCTGGTTTATGCGACGGACTGAAGTATGTACACTGCTTTCACCTATGGTTACTGTATTGCCAGTGATTAACTCACGACGTTATAGATATGGAAACAATACGAAAGCTGCGGTCATCCGACGTGGGTTGCTTGAAATGAGAAAGTTTGGAAAGTCATTCTTCGGAGGTGTACGGACGGAAACCTTTTTCCGTAAGTGGCAAGACATTTCACGATGCCGTTTCGTTTCGAGTCTAATTCTATACTACTTCCAATTACAGAGTCATGCGGTGTTGCAGACCTCATCACAACATGTCTTGGCGGACGCAATCGAAAAGTCTCGGAAGCTTTTGTGAATTCTGGAAAGGTAAGAAAGGTACATACCTGTCAGAACTAATGCCATATCAATACTGAAGCGCAACCACAGTCTATTGAAGAATTGGAGCAAGAGATGCTTAATGGTCAAAAACTGCAAGGAACAACCACGGCAAAGGAAGTGCATGAGTTTTTGAAGGCTCGGAATATGACAGAAGACTTCCCTTTGATGACCACCGTTTATAGAATTATATATGGTGGCGAGCCTCCAGAGACCATTGTTCGAGACATTTGATAATACAATAGCTTGTATGCTGCACTGTTTGCGTTAGAAGAACACACGAAAATTTTATAGAACAATTTTAAATCGTATTTTGAACATTGAAAAAGGTTTTGAAAAAGGTTTTGATAGATGGAGTACTGGTTTCGTTGAATTAACAGTTACTTTCATAAGAATTCTTTCCAAACATTAGAAGGCGTGCCAAAATTACAACATGGTGACTGTCATTTAGCTGACCACCGCTTTTAGCCCATTTCTGGTCTTCACTAAATGATTGCAACTGTATTTCCTGCCTGACTTTACATTATGAGCACTTTACAGCGAATCTCTTCTCAATGCGTACGATCATACCGAACCAGTTTGGGATCTTCCATGTCAAGACGTGGCACACAAGTAAAACTTCAGCCCAGACTTCAGCCTGTAAGAATCGTGGCCAAGAACGCACCATTCTCAAGTTATGCACCAACTAGAAGAATTCAAATCCCACCTCTTCCTATTGCCCTCTGTGTCTTTGGCTTTGGCTGTCTGGGATTTGGTCTCTACCAATACTTTACGTCCGATATTCAAAAATATCCTGTGCCTGTCAGACAAGCATTGCGAAAGGCTTTGTACTATGAAAACTATGGCAATGACCCTTCCCTTGCCGAAGACTACTACAAGCAAGCTCTCGAGCTAGCATTAGCAGGCGAGGAACTTGAAAATCACAGCAGATACGTGAGCGGTATCATGATCCAGTATGGTACTTTGTTAGAACAACAGGGCAAGCCGCGAGAGGCAAGGGATGTCCTCACGAACTGCATTAGTCTTATTCTTCATATCAACAAAGAGGACGCTGCAAATTTCGTCAAGAACGTTGATTTAGCTCAAACGGAATTAGACGGAGAAGATCGAATGAAAGCTTTGGGGATTGCTCAGAAACTTGGGGATCTGAATGTTCAGCTCAAGGACGACGCGGCTGCGGAAAAGTGGTATAACTGGAGCGTCGAGCAAATGTTTAAATCGACCCTACCGAATGCGAATGGGTCTGGCATGGAATTGGATGCGAAAGAAAAGCTGTTCAATGCTGAGAATATGCCCAAATGGTTAACGAAAACGGATGTAGGCGCTTCGATGGAAGCATTGGCAGCATTTTATGCAGAAAGAAGAAAATATGATTTCGCCTTACCGCTCTATCTACGTTCATTAACGCTATACCCGGCTGTCAGAGAGGAATGCCATGCAGCGGTTTTAATGTGCAATGTCTCTGAAGTCTTTGCTGGTATGGGCCAATATCAAGAGGCCATCAAGTGGGCGGAGGATGGCATCGAACTAGCTAAAAACCCTAATACTGGAAAGAAGGCTGGTGATGACCGCAGAATATGCGATGAAGCTCTTGGTGTTCTCCTGCATAATATTGGTATGGTATATGAGGTGAGTGGGACATACATGCGCTTAGTTGAGGTGGTTGCCGCGTACTAAAGAATTTTGCATGTAGCAAACCGGTGATATGCAAGGCGCTCTTGTCTACTATAATCGATGCCGTAAACATGCCCAGGATCTCAAGTTAGTCGCCACCAAACGCGAAGCTGAGGTAGCATTGAAGCGAGTCAAACTAAATGACCAAGCAGCTGTGGAAAGTGGCAGAAGCTCAATGTTTGATCAAAAGCTGTGAGAAACGGTTCTATGACTATTCCCAAGGCTTAAAAAATAGATAAATACGATAGAATACTTTGGAAACTTTTTTTTTTTTTTTTGGTTGGGATTCGACTTTAATGTCAAGCATTTTACATGTTTCATTACTTTAATCAAGAAAAAGAGTCTGGGATGGTAGAGGAAATATTAAACAACAACTATAGGTATTATTTGTGGATAGAGAAAGTATAGGTAGTGCTCTGAGTATATTTGTCACCAGCCTTGACAAGTCCAGTGTACTTGTCACCCCATTGAGGGTTGTTAATACCATCAATATAGTTTTCAGCTTCCAAGACCAAGCAGCCATATTGCTCAACAAACTTGTGATTTCCGTTAGCCTGAGTCTTCTTTACTGGAATGGTACCATCCATGGTGACGCAAGAGTAGAATTGGTATGCGACTTGGTCAGTGTTGATGGCCAACTGAATTCCAGTATGAGGAGAGTAGAGGGTAAGGGTTTCCTCGCTGGGATTGGGATCAGTGATAACCCAAGCGTTGTCGTAACCTGTGCAGTTAGTGCCGCATTCCTGTGCCGTCATCAAGTCCTGGCCAATAGCCTTGGGTTGAGTGAAGTCGAGAGCAGTTCCACTGACGGATGCAATTTCACCCGTTGGCACTTCGTATTCATCGCACTTGATGAACTTGTCTGCCTTGATTTGCAAAACATGGTCCTTGATGGTGGGGTCAGGAGAGGTAAAAGCATCCAATCGCCAGTATGTGTGTTGAGACATCATGATGGGGGTATCAGCATCTGGAGAGCCTTCATAGTCAATGGTCCACTGTTGCTTGTCGTTAACGGAGTCTGAGTGAACACGGCATTAGAAAATGTGTAACTGGCTTCTTTAGCATGCCCGTAACATATCACTTACATTTTACTTTTGTCAAGAGGTTGCCTGGGAAACCTTGATCACCAGAATGGCTGTAAGACTCAAAGACAATATAGTCATTACCCTTGTCGGTGATGGTCCAGTTCAAACGGTCAGTTCCAGTGAAGCCGCCATGCAAGGTGTCAACACCATGCTCATTAATGGGTGTGAAATACTTCTGACCGTTGACTTCAAAGGTTCCATTCTTAATGCGGTTAGCGTATCTGCCGACGAGAGCTGGTGGAATGATATGGCGTGAGATACATCAATTGGAACTGTTCCTTGAAAAGTGTGCAAGAACTTTACCTCCAAAGTAAGGATGCTGAGCATTAACATTGTATTGTGTGGTATCATCCCAACCCAAAATGACATCTCTCATGACACCTTCCTTGTCATTGACCCAAAGATTGGTAATTACAGCGCCATATTCGATGAAAGAGGCTTCAATACCCTTGGCCTTGATGGTGTGCTTTTCATAGACGCTCTTGTCATCCCAAGGAAGAGCCTTTTGGGATCCAAAAGGAGCAGCCAATGCAGCAGCTGCAAATGTCAATATACCAGCGAATGCGGCCTTCATTGTAAACTATAAGTTTCTTTGAAAAGAGAGATGTAAGAGAGTGTGAGGTGTGCCAATTCCTTCACGCTACTTCGCTTTATATGCGTCGAAACTTCACCTGTCATACTTGGTTGATGACGATGATTTCCGCGGAGACAAATATGAAAAAGTTCTTCCGTTCTCGCTCGCACAGTAGCCATAAGGTTGCAGAGTCTCAACATTTACCTAAGCAAATTTTTCCGAGGTTCCAAAAAGCCCACTAATAACAATAGTATAAGTAAGTGATACAAACCGGGAAGAAACGCTTAGCCAAGCATGGATCGCTCTTACTCACGGGCTGGTATATCCATCATGGAATGGGGAGGAACACCGCTCTACGGCATGGAAGGAGAAAGCGACGCAAAGGGCAAACAGACGTACGTTGCCCCGCATTACTTAATTTGCATGTTCAGTATTCTCCTTTACTCCAGTTGTAAAAAGCTTCCGAAATGCGTTGCACTCGACGAATATCCCCAGGGCAAGAAGGTTTGTGCGCACATTAGTGAAATGATGCCGGTATAAGATACCATTCTAAATTTGAATACCGGTCATTGCGGGGGGGCAACTGTTTTTTCACACTGTGGTTGTATTTGTTTGCTTTTTCTTTTTTTATATCGGCCGGAAAACAGTGCATAACGCAAAAAAAGGTCCATCTATGAGAATGGTGATAGGAATAGGCTATTGAATGCTTTGTAGCTTAACAAACGTTCACTAACTACAGCACCAAAGGTAGGGAACCACTATTACGATGTTGCACAATTATGCAGCGTTCATACTTGCTATGGACTAAATTTTAGCCTAAAATGGAACTTTTCCCGCCAGCTTTCCCCGCAAAGGTCCCTGTCCATTACTTAAGACGCTAGCACGAAGGTTGGAAAGAATAATAAGGTAGTTTAGGTTTATTCTCTTTTAGAAAAAAAAAAAAGTATCAAGCGTAAAAGAATTAGATGGTATTCATCATCTCGCTAGAGTGAATCTCTATTCCAGATCCAACGGGAATCCGCTCGGCAGTTTGTCCGTAGCCGACCCATTCCCAGCATCGATGTGGCTCGCCACGGACTTCGGCTGACAAAGTTCGCACGTTGGAGTTGCTTTCCACAATCTTACGAACATGGTTCCATAGATGACGTCTACGCTCCACTGAAGGCTCTTGAGCTAATATCAAATCCCGAAGATGAGTAATAGCGCAGCATGCTTGAGGGAATAAAACAGGATCAATATGATGGTTACGCTCCTGGTGAGGTGAAATAAACAGAAGTGTTAGGATGTTAGACGACAAGGAAACTACAGTATATAGAGGGGTTCATCTTACCTGGTCTTGAAGCTTCACGAACGCCTCGCCGGCCAACTCGGCCACGAGCTTCATGTCTTTTCTTCGCTGGAGATATTGGTAGTTGCCATAGCCAATAAGACCTACAACTGCCAGTAATCCTGTGGAGTTTATTCCGGGGTAAGTATCATTATCTAATCAACGTATGACTGTGACACAAATGCGCCTTACCTCCGAGTTCAAACCGCCAACGATATAATACATCTTTGATTTGAAGGCGTACTCGGCAACCTAAAGAGAGTTTGGGCTGACGAGATATCATGTATTTTTCATCACCTCTGCAAAAAGCACACAGCAGAAAGGAAATAAGGTTAAAGAACGTGTTGCGACGAGAACTTGTTAGCAGAGAATAGATCATACCGGTCGAGGAAGCTCACTTCTCTTTCACTGTACGTCATGAGGGAAGCCATAGCCAGACGCCAGTATTCCTCTAATTGTTGCTCGCTGATGGTGTCCTGGAAAAAAGGTCGATAGAACTAAAGGGTTAGCAAAAGTGCAAAAAGATATGAGATAGGCATCGGAATATTGTAACACCCCATCATGATCATGCTACTTACAGGTTTGCGTGCTAGAAGCTCAGTCCATACATCCTCAACCTTCATAGACGCAACCTCCTCCTCAGTCTCTCCTTTTTCCGCTTTGATATCGCCACAGATGTATTGTCCCTTCTTCACAGCGAGCATGTGCTTGATTTGGTTCTCCACTCGGAAGGCCCGTCGCTGCTTGACAGTATCTGGAACACACTTTTCACCGACTGGAATCCATCCTCCAAAACTAAGCATGCTTGGGATTCTAACAAAAAAGTCATCGCATCCTAGCAGACGTCCTTTGGTGCAGTGACCATGTTTAGGGCAGGGAATACAGCTTGGGCGGACGGCATCCCAAATGGTGGTACCATTAACATCTAGATCCAATAAGTCTACTACATGGTTTGGAATAGATTGGTCAGCTCTGCTAATATACAACATCATGTGACGATGCTTTTACTTACCTTGTGTGCCATTTCCGCTATTTTCCTGTGAAAGATCACAATAGCCAATTCGGTGTCGCTCTAAACACCAATAAATGCAGTATAGTCCTAACAAAATCGAAATGGCGGAGGTCACGATTTGTTGTAAGGGATGCTTAGCGGTCTTGTTAACAACAACTGCATACTCTGGTCGACTTGACGACGAGGATGTGGTAGCCACTGATTTTGGTTTTGCTGATGTTTCGTCTTTTGAGGAGGAGGCGCTTGTCTTTGGTTTAGTTTTAAGAACCGTTTTAGGTTGTTTACGCTCTACATGGTGCTCTTCCTCGCCTCCAGAAGAGGCAAATGAGTCTTGCGGGTTGAAGTATTGGCCAGATGGTTGCGCTTCACGTCTGCTCCTTCGACTTGAACCTTCTACCTTGTCTTTTGATGCTGAAGGCTTGACTACGTCAGCAGTGATTGCTTTCTCAGGTTCAATATGTTGCTTTTTAGATTCTGCAGTCTGCTTACCAACGGCTGTCGGAGCCTAAAATGACACCGTCAACATGCAATCACCAAACCAAATGTTCGCTACCTCGCTCACTGTACCTTACGACTTTTTCGCGTTATAGAAATATCAGATTCTGCACCGCTTTGGAATGGATTTGCATCAGAGAAAACCGGCTCCACATGTTTCTATACAATGGTCATAAGATTAGATTAAGGTAGAGCTGGTTCAGGAGTATTTCAAGTAATTTTTACCTTGTCAGTAGATCCATCCCCAGCCGAATCCTATGAAATACCACCATAAACAAATGTATAAACAACTTGATGTGATACATCTAGTACAATTGCATTCCGTCACTCACCTTGGTGGGTTTGTCCTTCTTTCGTCTAATAGAAGAGCTTTTGGCGGTAGTAGGTTTGGCATCGACCTCCGATTCTGACGTCAAGCCTGACCCCACCGTCCACTCAGTAGTTTTTGGCTTCTTGCGAATACTTGTAGATTTAGTTTTGCTAGGCTGAGCAGGTATAGCGAAACCTTCTGCATCCTATGAAATGAAGACACTCCGTTAACACAACGCATTGAAGAACTCTCCTTATTCCGTCACAATGACTTACCACAGAGGTAGACTTGGCTGCGCGCTTTTCACGTCTTGCTTTCGCGTTGATTGACTCCTCCCCATCGCTATCCTTTCCTTCTTCTTCATCGTCACGTTCTGCCTCATCGACAGGGGCACTTTTGCTCGAAGCTTTGCTGGTGCTGCCTTTCGCCTTTTTGTCCGTGTTAACGTTGACGATTCCTTTACCATTGGGCTTGAGCTGTCGATGCAAACTCAAAATTTCATCCGCCTTGCTAGCTACATTCTTCTTAAATGATTGAACGAGTTCAGGCTTTTTGGCCGTTGGGGTGTATGGCACATCGTGCTTCAACAGAATTCCTCGGAGCTCTGCAATTTTCAGATGACTAGGATCAAAGCCCTCGTCTACGAGAAAAGGGGTTGAGCAATAGGTTATGACGGAAGTAGCTGTGGATGAAGGTACTTACTTAGGTAATACAAATCTGGAGGTACGTCCGTCATTGTGGTTTTGAGCGCGTAAAAAGTTGCAGGAAAGAAAAAGTTCGACCTATATGAAAAATTTCTTTGCACTAAAGCAAAAGATTCGCTGGCACTTGGAAAGACCTGGTGTCACGTGCCTCATGTCCTTGCTTTTCTGTGCCAACCTTGAGGCAATCGCTTCAGCCATTACAAAAAAGCATCTATCTTATTAGTACTCGTCAATTTGATGCATAAAGAGATTATGAGCGATGCCCTCTTAACTAAGTGCATCCCTATCAATGTGCACAGCTACATTGGGGCATGATTTTTGACCGAATAAGCTATCAAGGGGGGATGAGAACGAGACTATTTGAGCTTTGAAGATTGAAAACTACAGTAATCTATGCTATAAATACTTGCACATCTAGTGCACATGCAGCGCTTCGTAGGTGTTAGGAGAGCAAACAGTTTATGCTGAGTGAATTGATGACGTTTAAGCGGAGTTTAGACACGGCCAGCTCACAAAGACTTACAGTTGCGGGATATGAGAAGCTGTTTCCAGAAGTCAAATCATAACCCTCAAAATGTCTTCCGCCATGGATGTCGATGATCAGCCCGTTGCACAGGAACCTTCTCCAGCACCTCAGGAAGAGACGAAAGGAAAGGGAAAGGCAAAGGATTTGGAGAAAAAGCGCTTTGAAGTCAAGAAGGTACGATTTCACGCATGCAGTAGCAATTTCCTTGGTGTGCAATGCAGTAACCGTCTCGATCTCGTTTTTTCTAGTGGAATGCTGTTGCTTTATGGGCATGGGGTACGGTTTTACACGAGAGCTGCATATGTGTTCTCACAACTGCTTGCGATTAAACACGTTCTTTAGATATTGTCGTCGATAACTGCGCCATTTGCCGAAACCATATCATGGATTTATGTAAGCAAGCAGTCAACATCCCTTGAGTTCGTATGCTGTTTTTCATTGAATCACTCAACCCAATCGTTTACAAAAGGCATTGAGTGTCAAGCAAACCAGGCATCTGCAACATCCGAAGAATGTACCGTAGCATGGGGTATCTGCAATGTAAGTTATCGCATTCCACAATTATAGCCTAGAAACCTAAGCTAACGCATCTTTTCGCACTAGCACGCTTTCCATTTCCATTGTATATCTCGTTGGTTGAAGAGTAGACAGGTGTGTCCCTTGGATAATCGCGAGTGGGAGTTCCAAAAGTATGATATTGTGAATGTTTAATGATTATAGGGTGTCGTAATGTTCTTTCGTTTACAAAATTATCATCTTTAGGTATGGACGATAAGTTTGTTACCAGTTACGTTATGACGATAGAGCTATCAGTTTTGCTGTATGACCTTTCAAAGCAGCTCCGAACACGAATACCATCATATCTATCAGTGACCCTTTGTACAAATGGTTTAGACACCTTGTTCACAACCAGTCCCCTCTCCCTGTTTCCCTTCATTCTTGCCATTGTTGAGTCAAGGCTCTCAGAAACTGGCTATCGCAATAAATTTCTGTTTGAAAAATGTTACAAGATTGTCTATTACATGATCTTTCATTATACTTTCTATTTAAACATGCGGAGGTATGCAAGGATAAGAGCTCCAGCACCAGTAATGGTACCTGCAATATTTCATAAATATTAGCATTGATGATCAATGTGCTTGGCTCAAGTGGAATGCATTGCCGTGTGGGCTGTGGTAACTTACCAACCATATATTGTAATATTTGAAACTTGATAGCTTCCATTTGCGTTCGCAGACCAGCAATTTCGCTTTCGATTCTGGTATCTGTCTCTTTTATCTTGATTTCCTGAGCACTCGCTTCATCGCGTATCCGACCCTTTTCCAAGTTAAGGTCGAGACGAACATTAGCTTGAGTCCTGGTAATTTCTTCGCGGAGCTTTTGTCTTAGTTTTTCAATCTCGCCCTGAAGGCGCTCATGTTCTGCCTTCATCATGGTAAAATCGTTCTTTTCCAGTAGTTGTATTTCAGATTTGAGACTTGCAAAATCCACTTTATAGGTATATACGGTCTTCTCCTGCTCAGCTTTGGTCACCATAGTGTTGCTCAAATTAACCATGCTGTTGATCACATGGAAAGAGAGAGATTTAGCTTCACCAGGAACCTTGCATATGCAAAGTAAGACATGTGAAGGTATTTACCTTTCGTCGATCACCTCTCGTAGACTGGACATGACAGCTTCACTTTGCTCCAATGTAAATCCCTCTGCTTCCAATCGTCTAACAAATTTAAAAGTATCAAAGTGATATGGAGACACGCTATTATCCCTTGCAAGTGGAGTGCTGTGAAATCCTCGTCGATCGCTAGAGTATAGTGTAAGTTGTCTTTGTTCCAAAGATATTCCTCTATATGCAGTTGATACCAGTGATCTGCTGCATTGGAGGGATTGTGACCTGTTGGTTTGAGGAGCTAATTCTTTACATTAGCAAAGGTACCAGAAATAGATACGAAGCAATTCAAGTATTGACTTTACCAGAATGAAGGCTGATGGCCGGTTTGCTCGCTATATTTGAGGAGATATTTGACTTGCTGAGATTTGAGACAGAAAGTTTCCATAATTTTGATGCCATGGTCAATGGCTAATGGACTTCAAATGTGTGGAGTAAACTCTGTTTTGCAATCCTCAAAGTGCTGGTGAGTAGCGGAAGTATCGGCGTTTCAAATTTGTCAGTAATTTGGTTTGCTGGTGACTCTTATTCATCGCTGGAGTCTGTCATTCATTATTGCGGAAGAACAAGTGGCAGCTACGTTTTGCTTATAAATATTGTGGGAAATTGAGCTTTTTTTTTTAATCATTGATCTTCTTCTTTCTCATCCATTGTTCAACGGTAGAAATAACGTTGGCCGCTTTGAATCTGGAGCTGCTTTCATCCCATTTCTACAAGGGTGCTGACACTGATGACTTGAGGACCACACGAAATGATTTCTGGACATGAACGATAAGAAACATCATACCTCATCGATGAACAGAAAACCACCTGCAGAATAGATGTAAAGGCATTTTCAAGATATTTCTTCAATGTTGAGCATGAACACCATCTTACAAGCAATATGGCTGAATAAAAAAAAGCTGTGTACGCACCGATTTTTCTACCATGACCAGACATGAATACAAAACGAGAGTCATCTTATCGTTCTCGCTCAGTTTGAGAGATGATTAAGAATTTTTAGCGTTTTTGAAACGCAAATGGGGGGTAGGTTGTATTCTAAAACGCTGGATATGGAAATTTGCCCTTGTTGACATTTTGTCATCCTGAGCATTCCAATGGGCACTAATGAAGGTTCGTTCCATTCCAAACTTTCCCCTTGTCTTTCCTTTTCTCTCCCGGGAGACTAACAGAAAAGTTTTCATAGAGTTCATGCAACAGCTGTACAATGAGATTGGTTCATTTCTGGACCGTAAGTGACTATTGTTTGCATACGCCATTCCACTGCCGAAATGGAACTGAACGATTAATCATGTCGAGAATCTCCACTAGATCGAATAGATACGCCTCCACTTGATATCCCAACAAGCAAGCAGAGTCAAACGGAGTACGAGACAGACTATTTAGATACGCGACGTCGAGGTAGCTCGCTTTATCTGCAGGCTGCCCCTGGATCGTCGGTTACGGTCCACAGGTACGGGTTTATATGAATTTTTGTTACAAGCATATTCTCTTTGTTACGGAGTTTAACCCTAGCATAGCCATAGTTCACCAGTTCCTTCACCGACACATTCTGAATCAAGGTTGAGTCGCCGCTACTCTGGTGCTTCAGAGAGAGCGCAGTCTCCATCATCTTGTGTGTGTTTCAGGTGTAAAAATAGGTCCAGGCCGAGCTCCATCAGTAGTGCTAACGACCAATCTGTGACGTGTGTATGTTATAAGTGCGAAAAGGCGAAACAAAAGGAAAACGGCGGCGCAGGATCCAGAAGCCCTAGTTTTTCGCATTCAGAACACCACTCTAACCCACCCCACATGACCCGACAGCGTCAAAGCCTATATCAATGGGATGATGATCCTATTGCAAGATTTGAATCACCTGTAGCATCGACATTGGACCAAATCCAACAGGAGCTGCGTTATAACGAATCGCCATCGATGCTTACCAAATCCAATTCCTACAACACTTACGAAGACCCTGACGATGCTGCGGAAGGGTTAGATCTTGACGAAGACGTAGGGATGGAATTCTCTAAGCCTATTCGAGGTCAGACGCCTCCCCTGAGTCTGATTGATCCAATACTTCGATTTCGGGAAGCCCTTACAGCACCGTCGGTCGATGGCGACGACCGGCTATCGGTTGTGCCTGAGGAACCCCATTCAATTCCAAACCAGCAGCAATCGAGATACTCAACCACCAACATACCCCAGCCTAACATTATACCGAATAGATTATCTTGTTTAACGGCTTATTATCGAACGGGTCCACCACATAAGGCCCTCAACATGCACCAGATCAAGAAGCTTCCGCAAAGACGAGATCGCATGCACGAATATGGTAAGCCTTATAGATTTTGAGATGATGATTTTTATAGCTTACTTAGCTCACATAAAAACAACCATCGTATTCCCTTGTAGAACTAGGTTATTTTGATTGTATCCAATCAAGAACTGATCTTAATGGATGGCTCAGGAAGCAGGAAGTTAAAGGACCTCCAGATGTTATGTTCGGTAAGAAGAATATGCGGTTATGAAAAGAAACAGCGAAACAGGTGGAAATTAATGCTGGCTACTAGAATTTTCACCACCTGAGAAGAAACAAACCAAGCGGGCATTTTTCAAGGGCAAAAAAATCAAGTCATCTGTTTCCCCAGATCTTGGGAAATTAACCAACCTGAAGAAAAATAGGAGCTCCATCTCACTTATATCACCTATAGTGACCGAAGCATCTCAGCGAACAACAAATTTGCAATCGCCTCCTAACTCACCGGTAAAAGGAAAGCGGTGGTCTGGCATATTTACACCCTTCAGTAAGAAGGATGATAAAGTGGTTCAGCAGCAAACGAAGCTGCCGACGAAACAAAGCACATTCTACGCGAGTCCCAACGGATCAATGGCATCGTCTCTTGAGGATGAAGGAGTCAGTAGGCGTAAACCTGGCCACGCGCGACAGTTTTCAGAGCCAAGTCACAGCAGCCATGTAGATAACCGTCGTCGAACAAGCCATGAAGAATTCGAATTGGCATCGCAATTTGATCAGTGGCAGCTACGTGAACGTGGCATGACGGATTTGAGTACACCTGTTGAAGAAGAAGACGAAGAGGAGGATGAAATCGCCTATTTTACCCCTGATGGCAGACTCTCATCCTCTCCATCCAAGCACCAGAGTCCGGTGTTTGCAACATCTGACAACGAAAATACCCGACACTATAGTCACTCACAAATTTCCCTACTGTCTGTACCTTCTATTGGAAACCAACCACACGGACGCTCCCGACGCGAAAGCGAGTCTTCTCACAGCCGTCAATCGTTACAGGAACATGACTATATGGATATGGAGGAGGCATTGGACAACCTTGCTAACACTTTCCGTAACGTTGACCTAGAAGTTTTGCGAGAAATGTTGGAGGAAGCAGATGGAGATTACCAAGTAGCTGCAGCAAAATGCAAGAAAGCTATTTTCGAAGGTCGTTTGTGAGATATGATACCCTTTCCCACCTAACTCACCTAAGACTTTTTTTATGAATACCCAAATTATATAGCTATTAACATTGCTTAGAGTGAAAACTTTTGACTTAGATACTCTCTCAATATCGTTATCTACCATTTCATTCTATCGTTATTGTAGCATAATTGATCTCGTTTCACCCACTTCCTTGGATCATGATAATTTTAGAACGTTTGAGCAATAATCGCTGTGGTCTTGGGTTTAGTCCAGGTCGAATGACCTCCACAAGAAAGTGAAATTTTAGTCCTTGCATGATTGAGAGGCAAGTATATTAAGTCAATGATTCGTTACGTGCTGAGTGAAATTACCGGATACAATTTATGGTTTAAGAAATTATGCAGATTACTGACAGCGTGGAGTGGTGAGTGAAGTCCGTAAGGCATATCATACCTATAATGAAATTCCCGTCCATGAGGTATCATCCAGACGTGCGTGCATACACATGACATATAAAGTCTGTTGGGGGTAGTAAAGACGCAAGGCTCCTTGCCTATGACCGAGCATGGGTACATGTATTACCACCAGTCGATCGACAAGGATGGATGATGCACGGGCCTCCCCAAAAGTGGCCAATGGTTCCCTGACTGCAATATAGCCAGCCATGGTTTTTGGCCCCATGACTTTGTGATCTTATTGCAGCCCAATCATCATCTCCAAGCAAGGCACACAGGTATTCAACCCCCATGACCGAAAATCTCAACGTTTGCCTGACCCAATATCCCCCATATTTCCATGGTTACCAGTGCTACCACCCAGCATAATTTTTGGGGGGGGGGATGGCACAGTACGCTTTTGAGAAAGCTCATACTTGGCAATGCAAGTCTTTCCCCGCAGCACCCCTATCCATTCAGAAACGCTCGCTCTGACTATATTAGGATGGGTTCAAATGAGTTGTATTGAGTGGGGGGGGGGCCTTTTGGCTTATATAACAACCCTTCATCTTTGCCAGTTCCTGAAGGCTACATCATCCGCCACTTCTTTTTTTATTTTCTCATTCCGTTTATCTTTTTTCTCTCCGTCGCCCCCTCTTCCTTTTATCTTCTCTTACTCAACCAACAGCCTCTCTACTCTCAATACTTCACAGTGGATCCTAAAATATTTTGTGAGAAATCGCGTAGCGTCCATAGGATGCAAAGCGTGCGACTGATACATCTGCTCTTTAGCGTGCTAATGTTTCTTACGCTGGATATAAAAATGATCAAGCTTAAAAAGAAACCAAAAGTTGAACGCACCATCATCACACTGGCGGTGCGATCGTCGCCAATAGACATTCCTACGGTGCGCACAGATGCCGAGTCGTCTCCGTTGCTAGACTCCCGACCAAGGGATGGGATCCCTTGGCCAGCATGGCTCATAGACAAGTGTGAGGAATCCACTGCGGCAGCCGCGGAAGATGACTCCCCAGAAGACGATGACAATATTTTCGTGATTGAAGACCTGTGATATAGGTTTCGAAACACATGTACATAAATGATATTGGCTGTTCGTGAAAGATGAAAAAAAAATTTTTTTATTATTCCCATTGCCATGTTAGGAGGACACATTTCCAGTGACATGCTTGTATCTATACATTTTGCAAACTATTGCTACAATATAACCACCATTTCCCTCTTCTTCTTTCTGTATTGCTATAGGCGAAAGATTAAAATAAAAAATATTTTATTGCATCTGAGCCTCTTCTACTGCTTCCAAAGGTCAGGTAGCACCTGTGGCAGATCAGTAACAGCAGCGATTTGAAAATCACCCGCATTTGACTCCTTGGGGTCGTCAGCAACGTGTACAGAGGTCCAACCAAGTTTAGTGGCAGCTTCAACATTAACGTCGCTATCATCCACAAAGTAACAATGGCTATGCTCTTTAACGCCAGCATCTCTCATAGCTCTTTCGTACATTGCCACTTCTGGCTTGCATGGAAAGTTAGGTTCGCTGTAATTGCAGTATGTGATACCTGCGAGATAGATTAAAAGTCAGTGGATGATCCAAAGTCAGCCTGATCACATATTGGTGCTGTCCAACCTTCAAATTGATCTTCAATGTCCAGCAGCTTCAATACTCTTTTTGCATGCTGTTATTTGCATTCGCAAAAACAAAAACAAAATAAAAAAAGTTAGCGCCAAAACAAACGGGATGGAACAAAGTGAAGTATCATTAGCCCATGCATGCGTACTTGTAATCCAGCATTGGTTAGGATCCATTTCCTCATGGGTAGTGTCTCCAGCATCTTTCGAAGTTCAGGCTCTGGCTTCAATAAATCCTCCAAAGGAAGCCTACCATCCACTTGCTCATCTGCATAAATAATGAGATAATGTTATATTCAAAGCCACTGCCACTTCTGCATCTCTTACCAAAGTCTACAGGATCTACTTGATGATGTTGAATCATTCCTCTTATCGAGAGTCCATACTCGATATAATAGCGTTCACGTAGCACAGCAGCTACCCGTTAATCCGCTTTTCAGTAATGTGTCAATAAGGGAATATGGCAGTCTTGTGGAGAGTTTACCTTCAGACTCGGGAATACCTAATTTGTCGAAATACTGAAGAATGCTAAAGCGGAAAAAAAGTAGTCAGGAACACAGGTCTGGACAATCGGGCACAACCGAGCGATATGTACATACTATTTGCGCATTAAGCTTTGAATGCCATGACTCTGTTGATGCAGTGTTAAAGCCGAATAATCTGCAAGTTCTGTATATGTGAATTTGATGAGGAAAAAATCAAAGATACCTTGTGCTGTGCAAGTGAAAAAGTGGCAAAGGGATTCAAAACTGCAGTCAGTATTTACTGTTAGAGAATGCGCGACATTATAAGATAGCAAGTAGTCATACATAAAGACAATTGTCCAGATCGAAGAAAAACATTAATTCCTCGCTTCTTGCCATTTTACTTGCCGCGAATTAAACTACCAGTATCGTTGCTAGCCCAGAAAAATTTGAAAACCAAAAAAAAAGGCCGAAGTCAGAACAGGCAGTATTGACCAGCGGCAAATGACCAAAACCGGATCAGACGAGAATGTCATTACTGAAGTAAGCATCTCACGATTGCCGACTTACTGCTCAGCCTTGCATCACTGAACCTCATGTCTCACCTACATCGTTTGCATTAGACCCAATATATTCTTTTGGATTTAGGGGAAAACGCTCCTGACGATATTGTCGAGAGTGGCGAAACCAGCGGCGGATACTCCCTGATAGTAAGAAGAACACGTATAAGCGTATTACACTGCCACGATTTTGCTTAAACAATACTGCTTGCAGGGATTGGATACGCCGACACCATATCTGCAGCTAGGCTCAGAGATCTATCAAGGCGAGTTTGATGAGACTATTGGTAGCAATCTGTTCTTGGAAAAGGTACCGAAGAACGAAGGCGGCTATATACCAAAGGGTAAGCTCATCAGTCTATGTTAAACTTTGTAGAAGAATAACAGAGTGAAAAAGTTAACGCGTCTGATTGCAAGCTATCAACAATGAGGACAGGTCGTTCAGCCTGTCTTTCGCTGGAGCAACTAGTAAAACTATCAAATTTCGCAAGGTGAACTTGACGAAAAAGGACGAAGGCGCTCCCATACCTGCAGAGAATGACGTTGAAGACCACCCAGATACAATGGGAGAGCCCTCGAAGAAGGAAGACAAGCACGACGATTCTTTTGTATATTGGACCGCTTAATATCTTCATCGAAGCTATAATACTGTCAACAATGCTGTAAATACCAACACCTTTGCTACCAAGCAATTTCTTCATAAATCATACTGCAGACCAATTGGCATATGTACATGTTTTACTAGCATGATGATGTTTTTGTATGAGACGTGATTGTTACAAGTCAATACCTACTGCCTGCACCTTGCCTCAGAGAACCAGTTGACCTAGAACAGTGGTAAAGTCCTAAGTGAATAGCAAGATTGACAAAGGTGACAATGCCAAGCAATAACGACTGGTTTTCAAGTGCGAACATTAAAAAGTAGGGTAAAGGATATATGAGGTTGGTGATGCGCTAGTCAGCTTGCGGATCGGATGATGTGCTTTGGCTTGCAATGAATACAGGCATTTTGGATATCTTTGGCATCTAGATTCAAGCCATGTTAGATGGATCAAATTTATCGAACGAAAAACGTCGTTCTCAAATATGAATACCTTGGGTTTTGGATCTTTTTGGGGAGCTTGGTACCTTGGTGCATGTTGTTCTACAGGCATAGCGGAAACAGCTCGTGCTATTGACGCCTGGAGCATAAAGTAATAACGTCAATTTGTCAGCTTAGAGAATCACTGCAGAAAGATTATGAATAAAACCGTTATTCACCTTCATGTTCTGTGCTGCTTGTAATTCGAATTCATGTGCTTTTCGTTTTGCGGTTTTGATTTTGTCAAACAGGGCTTCCTTTGCAAGCCAAGAATTCTTCTGTTCAAGATATTCGGCGTGATTGTCCTTCTCTTGCTCTTTTTTTTGTTTCTTTCTTCTCTCTCTCTCTTTTGCAACGGCCTGCCGGTGTTTTCTTCGACTTTCTAGCTTTTTAGCTTTTCGAAATTCGTGCCGTGGCAATCGTTCTTTTCTGGACTCGGACAGTTTCAAATCCGCCTCAATGACTTCGACTTCTGTTGCCTGATCATCGATAGGACGCTGATGCCGTATCGTTTCCTGATCCGACAGATCATGGTTCATGGACTTTGTTCAATGGTCTAGTAGATCAGTTTGAGATCCGACGGGACTTTCCACCTTAAAATTTTCTAATCCCACCAGCGTCGCGGTAAGAAGAAAATGTGTCGGTATTACAGTTTTAATTGTTTACAGGTTTGATAAAATTACGTACAAGCTGTTTTCGGTTTTAAAATATACTCTAACTTCAATACAAGAAAGCTATTGTCATGAATGTGGCTGTTATTATATGATTTGGCTCAGTGAACCTAGTAAAATTTAGTTGGCAACTGAAGCAAAAAATTTCCATTCCTGAAAGTGCTGTTCATAGAACAAATCTATAGAAAGGTACACTGTGCGTCTTGTATGTTCGGAAACATATTGCTTATTGTTCTTCAATTGAATCATGTATCTGTCCTGTTGTCCAACTCTGTCAATAAAGCTGTTATCAGTACATGGACTCAGAATTATGTGCAGAACTCGCTCAGGTACCTTTTTCATTTCTTTCTTTCGTTCCTTGACTCCCCTAAAGTACTTAATAAAGGCATTGACCAGAGTGGTAAGCTCTGATTGTGGCTTCTTCATTTTGATTTCCTTCTCTGCAGCCGCTGCATTAAATACATCGTTTGCTAGGTCACGTACGGATGGACGACGGCCCATCTCTTTTTGTCCGACGATCTTTGCCATGCTGTTGCTGCGCTCACAAGGAAAAGGACTTTTCTTGGGATGCTCAATTTGCTTGACATTAAGCTCTGTATGAATGGTGGAGCTCTTCTTCATTGCTGGTGCTGGCCAGAAAGTGACACTCATTATGGAAAAGATAAATACAATTAGAAAGTAAGGAATCAAAAGAGGGAAAATTGTATTCAAGGTGTAGAAAAGTAAAGTTCAGTCCAATAACGCTGTGAAAGATTGAAATTTTGAATGGCCGCTCCTGTCTGCTTCGTTGATTTGCTTCATGTCCTCTCCACCAAAACAGGACCAAGGAAACTCATACGCTGGACCGTCTGATAGGTCCTCCGGCTCCTCTCGAGGGTCCTTTTCTCAAAGAAGGGCAGAGAGAGGTGTTGATGTACCTGTATCATTCACGGACTTGCGACGTCCAAGCACATCTTCAGTTTCAGACGCATTCGGTTTTGACAATTACGCCTTTGGTGGTGTCTCTCCTGTCATGGGATCTTCCTTTTCTGCCATCAATGAAGATAGATCCTATTTTGCGCCTTCTCCATATGATCAGCGGCCAGAATACCTACAGCGCTACTCCTCATTACGCTCTCGGTACGAACGAGAGAGACGTGGTTCTCGCAAATGGACTCGACAGAGTGACCAAAAACCAAGAGACGGTGTTCACGAATATTCAGATTTGGCAACCCAAAGAGACACTGAAACTGATGAAAGCGATATTGAAATGCCAGATGATGATTTAACAGGGATGAGTCCTGACGATATCGTTGGACCTAATACGCGATTATCCCAAGGTTATGGACAAAACTTATCAATTCCCCCACAACTGCCTCTGATAAAACCTGAGGCATTCTCTTTCTCGTTCGAAGATACCCTTAATAACACGAAAGGAAAGATGGATAGAGAGAGCACTGCCAGCATATCGTCCAACCCACCGCTCTTTCCTACTGCTGAAGACCCTGACAAAGGCAAGTCGTCGTGCTTAAGGCCAATTCAACGACCTACTGATAGTAAAGAGGTCAAATGGAAGGATCACATCGTAAGTTTTGGTTGCGCATTGACGCCTTTTTTCCCCCCACTAGAGCTGTAAGCTGACTTTCCCCCTCATTCCAGTTTGTAAGACGACCTAGTACGTTTTCGGAGTCCCCGATCTCCAACAATCCGCCGCCATGGTTCAGAGATAAAGATGCGTTAAATGAGATCAAACACATTACATCTGGAATGCGCGAACAAAAGTTGGATGTGCAAGAACAAAGTAGAAGTAATTCGGTTCAAAGCAATGTAGATTCATTCTTCTCAATGGCCAAGAAAGTAGCCGCTACCCCACCAAAAGCAACCCCGAATCCCATCAATGTATCCCGACCAAGAAAGTTCTTGTTGCAAACGGCAGTTTTCCAAGTGATCAATTCGAACACAGTCAAGGATAGATACTTGTTTTTGTTTAATGATCTCTTATTCATCGCTAAACCCATTATGGACGAAAGCATCATGAGCGGCCTCACCTCTTCAAACTCACGAAGCATGTCGGAGGATAGCATGGGCGGTCATTCAAAGTATAGCGATAACCATCGCTATCGCTTTCGACCTACCGAGAATAGCTTATTCCAAGTCAAGAATATCGTAGAACTGAGTAAGGTGACCCTCTATGTCACGCGTGATTACGAAGTGGAACCAGTGCTTCTCAAAACCGATGCAGATGGACAGATGGTACTACCCCCACCTCGAAAAATCCATCCAATTTTAGCATCCGCCCTTCGCAAGTTTGAATCTGACCCAGACCGTGCTATCTCATACCTAATGGAAAAGAAAATCTTGACAGAAGACCCTATCAGCATTGCCAATTTCTTGTTCAAAACCGCCGATCTCAGCCGACGTCAATTGGGAAGGTATATCTCCAATCCAGACAATAGCAACGTCTTCCATGCATTCCTGGATTGTTTCCGGCTTCAAGGTATGCGCTTGGATGAGGCTCTCCGCACCTTTCTGGTCACTTTCCGACTTCCGAGCAAATACGAATCTCTACATTATGTCATAAGCACATTCGCAAAAAAGTGGCATGATACAAATCAAAACGTTGTCAAATTCCATGAGGACATGATCGTCAAGGTTATCCTTGCCATGTTGCGACTCAATAGTTCAATATGGCATGACAGAGATGCCGACCAGGATGTCTTTTTGTTTGCTTTGGACCGACGAGAACAAAAAAAGGAGAAGATGGCTAGTGGATCCGAGCAAACTGATAACAAGTCTAACCTGCCCCAAGAAAGTATTCCAACTTCAGCTGAATTCCTGGAGCGATGGAGTATATACGATCAATACAACCTGGTGCCCAAGGAATTCATGGTAGAAATGTACGACTCAATACGCGAAGAAAAGTTGGAAACTGGCTGGGATCATAAATATCAACCACATGCCAACGCCATGTCAAATAATTCCACTCCAGACGTCGCAACACAGCAAGAACAAGAGCTCATTATATCTGTTCTACCTCATCGTCTTCCTACAAGGCTGACTAAAGGCGTTCCATCCTCAAAGGTTACTATCTATATACCTGAGCCCGACCCAGATCTTCAGATTAAGCTTCGTGGCCAAGATCTTGTATGTCAGCCCAGTATCCTCGATTTCTCAACATCACGAATGCAAACTTTTACGATAACAGGGAGTACGCTAGGCCGAACGAGTTTAATGTTTATCAAGACTGGTTCTCGAGCTGGGAGATATGTCAGCCCTGCATTACCGCGAACGAAAGCCATTGTGGTTGAAAGATCATTCATGCGACATACCTTTCAAATTGGTTTTTATCAAACTGAAGTCAAAGAGTCATTGTTTGATCCCTCGCGCCGGCAGAGTAGTGCGCAATCACCGACTCAACAGAGCAAAGGAGCAGGAGAGGATCAGGACGGAGATCGAGAAACGAACGTATCCAGGCGAGAAATCCAGCGAACTAAACGCAAATACATGTTTAGTGTGGAATCTGAAGAGTCTTTGAGAGAATGGGTGAACCAACTTCGGAATCTATGTGGTCATGTCAATCGTGAAGGGCATCATCAAATATCTTCAAAAGATACTGCCACCAAGACCCCGGAAGAGCTTGTTTCCCTGCAGGTTCTAAAGGAAGCGCTTTTAGCCGACGAAGCCAAAAGAGGAATTATGGGCTTGCGCAGCATGACAATTGACAAACGTGCCAGCTTAATCAGCGCACATGGCGGGGATCCCTTAAGTCCACCCAGTGGGTCGGATGCTGGCATAGCAGATGACGAAAGGTCCAAGTTTTTGTCATCGTCCAACTTACTGTCCGCGGATAGTGGTAGCAAATCCATGAGCGCAGCAGCGGCAGCCAATGTTGTGGCCAAACGAGGTCACGAAATTGTCAAACTGGCGGTGCAGAATTCCTTAATGCCTACCATGCTTGGATTTATGAAGCAAAGTCTAGGAAGGGCGTAATTGTACATACTATTATATTGCTTTTCTTCCTTATATAATTTCAATTGATACGAATAGTAGTAACATGGACTTACAAAGAACGGCAGATACAGCATGACGTGCAGTCTCTGTGGTAATAATAAATTTGGGTTCAATGGTAAACTTTTTTTTTGGGACATTGCGAAAAACTCTATGTTGTGAACAAGTGTGCCCCAGATGTTTTTGGATCCATGATTGTGACCTATTCTTTTTTGGCACTTTTCCATGCCTTCTTACACCTTTCGAAGACCTGGTTGCCTTCGCATCTTCTTCTTCCATGTCCGTCTTAGCATCCATTGCCGTAGTAACCAAGCACTCCTGGAAGGCATACATTACGTTTGACGACTATGAGCACCAAGATTTTATTGGGACGCATGTACAGTCGAATATTCCGGTTTCTACATTAAAGTTTTTGGCGGTTAAAAAACTGACTACTGACATATCGACATAGCTTACCAAGGAACTCTTCGATATTCGAATAAATGCCATACACGATTTGGTTAAGCATAAATATCCGTCTATGTTTATAGAAAACTTGGTTCTTCTCTTTGCTATTGCCAGCAGTAAGTAAAATAATTGCATCCATCGCAGTGCACTGAAAGTACAATATACACCTTTATACTGACAATCATATACCTCTATTCAGTCCTTTTAATCACTACCATCAGCTTACTACTTCACCTTCTTGGACATTCGACACTGGAGACGACTATACCGTTCTTTATGATCTTCATCCCGTTGGTAAGGTTTCCTTCCTCGGATATCTGAGGTGGGTCACATGGTGGCTAAACAAATGTTTTATAACAGGCAGCGATATTTTGGGGGACCCGTCGAAGAGCAACTTACCAATACCGTATGCGCGTTGTAAGTAATACGAATGTATTCACTATCCGGGCTAAGTGACTAACAAATAGAACTCAAAAGTTTGAGAATGATATCGAGATTTTGATGCGAGAGACAACTCAGGAAGACGTGACCAAGGAAATCAAATGGGAACACAGACACATACGGCTCAGTGACACATGGAGGTCCCTGAAAATTGCCAAGCCTCTTTGCGAGCTCACCAATGTTGGTATCATTGTACAGGCTCTGCATGTTGATTTGACCACCCAGTTGGAAGTCATGGGCGAAGACCTTTTACCGTCCTACAACGAAAGTGTACCACAAACTACAATTCATATCAGTGATGCTCGACTGCCGCATTATGACGATTTAGTAGCTCATGAAGACATTGACCTGGCTGACCTGACACGGCCATCTTACCTTAATCCACCTCTGCCTAACATGGCCCTCCCTGAGTATATGCCTACTGCCCCGCAAACTGGGTAGCTAAGAAAAGTAATATTATTCATTTCCTGTTACACTGTCCTATTTTTGAGAAATACCAAAAAAAAAGAAAGAAAAAAAAAGCCCCTTCTCCCCTTGATCCCCAACCAATGCAAAGCGTCCGCTCAGCACAGCTAAAGCTTAGTTCGGGTTTTTCTTTAACGCTGATAACAGAGCAATTGGTACCCTCCTTCTGCATAACATTAATATAAATGTTGATCTTAACGTTCATGTTACATCGCATCCAACGGTTCGGTCGATTATGGGGATGGGCACGGAGAGAGGGGCTACATACGTGCATCATTGCACTATGTATTACGACTCATGTTCCGCAGCTATTTAGAATGATGGTGAATGGGCAACATACGCTAACAGGTTTTTTGTACAGAATCTCCTTTCAACTCTTATTTTTTTCCCCAAGGGTTAGACTACGAATTTTTTTTAAGAGAGATTTGAAAGCAAGAGTACACGTTTTAACGCTCTGACGATCATGGAGCCGACAAGTTTGGTAATATTGAATTGAACTGAGTCGGCGAGTTCAATCACAAAACGGATTTTGACTCTTATAAAACAAAAATATCAAAAAGCACATCAATCACTCGTTTGTCTTCATCGCCGCAGTTTACGTTCTTTCTTCTCTCTTTCATTTTGGTTTCACTTTTTCCTTGCCACGACCCCTCCAATCACCAAACCCCACTACTGTTGAGTTCACTACAAAGACATGGACATGTCTTGGTGTATCATTTGTGATCGACGCTGCGAAGAAAGCATGGTAATGACCAGAATAGAGAAAATAGGATTTATTTCTTCACGGATAGTAATTGTTGAGCTTCCCTTACCAGCTGTATTGTTCAACGCAATGTAGAGATAGTGATGCCAAAAACCAGACGGCACAACATTATACTTCTGCAGGCTCGCATATGGCTCCCCTTCTTTGGACTCCTACCTTTCATCGTAGCTACTCATTTCGAACGCAAGCTTCCGGTAGTGGTCAGAGACTCAATTCCGTAATTTCAACGTCCAATTCCATCACGGTCATTTAATTTTTGTTTATTTCGCTATGCCTCCTCCTGCCTTTACCCTATCTCTACGGGCACCAACAACACCCTAGCGCCCACTCACACGTTTATACGCAGACACCCACATCATAAGACCTTCCAATTTGGCTTTTATATACCTACCAAAACCACGCAAGTGTACATAGAGAAAGAAAAAAAAAGAGCCATCAGACAATCATGTTTAGAAAGTGACCAAAACAAAAAAAAAAGTCATATTATTTCAAATTGCACATGGAATATTGAGTGATCACTTAAAGCTTGTGTATGCTATAGGCAAAAATGTTTGACTGGAATATGTAAAACTTCTATTTGATCAAATGAAAAACAAAGGGGGGCAATATCTGTACAGTAAGTAGGCCATCTCACATAGCACGGCCCTGATGCAGTGCTACAGTGGTAGTTGCAAAGAAAATGAGAGGTGAATGGAATACGGAGCAATTTCAAAAATACTACTCTTCGTCATCGCTGTCACCGTCGGCCATAAAAAAGTCATCCTGTTCCACATCTGCTTTCTCCACAACACTTGGTTTACCAGCTTTTTCTGAAAGGAAAAAATATCGTTAGTCGACATTTGTCGCCATATATAAACATTTAGATCTCATACCTTTGGATGCTTTGGCAGTTTTAGATTTCTTGTTTGGCTTAACTTGATCCTCCTCTTCCTTTCGACCGCTCAGGGCAGCAATATCGTCCGCAGAGGCTTCAATGGCAGATATCTTGCCAGATTTAACCAGATGGTCACGGTATTTGTTACGGTAATGTTTCCGAACAGTATCTTCATCAAATTCACCATCCTTCGTAGCTTCACCTATGCGATCTCGGATTTCCTTGCGTGCCTCTGCACTACTTGCTTCGTTAGAGTCGCTGGAAGGATAGAGTGAAATATAACGTTCGGTGTTTGGGAAATGCTATAGAGGTATTAGAATTGAATTGCAACTAGTGGACTTTGCGGGCCGGACGAAAAATGTGACATCTTACATTGATGTAGTTGAGATCGATGTTTAATTCATCCAATAATTTTTGTGCACTTTTCTTCTCTTCGTCGGATTTGGCTTCCTTCAGCTCCTTTTCAGCCTTCTTAATCTTTCTGTTGACTTTGGTCCTCTCTGCAACCGAAAACATAAAAAATTAGATCATGCCACCACATCGATAGTGTCACAGCAAGAGCTGGATCTTACCAAAATGCTTCACCATGTGATACTTCTTCGCATTCGTTCGTTCAAAGTCATCAATAAGTTTTTCCGAAGAATGAAAATTTAAAGCTTTCAATTTTCTTTCAAGCTCCAGCCTAACCTTGGCTGTTAAGGTTGGCTATAATAACAAAAGTGTGCATCAGTCGAAGGTCAATGGTTGTTTTTGGTGCGAATGAGTGTTTTGATGTCTACTTACACGTCGAAGGGCTCTTTCTGTATCTCTTATCTTCTTCTTAATGGCGGCATTTCCCGTAGGAATCTCGTTGTCGGCCTCGCGATTCTTGCGCTTCAGGTTGTTTGATGCTGGTGCCATGGTTATTTCAATAAAAAAATCTTGAACATCCTAATTCTATAATTTTGACCAGTCACGCATGAAGTTGACCTGTGCCCAGCGCCGCTTCAATCTGCCAAGGCCAGACAACCCTTTATCACCCAGAGTCAATGCCATGCGAAGTGTACAGCCTTTGCCTACCGAACGCATTGGATTGCTACTACTGCTCATAATCTCCTACTTGGTTGTCAGCTATGCTCAGCAACAAAAGCCATTACAGGCATCGACTTCGCAACCATCTCTCTCCCTTAGACACATATACCACCACTCCTCCTCCACTGGCAAATACCCCAACATGTTCAGGAGAATGGATTATTCAGGCTTCCAAGCCGTACAAATAGCAGATAACTTGGGGAAGCCATCCACTTTCAGCGTAAAGCAGTCTATAGGACGACGATACCGACCTGCCTCGCCGCTGCCATATCTCATGCGAGCCGCACAAACACCCAGGCAAATGCACTATGCAATGGGTATCCACAATATGGAGATAGATTATGGTTTGCTGCCAGATGTAGCAGATAGTGATACGGTCCTATCGTTGGCAGAAATGACCAATAATGCCTATTCCGATCCTGATACAAGGGAAGACTGGTACGATTTAGGCACAAAATGGAACGTGGTAGGTTATCACCTCAATCAAGATATGTCTCCTTCGTCTCATGACCACCAAGCTAATTTGTTGTAGTCTTCGTCATTTGGCTGGGAATCGGACGGTCTACGTGGCCATGTGTTTGGCGATGCTGATAACACCACTTTTGTACTGAGTTTTAAAGGAACTAGTGCCGGCCTGTGGACGGGTGGGCCAACTGGTGAGAAGGACAAGTTCAATGTTTGTATACCGAGATACCACATTCTACGCAACGTAGCGCCCCCATCGATCATACATCTCACTTCTGTCTAACTGCTTAGGATAATTTATTGTTTTCATGCTGTTGCGCTCGTGTCAGCCGGGCTTGGCGAACGGTTTGCGATTGCTACGTTGGCAATACATATCAATGCAACCAAACGTGCTTAGAAACTTCTTTATTGGATGAAGAGACATATTATTCATTGGCCATGGTAAGATGAGCAGTTTTTATTTTTTGTTTTATTTGTATATGGACCATTATTGACACAAATACACGCGCCATCAGAGAGTGTACATAGAATTGGCGGATCAGTACCCTGATGCAACGATTTGGTTGAGTGGACATTCGCTGGGAGGCGCTGTTGCCAGCCTTGTTGGACAAACTTTTGGCGTTCCTACTGTGACATTCGAAATTCCAGGGGAAAGACTTGCTTCTCGTCGATTTCATTTGCCTGCTCCACCTGCTATCAACTGGGATGATATACCATTATGGCATTTTGGGCATACGGCTGATCCCCTGTTTGTAGGAGTGTGCACGGTATGTTTCATGCAGTTCTCCTCGTTACTATCTGTCCCGTAAATAACTTATTGATGACAATATCCAGGGTCCATCCAGCACGTGCTGGTACGGAGGATTTGCTATGGAGACTCGATGCCATACTGGAAAGGTACCTATTTTGTTTCTCGTTCTGTAGTCGGATCTACTGATCTAAGCCAAACACTTTTTTTTTCTTTGGTCTATAGGTATGCGTTTGGGACGTGGTCAACGAAAAGGGATGGAGGGTTGACATTCGCTCTCACCGCATCCACGATGTCATTGAGAACATCCTGAAGAAGCCTGAAGAGTTTCCAATACCAGAATGCAAACCAGAACTAGAGTGTGTTGATTGTGCGCTTTGGGACTACCCCGATGACCGGGACCCACCTTCAACCATAAGCACATCTTGCTCCACTATTCCGGAGATACCTGATCCTACTGAAGATCCTTGGAAGCGCAAGAAGTATAGACAGTGATAGCGAGACAGCTATGGATCTTATGAATCCTTTGTATATCATACTGACACCATTTTACAATATCCACATGCAACTTTTTTATGTCGTACGCCTTTATGTTAAGTGCCTTTTTTTCTATCATTGTAATGAAATGTGACACGTATAGTGGAAGTCAACCAGCGCTGTACTGGGATGATTCAGAACGGGGAGAGCAACCGCTTGTTATGACGGGGCTAAGGAGATCTAAACCGGAGGTGTAATAGATACTAAGTATGTCGCGCCTGAAAAAAGCGCGCTCATTTCTGCATAAAAATATTTTTTGCTCACCTTCATAGCAGTCACTCATGGTCAAAACACAGCAAGCCGTTGATTTCCCCGGTATTGCACTCTTTTGTCCGTTCGCCCACATATTGCTAAATAACTGTTTTCAACCACATTTTGATTAAGGGGTAGAATGCTATTAAGTCACCGAAACCAGTATTCGAATTTTTTTCTAATACATTCTCACAGGCACAATAAAGTTTAGCGTAGAACGCAGGCTGAAAAGATGAATCCGAACGCTGTCTCATAATGAGATCGACCGAAAGAATCTTAGCACAGAACGGAGATGGAACATAATAAATTTACTGCCTTGCCAAATGAAGTAAAATCCTTGAAGCGAGATTTTAAGAAAAGATACGCGATGATGCCTTTTGAAATCTGTATTCAAGATAATGACACGTAAAGAAATGAGTAATAAGGGAGGCTGTTCAAAGCATCTGAGCCGTTCTGTTGGGAAATCAGCATAGCCTGATGAATAACAAGAGGAGTTCTGGTGCCAAAAATTTTGCCACAGAGACTCAATTTCTATTCTCGGAACACCACTGGTCACTGCAGCTTTGCTCTTCAATGAACCATCACAGCTGAGGTCAACACACAGCACAATGCAGCAACAACCAAAGAAACATAGCAAACCTGAGCCGCCATCTGTGCCGGCTGATCGAGCCGAGGTACGTAGTACATCATCACTTGCCTGGTGGTCATCCCTTTGCGACTCGTGTCCTAGATGGAATCCGTTAAGGTACCAGAATATACCAGCCCTCTAACCCTTGCCACCCTTGCAGCAAGTCTATGTCATTGAGGCAAGAAGTAACAGAATAAGGGACATGATGCGATGGTCGGTGGACGACTTAGAGAAGGTCATCGTGTATTTTAAACATCGGTAAGTGAAGTAAAAGTCATGCTCCTTTCCATCTGCTTTCCCCACAAAACTCATTGGCCACTCTCCAGTATTGCCATTGAGGAGAAATATCAGCAATCGTTATCGCAAATTCCTGCTATTCTCGATGATAGTACATCGGAAAAGAGCAAGTACAATTATATAGACACCAGTGCCCAACAAGCTTTTGTGCAAATGAAAGCTTTCGGCAATCATACCCGCCTGGTGCGAACGGCTTACATCGAAAAGATGAAGAACCAAGTGAAGGATTTGACCGATTTGCGCATACAGCATGAAAAGCTGATGAGATATCACCGAAGAAAGATGCATGACTGCAATGTTGAATATGCACAGTGTCTTTTAGGCGAGCTCCCTAGGGTAAATGTACATTTTGGTAAAGTGAAGCTTGAATGAACTGTAGTACTAATTATTGCAAATGATGTACACTAGGCTCGTACTGCCTACGAGCAGAAATGCAAAGAATTGGAGCTGGCACAAACCCAAATGGCCAACCAACTTCCCACAACACCCACCTCTCCATTCTCACAAACTAGTCTTCCATCACCGCGTCCGAGTAAGTCCACAGGAACTGCAGGCAGTATTGTGGGCACTTCCCATGAAGATATACCGCTGCCCGGCTCACCTCAATCTTTTCGACATGGGGAATTCCACGATGATATGTCGTTGGCTGGGTCACCATGGTCGCCTAACTCTCCGGATCCTACCAGCCCAAGTCACCATCCACAAAAACGCCTGGCCCGGTTCATGAGACAGATGTCTCATTTTACAAATGCACAGCCCATCGATCCTGTTAAACAAAATGTCAAGAACGCAAAAACGAAAAAGGATATTGCTGAAACAGGTAAGCAAGGCTCGGCTGAGTAGAGGCTGGGTATGTCACCATGGCTCAGGTTTAACGCAGCGCCCTTTTTCAGATGCCCTCTATCGTGCCGTTCTCCGTAAGCTGGAGACTCTCCGGCTGAAGCACCTCTCTACAATCGACTTTGCGGAAAAGGTGAGTTTGGCGCAATCGATGATATGAATACACCAGAATGAAACGCTAACGGACTGTGCTACTTAAGGCACTCCTTGCTCAACTTCAGGAAAAGTCTGAAATCATAAAGACGTGCCTAGCAGTTGTCATTGATTCGGAGATTATCAGTACAGAGAACACCAAAGAAAGTGTCAAGGACATTGGCGTTCTCGCAGAAAAAATTGAGCCCCAGAGTGATACCAAGGCCTTTGAGATCGAGATCGCAAAGCAACCTCTTCCAGCGCCACCAAAAAATTATTACCACAATTATTATGTTGGTATGTCCAAAGGTCAGTATCAGTTCAAGAAGATGTAGCACAGCTGGTGCAACTTTATATTAATATACCCATATTAGATATGATCTTTGGTCTGTCATTGACAGAGTATGCTTTGTATCACGATGGACGCTCTCCTCCTCTTATTGTGACTCGCTGTATTGATGCTGTTGAGCGGCTGGGTGGTTTGCATCGGGAAGGCATATATCGGGTATCTGGTCGCCAAAGTGCTATTGACAAGTTGAGACAATGCTTTGAGCGTGAGGAGGAGGCGCTTGAATTTGGTAAAGGTGATGCTCCGGCAGATGTTCTTGCTATCGCTTCCATTCTCAAGATCTATCTTCGAGAGTTATCTGAGCCTGTTTTCAAGTTCAAATTATCAGATCGCTTAAGCTATTCCAGTAAGTTAACACAATGTGGTATTCAATAGCATAAGTTTAGCCTTGCGTATACTAAATGCCACTGTTCCTCCAGAAATTCCTGATAAGGAACTGCGTATAATGAATCTTTTGACACGCATCCTCCACTTAGAGTCACCAAACTATGACACATTGAAAGTACTGATTCAACATTTGGCCAAGTAAGTCTTCTTATGTTCAAATGGCATACGAATCCTGTGCATTTACTGAACACTAAACGTTCGTTGATTGATTTACAGTGTATCTTCACAAGCTGAGATAAACAAAATGAATATCCAAAATCTGTCAGTCATGTTCACTCCAGCCATTTTCCAGGACCATAACAAAGGAAGCTTACCGGGTGAATGGGGAAGCGATTGTGTATTGGAAGACCTTATTCAAAACCATGAAACCTTATTCGCCAACAAAGATCTCCGAAGTCAGACAGCAATTACTGGAGGTATTGAACTCAGCGACGAACGCAATATCAAGAATTATGCAAGACGACCAAGCAGTGCAGAGCTCTCTCCAGTGATGACCATTCATACCGAGGAAGATTATGGCGATATCTTTAAAGATGAAGATTTGGAGCCTGTGGAAAGCTACGTCAACAGTGATCTGGTTGGAGTTGACGGAAAATATCTTGTATCGCCTGTGTCGCCTGAAGTAGCACGGACGCCTGACCTTTCACCACTTCCATCTCCTATTAGCCCCGATGTCAGTCAATCACACGCTGAAATGGAAGAAAGCAAAGATAGGGTGACTGAAGCGATTAGTCGTCAGCAAGCACGCACAGGAGTGCCTAAATTCCGTACAAGATCTCAGGACCTTAAAATCAACACCAGTGCTTTCAAGTTCTCGCACTCCAATACTTCGGGTTCGTTGCACACATCGCCTATTGATATGGCATTCACCGCCCCTGTGGGACATGCACCAACCTATACACCCAATGAACCCAAGACTCCTGTATCTCCTAAATTGACACGCCGTCCTAAATCTGTGAAACGACGAGTTACTGGAAAGCGCGAAAGTTCGGCTGATCAGTCGCCTGACGCTGTTGCCGTTGAAAGCAACTCGCTACCGGTGCCTCCTATCCCCACCATTCCAAGAGAACATCATACTACTCTTTAGTCGCTAAATTTCCATGTCTACGTAGAAACTACATCCCAGGTTATACTTATTACCACTACTTAACTACAGCCACTTTGTATTTTGTATTATTTCATCTATGTCCACTGCCCCCATTATTAAAGTCATGTCATGCAGACAGCACGTCGTGCTTTGAACTTTTCCCCGGAGCATTTCTTTAATAGATTGGATGACCAGCCCAAAATTTCCCAGCAACTTACAAGTAGCCACGCATGTGAAGGAAAAATAACAGTTTTAAAAATCAAAATGATAGCAGAGAACAAGTCGAATTCAATAGGAGAGGAATGTCGCGCGAGTATAAGGAAATGTACAATTCTAGCTCAAGGTATAAAAAAAAGTTATACTAAGATAACAAGGCATCGACGCTCATTTGCTGACTGTTTTTGACGCCATTCACCGATGAACCAGGTGTAGGAGTCAAATCTCTAGCTTCCATTTCTGATCCTGCCACAGCATCGTGTGCTTTCATGTCGACGAGGGATCCCAGGCGTCGATTGAACCTGTTCTGGTGTGCTGCCTCACTATTCAGTAGACTGGAACTCATTTGCATATAGTAAGCATCATGCGGGTGGGTGAACGGTGCAACGTGGACGTTCATAGGCAAAGGTCGGTTATACCGTGCGGAGACGATGGAGTAAGGGTTAACAGACGTTCGGGTAGCTGAATGAACTTGAGGAAATGTCACTGGCCAAGGCGAGAATGTTGGCGTACTACTGGATGATGTATGGAATTTCGGTGAAGTTGTCTTTGCTGGAGTGGGTGTGATGGATTCAGGTTGGGATATGGGTGTGGTGGAGATATTTGATTCGTCCACTAAGTCTTCCGACATGACTAGCTCTGTAGTTTCACTTAGTTCTGACGCTTCATCCAACTCATCAAACTATTGTGCATGTACATTAGAACGTCAATTTGAAATCTCAGTGTATTATAGCACAAAAGACTTACGGATATTTCATCCACTTGAGTTAAATTGGGCGAATGGTGGGGAGAAGAGGCGGACAAAGATCCTCGACTGGCTGAATCGTCCTTTGGACTGGGATGGCTAGTCGTCTTATTTTTGGAGTTAGACATAGTGTTATCATGCATTTGTGATGGCAATTGTGGATGAAGTTGCGATTGCATCGTGGATGTTTGTGGATGCGGTGCAATAGCTGGGGCTAGCAGTATCTGTCCGGTATTCGATGGTTGATTCGATACGAGTGGTGGACTGGTAGGCGGGGTATGTTTTGCTGGAGCCATCGATATTCGTCTTGAATGGGAAGTCGAGTCCATCGAGGTGATTTTGTTTTCAAGCCGACTGAAGGTCGCTACGATATACAATTTTGCAAGGGTAGAGGGTTTAAACAGGTCGGCTCCCCATCCACCGCCAAGGTAAAACTGGGCTCGATATGGTTCGGTATCTCCACTGTCCTTTTTTAAATGCAGTATCTCTGAGAACGTCTGTGACCCGTTCGCTATGATAGTCATTTGTTCTGGTGAGTATTGGAAAAAATCGTCTGAAGAGGTACGTTCAGTCGGTGGTAATGGCGCTCGTTGTTGAGAAGGGTTAATTTTGTTGCCAACATCACTGATATTATCCAACAGCAGACGATGAATGCGTGCCAGCCGTTCACCATCGTCTACAGCAATAAAACCATACAGCGGTCGATGAGCCATCTCTTGTGGGTAGTAGCCTAGTAATTCAAAAACTTCATCTGAAGCACGTGAACAACATACTTCCATTGATAGGAACATCTACAAACGTCGTTAGAGCTGTCACATTGATGAGCTTTGGAAAGCAGATTGATTTAACCTACAGTGATGACCGTCGTCGCTTGGTTCGCATCGTTAATAACATTTGCCGGCTTCGTCATTGAAAAGCTTGATTTGGAACCAAGGCTAACATGAATGGATTTCATGGAGGATAGTATCGACGGCGACGATGAGCTGGTCGCAGTGATTTGAGCTTCCTTGTCGCGGAGCTTTGGTCTGCCTCTTTTTTTTTGCTGGACGTCATGACAAGTGTCAACTTTGTTCATAGTAATACATCGATTACATGGTCTACTGACTGTTTCAGACAAACAAGGGGAACCAAAAGGTTAGGGTAGCTGATCTGTTGGCCAGTATCAATCCAAACAGCAAACAACTTACGATCGCAGGCCAGGTGAGCTTTTTTGCAGTTGATCTGTAGAATTAGCAGCACTTAATCAGCAAAAGGCATTGACGCGAGCAATTCTTTAGCGGCCATGACGAGCTGACTTACGCATGCGCTAGGAACATGAGGCTTGTTTGGTCGTTTAGCAGGAACTCGAGTAGAGTCTGGTGAAGCGGCGTCTATTGACATGTCTGTATAGTCGGATATTTTTGATGATGATGACCGCCGCACATTGAACGGAATAGGCTCATTATTTAAGAGAGAGATATTATCAAGGAATTCTAGCGACATATAACAAATAAAGCGACGAGATAGAAATGCAACCCATCGCTATCTCAGCTGAAATATAAAGCTCGGTTTTTTTTTTTTTCTTGTGAGATCACCCTTAATTGGGTTTTCTTTGCATTGCCTAAAGGAAGAAATTTGGCAGAGACAAGCCGCTTCGTTAATTTCATCTCTTTCGCCCTGAACAGAAATCTATTCTTTGAATATTTGACCCATCATCACTAAAATCCTACATCTATAACGCTGAATTTTCTAACCACAGCCCAATGCTCTCTCCACATATTCGACTACCAAACTCAGCAGATCCCGGCCAAAACTTCCCAAAGTGTATTTTCTCCTAAATTCCGATATTGCAATTTTCTCCGGCAGAGCGCAGTGATGACCGGAATGACCTTTTGTAAGAAGTGGGAAGAGAGCGAACAGCCAGTCCACAGCTACACATGATGATGCAACTTTGAAAATTCGCAATAAAACTTTTGATTTGTTTATGAATGTGTAACTTGCCATCCTGAAGCTTTATGTTACTTGATTCGTCCTAACAGTCGATTTCTTTTGTTAACTCTCTCCCCTTCTCCACATTAGAAACGTAGGCGGGTAACAAATTTAGTAATAACTGTAACTTCTCTGAGGGACAATATAATAAACTCTCACAAGCTTTTCCCAGATTAAAGTTTGAAAGTCATCCTTACATGCATATGAGTCCTGTTGCCATCTTTCTCAACTATGCCAAGAAAGCATAGGTTGAAGCCTTGTAGAAAGGATCATCGTAAACGATATTGCTGATCCCAAGTTGATTGGAGTAAGCTTGGATGAAGGTCAAAGCATACAACGATTTTGGAGCTGACCTTTGCTCCAGATCCGATCTCCATGTATGGGATGGGCTGGAGGGACGTTCAAAACCAAGAACTGTAAAGCCGATGAATAAAAGCAAATCCAATATAGCTACCACAGGTTACGAGCTTTTGAACTTCCATTTTCGGCCCGTGCCTGAAGTCCAATCAGACATGCACCATTCCTCTGACACGCCTGTACCGAGATCGGGCAATATTTTTTACCATAACCTCCGTTCACTGCACAAACGCTCAGAACACTGTGAGTCTACACAGTAAAATTGTATTTAGACCCATACCCTCCTTTATTTCTTGGTGCCAGGAACCTTTTCTTAATCTCGTCAGCATTACCTCTATGCTTTGCGATGGCAGTTCATTCAACAACGTCTCACGTCCATCTGGTTGTAAATAGTTATAAAATGGCTTTCATGATATAGGTCTTACTAGATGGAGCCCACCCTCACCTTATGCCAAGTTGAAAAATTCTGTGTGACTAAGAGGAGTTCCGACAATGAGTAGGTAAGCAACATCGGCGACTTGCGACTACCTTTTATGCCATATAATAATGTGGAGCGATTCTCGAACTTTAAACATGCACCAATGGTGAGAGCTGCTCAGTGAATATTACCAATTTGAACCTCGGCATACAAAATGCAAAATATCTACCAAGGTTCTCTTCAGCAGCGTGACTCCAAATATGGTTTAAACAAGGAAAGCTAAGGAACTTCGTATCCTTACGGCTGAAAATCAATGATTCAAACGGCAGACGGACTATCAATTTAACCCAAAGTAAAACTCCCAGGGATACTTTATTCTCTCGACATGACAATGGCAACCACATCAGACCTAGGATTGACCAAAGAGCAACTTGAGAAGGTACATTCTTATGAGTCTGATCGCCCGCTAATGCCAAGTGAAGTTGATAATAATCTAATGCATTGCCTGTTTTGCGCTCATTGTTACCTAGTTTGATAACGACGGGTACGTGAGCATATCTCTACCCCTTAGCCGGGCATTAATCTTTTCACTACAGCTTTTAACTCTGGATTGAATAGCTACCTCATTATACCCGATTTCTTTACCAAAGATCAAGCACATAAGCTCAAGTCAAGAGCCGATGATTTGTTACAGAACTTCAGTCTTGATGGTCACCCGTTGACTAGGTTCTCCACTGGTAGTACCGAAGATAAGAAACATATTGGGGACAATTATTTTTTGGATAGTGGGGACAAAATTCGATTCTTCTTTGAGGAGGGTGCATTCGATGATAATGGCGACCTCAAATACCCTAAATCTCGGGCCATTAATAAAATTGGCCATGGTAAGTGAACGGTACAAGTCATTCATCAAATTGGGAAAAGCAAACTTTTATTCATACGGGTTTCCATTTACTTTTTGCAGCTCTACACGAATTAGACCCGGCTTTCAAAGAATTCTCCATCACACCAGGCATGTCGGCAATTGCTCATAGTCTAGGCTTTGAGAAACCTCAGGTTCTTCAGTCAATGCTGATCTTTAAACAGCCTTATATTGGAGGAACCGTTCCAATTCACCAAGATTCTACTTTCCTCTATACTGAACCTGTGTCTGCTGTTGGTTTCTGGTATGCACTCGAAGATTGCACTGTAGAGAACGGTTGTCTTTACTTTATCCCGGGGTCACATAAGACAACTCCAATAGATCGTCGCTTCGTTCGCGCTCCTCAAGGTGGTGTCACTTTTGTTGGTGAAGGGGAGCTCAAGGTGGATGAGACCAAATTTGTGAAGGCTGAAGTGAAGGCTGGTAAGTAAAATGGAGTGTTAATGTGTAATAAGGATGTTAGATATACAATTAAACTGTCAATAGGCACTCTTGTATTGATCCACGGTTCAATTGTCCACAAATCTGAGAACAACTCGTCCCCCAATTCTCGTTACATTTATACCTTCCACGTGATTGAAGGCAATAACAACTACCCTAAAGATAACTGGTAAGAGAGTCCAAGCTTCATCACAACATTTCACTACTCCATCTAATATCAGTACTCAGGTTACAACCCAGCGATGCCATGCCTTTCACCTGTCTATAAGCCAAATCCAATGGCAACGTATATAGGATACAATAGTAAATTTGGTTTTATTGCAAAGCCCAATTAAACTTCTTCGTTCCCTGTCCCATATTACAAATCAATAATACAATCAAACCATGGCTCAGGACCGTGAACTACAGAGCTCTGTCCAATGCACTTAAATCCTGCCTTCTCGTACAAGCCAACCAATTGAGGTCTGCTGAGTAATGCAACTCTCTTATATTGTTTGTTATTGCCGTTGCTTGCCGCAGCACGGAGTCCATCCAAATAGTTATCGAGCAGCTTTTGTGCAATACCTTGACCTCGATACTGTGGAGATACGCAAACACTGTGGATGGCTACGGTTGTACCGTTATCTTCGTGGCTACGCATACTTTCATCCGTAACAAGGTCTGATGTTGTCAAAGTGGCGTTGACAAAGGCTATAACCGTTTCGACTTCTTCTTGAGTGCAGAGACCGAGTTCCATATCACACTTTTCAATGACAGTATGTGCCGTTGCGACTAGGAATAATGCTGGCCGAGTTTGTGCAATGTCAATTCTCTTTGCAATGCTCTCACGGGAGGCTGCCTCGTCGGGATCATAAGAATTGGTTTCCAAATTAGCTATTGTATCGAGATCATCTATTTTAACATGACGATAGCTGAGATCCGAAGGTGTTTTCGCCATGCTGACAGAAGGCATTGACAGAGTTATCGACAAACAAGCAAGTGCGGGGCTCAGACCGGCCCGTGGTAAAATGGCGTGTAACAAGCATACGCATAATGAGCACGTGACTCGCCATCAATCAATATGAATGAATTGATCGGACCAAACCAAACAGTTTAAAATAATGACAGCCCAAACATTGGTTTGATAATTTTGCAAGAATCTCTCAGTAGAAGTGACTAATGCCAAATTACTCTTTAAAATTCACTTTTAGAAACACAGCGCATCGGTGTTATAGTTAGTCGATATTCCTAGTCAGACTACTTTGAACCGGTCTGGAACGTTCAAGATTGTTTCACTTCTGTTCGTTTGAACTACTTGCGTAAAAATGCATTTCGAAAAAAAAAAAAAAAAATCACTACCAAGAAACTGAAAAAAAAAATTTGTAAGGCGATTTCACACAATGGAAATGAAGTAAACAGTTATCGGCTCATACAGACGAAGGTGGTATTCTAGAAAATGTCATTTTTAATGGTCTAATGTGGTTCACTGTCGCTGTGAATGGGTATACAAACAAATATTCTACTGTAACAAAATGAGTGATCTTTTTTCTTGTTTTTTTTTTTTCTATCAGCAGTTAATTCATTTATATATCTAAGCAGGGCAGAGGTTGACAGTGTAGCTAGAAGCTCCACAGGCGAAAGTGGAAGTAGCGTCATCGTAAGCGTAAGAGTAGGCAGTGGGGGCATCAGCCTTAACGAGTTTAGCGAAAGCGTTAGCAGCACACTTTCCGGGAGAGTTGTACTCGCCAGTGCAGCAGTCTTCAGGGCTTCCGGACTCGGAGCATGCGCTCTTGCATCCAACGACATTACCACTATTGTCCTTAACTTCATTGGCAGAGGGGCAGCTAGGGAAGGATGTGGCCGAGGGAGTACCGCATGAGTATTTACCACCGCCGGATTGACCACCGTTGGGAACAATGTTCATAGGCAAGTTGAAACCATCAACGAGAGATACATCATAGTAGTCTTGGCTACCGGCACCGTTGAACAGGAATTCAGCCAAAGTAGCGGGAGAGACAGCACCAGAGGTACCACATTGGGTCATATCACTATGGCTGCACTGATCACGGGCCCAGACACGGCCACCCCAGTTGTTACCAGGAGTGATTGAGTGGGAAGCACCGGCATCCAAGTCAAGAAGAGTTGTATGATCGTTGCTTTGGCCATTGGTGAGCCAGCCGAGAGTGACGGTCTTACCGCAGTTGTTCTTGATGTTAATAGTCTTTCCACCGCTAACAGGGGCGGCGACGGCGAGGCCAGCGAGACCGGCGATGAGAGAAATCTTGATAATGTTCAACATACTTGAAATTTGGATTGTTTAATAAAGATGAAGGGAATGGAGTAGCACCAGGCTTTTCAGTTTAGAATTTAAGTTGGAATGGATGGAATGGGACTTTGCACAGCAAAGGATAGACTCTTGAATGATAAAAATGAAGGAAGTTCTCTAGAATTATCGCTGCTATTTATAATGACAGGAGTTGAGGTCCCAGACATGCAAGGTTTCATTTTTGATCAACTAACCATCGCCACGCTCCCAGCTCGCACAGATGAATCTGAAACTGATAGTGACTCGGTGCACGCACCCATTGTTCGCAATGTTTGAGTCACATTCAATATCCGAAAGCTAGGTGCCTAAGACGAATTTCACACCAAGCCTATTAAAATTTATTTCAAAGACAATTAGATTCTGGTTTCTGTATTTCCGTGAGCACTTACAGCTTTTGTATAGACCATTCCGTGCAAGAATGTTGGCTACGAGATATTCTACCATATCTGGCACAGCAAGTAGATGCCTCCATTTAAACACCGACAGCGAGACCGACAGCCACTCAATTCTCAACTTGCAGAGTGCAGAATTAAGGGGATTAGCGAAAGGAGTTCTAAGGTACTAAAAAAGATTTTCTTTTTCCGTATGTACTATGTTGTTACATTTTCGCTATCCATCCGTTTGTATAAGGGCCATCTCATACGCCAGGGATTATACCAGAAGTGTGCTATTTCTGTCTCACACGAATTACTTCCCTACTTAGAAGTTAGGATTCTCTTAGTTTCATTGGTGCAGGGAAGAAGGGAAAAGAAAACATTGGGACTATCTGTTTCACATTATACAATTTCTATTGCATGCAATTCTTTAAAAGAAAAAATTAGTTTCATTTCAGTGACGATAACGTATGGCCCATTCTAACTCTCTGATCACATCAGGTGCTGATAAAGCTGAGCAGCTTTGAACCTTCGGATTTGACTAGGGACTTAAATGACACCTCTTAGTCATAGGATGGACTTTTTGATCCCGCCTTCCATCTTCCGCCCTCAAATACGATACTGACTCTCACCCAATTGATATCGTTTAAAATTATGCCAATGATTCAGATCGACCTCCCATGTATCTGGACTGTTTATTTGGTATCGCAACACTGTGGAATTCTTAACAAACATGGAGGTTGCTCAGCATGCTTAGATAATGAAACATGATGTCAAAGCTGTAGACATTGCCCAAAAACTACATACGCCAGGGTTCCACTAGGAGCCAACTTCCAGCCAGCGAACAGTGAAGAAGCAACGGATAGAATTTTTTTAGGCTGTTCTGATACCCAGGTCACACACCCAGGCCACGTATTCAGAAATTTTGACAGCAACGTCTGCAAACGGACACTCCACCTATTTACAAATGTCCGAACGATCAGCTGAGCAAAGCTTATACGAGAAATCCACGATCAAAGTGCAGGGTAATAGCTCGATACAGCCAGTTACAAATATAACTTTAGCGGAAATGACCTCAGGCGACCCCGTTGGTACCCCTAACTCAAACACCGAGAGATTTGCAACCAATGTTCAAGCTGCTTTGAGCGAGAAAGAGAATCAGCCAGCGTACAAGGATTGCTTACCTTGCAAATTGACTGGTGCAGCTGCCTTTACAGGAATTGGGGGTTATGCGTTAAATGAGGCACGCAAAATTCGTCGCATACCTTCGAAGCAAGGAACAGCCGTCGGCTTCGGCGTTACAGGAGTCCGTATGTATCGAATTCATTGTGAAACTAGTATAGGTCCATTATCCTTACTTATTTTATCTTTTTCCAGTGTTTATTTCTGCTGGATTATACAGATTGATCATATAATAAAACGTTTGTGCCATTGTAAATATTTCAACAGCCATTTTTAGTTTGTCAAAAAAAAAATGATATGGGGAAGGAGAATTCTGTCAAGCTGGCAAGCTTGATCAATGTACATATGAGACCGTTTCTATGATTTATTTTCCACTTTTTTTCTTACTTCCCTTCTTCTTCTTGGAGGCTTTGGGAGATGCGCCTTTGCTGTCATCGGCGTTCACAGCAACATAGTCTTCATCTTCAACGTCAGCTTCGTCAGCCTTGTCGGTTTCCTCTACAGTATCTACAGTCTCCACTGTCTTCTTCTCTTCCTTTACAGTTTCTTCCTTCTTCTCAGATTTTTTGCTCTTCTTAGCCTCCTCGTTATCTTCTTCGGTCGAATAAGCAAAGAGCTCCTTGATTTCGCCACGTACAGCAGCGGTAAGCAACGTTGACAAAATACAAGCGGGGGAAAGGTATAGTAATGCAGGTTGGGCAGCTTGGAAGGTGTGCATGACAACAACGGTAGTGACCAGGCCAGTAATATAAGCTATAGCGCAGGAAGTGAAGTACGGTCTGCTAAAGTTTGTGGAGCGGAAGTTGCCGGTAGGGTTGCGTTGCCAAGCCTGGTGGTGATCGAATCTCAAGCACAAGGCTACGAAGATACCTATATTAGATAGCATGAGGGTGAGCTTAGGACAATTTAACAATGGGGTCAAGTTCTATACGCATACCTGGAATAACGATGTCACCAAGACCCAGCATTGTAAACTCAGTCTTTTCAACTGTCCCAGCCAGGACACCAATGATATCCTTGGGCCATACGACCTTGATAGGTGCATCAAAGTTCTTAGCGACGCTAACCATAACCTCGGTACCAAACACCCAGAAAATGTCATAGAAGAAGAGTCCGCTGAGGAGAATCATACCAGTCTTGAAAGAGTCTAAAGACAAGAGTTGTATAGCATTTAGGGCGAAACAAATGCCGAAAAAGTTTGATGCAATCCAATTCTTGGTCAGCACGTAGTAGACAGTGAGAAGGATAGAAGTTGTCAAAAGACCGGCATGGACGGCAGTGAAGTTGGCATTGTATAGATCTATTTAAGGGTAGAATGTTAATAATGGAACAAGGGAGTTTCGATGCGTTAATGTTGAACTACATACGTTTTCCTTGCTTGCTAATGGTAACCTTATATTTTTCAACATGCTTGAGAACGCTGAAAGGCAAAGCTTTCTTAGCGAGAAGCAATCCGACCTTCGCGACAGCTGCGCATCCAAGGATAGCAAAGTAGCCGGTGAGTAAGTAATTGATGTATTCCTTATTCAAGAAGCGGAACAGAAGGTATAGAGAAAACAGAACGCCTGAGCCGAACACAGGGAACATCCAAGCATCGTTCGCTGACAGACTTTCTGTAATTGACTCTGACTCTGAGTCAGAATCGTCCAAGGGATTATTGCTCTTCTTGCGAGGAGCGGCATTCTTGGGTCGCTTAACGCCTTTCAGTGACTCAAACGATCCTGCATAGATCGGGATGCATGCCATGGTAAGCAGCGATCCATATGCAACGATGAGCCCGGTTTCGACCATGATTTAAATGACAAAGGGCGGAAGATCAGGGTCATTCGAGCCAGCTAATCCCCCCTTTAATGCTTGTTCCTCTGCGATTGGGTCAATTTCGCGCGTCACAACTTCAATTTGGCCTCAGCCGATGTTTGACCGCAGGCGACTTCACAATATTACTGCAAACCTATCTGAATATCTAAAGTCGAAAATTCGAAAGACATGACATTGAACAAACTCTCGCATCGCATAATACGATGTATGATTTTGAAGATGAAAAAGCATACAAAGATTATGAGGCAGCTTATGGGTTGCACTGTTACTGACGAAGTTCACCACTAAAACATTGAGAACAAGCGCATATTTTCTTTCTTGGTAAATGACATTCACTGTTACCGTCAATAAATACTGTATCTTGGCCCCATCCATATTTACGTATTTCAATCTGGCTTAACTGGTCTTACCCATGGTGCCTCTTAGTTCATGTATACTCATGCCTTTCACAAAATGAGTCATATTAGAAAATATTAACGAATTTTTTGTTAAAATGTAGCATTGGTATCATTTATGAATACTTTTTGGTGTGTTCAACCGGCAAATCGCAATGACAGACTCTTGCGTTGGCTAATGTGATGACAATTGTAACCAATCATATTCACCAATTGCCTTTGTGACGTCGTACGCGTTGAAATCGGCGTGGTCAAAAATCTTTACTGCTTCGCGAACAGGACGCGCTGGTACTCAACTTTTTTTTTTAACAAAATATGGCAGGTGAGTCAAAGGAATTGAAGTCTTCTGCCATGCATGTACATAGCTACTCGAGATTTTAGAATACACACTATATTCCCTTCAATGTTTTGATTTGCTAATGTCGCGATCCTTGCAGGATACAACAGTTATGGCTACGATGACATGAACGGCGTCGAAAACACAGGTGGAGGTTTCATGGACTCCTCTCACTACGATAATAATGGCGGTAACCAGACTCAGAACAAAGTAGGAATAATACGCTTCTCATACTATGAACATGTTGATGGTCAAACTAACTGCGCCATTTGAATAGACAAGACCAAGTGAACAGACTTTGCGACCTGTTACTATCAAACAAATGCTTAACTCTCAGCAGTCTCATGGAGAGTCCGAATTCAAAATTGACAATACCGATGTTACTCAGGTATTTCACTTTGCAATACTGTGAATAAGGTATATTCTTATAATGCTCACAAAATCCCAAAGGTAACATTCGTCGCAGTTGTGCGTCAGATAAATCCACAATCCGCAAATATTGCATACACAATGGAAGATGGTACTGGATCTATTGATGTTCGTCAGTGGTTAGATCAGATTCAACAAGATAGTGACGCTGAGAGAGAAAAGAGAGCACAGATAATGTAATTTCACGTCAGTCATTGCTGCCAAATTCTGACACTATTTTTGTAACTGACTTTTCGACCTTCTCATAAAGCGTCGGAAACTACGTCCGTGTTGTAGGAAGACTGGCCCAGTTTAATCAAAAGACACATGTCGTAGCTTTCCAAATACGGCCCATCACCAGCGCCAACGAGATCACACATCATTTCTTAGAAGCTATCTTGACACACTTACAGTTCTCAAAGGGTCGCTCCGTAAGTCTAATATCACCGTGCGAAACTGATCCAAAATATTTGTTCACATTTTTCTTTTTATCTTAAGAACGGACAAGCAGGATCAACGGATACTTTCTCAACGTCAGCATATAATGCAAGCAACTTTATGGGCAATAGCCAAAAGAGCGGTGGCCGTGGTGTAAACGAGGATGTGATCGAAGTTATACAACAGTTTGGACACTTGGACCAAGGTGCTGAAATCAATCAAGTGGTGACTCGCTTGCAAGGAAAATATACCGAGACACAAGTCAAGTAAGTAGGAGAGAGCACGTGGAGCATGAGAGTGGGGCCTGGTGGGTGCACGATATGCTTCATAACTAACAAACCATTTGTCCCTCGCAGAGAGTCTATCGATTATTTGCAAAATGAAGGGCATTTGTATGCTACTATTGATGAATACCATGTAAAATCTGCAGAATCGTTTTAATGGAGTTTGGTATGAATAGATGTATGAGAGATTTGCACTACGTGGATACTTAATGAATAAAAAGCTATGAAAGTAAAGAATAGAAAAGTGCTCCAACTGTATTTTTTCTGATCAAAAGGATGGCGCGATGTCAATATGTTTTCTTGTCATTTCGATTTTTGCATCACGCTTGTTTGCATAGAAATCCAATCGATGACATGAAGACCGTCTGGTCATATTCGTTATTGTTCCTTCGTCGCTTTACTTATAGTAGATGGTGTCTTAACGGGGCCACTAAATTCAGCAGCTAAATGAAGCACCTTGATACCGATAAAGATGGCTAGGAAGGCAACCACGGCGACCCAGAAACAGATGATAAGCACTGGCACAAGTATGCACAAGCTGAGCACGACAACAAAAACTTCAACGCCAATAAGTATGAATAAAAGAAAAGAGACTAGTCCAAAACTTATGAATACGATTGATAGAAGAAATATTAGGATAGGAACAGCAGCCAGCACCAAATAGATATGAGAGAATAGTTGTGCTTCAGGGCTTGCCAAGATTCGAAGGTTAACACCAAGATCTTATCGTAATGTGGTAACTTGAATCTTATACTTACAATTGCCAAACAGTGTTAACGAAGCCAAGTGCTGAATCATATATTGGCCCTACGGTCTTCTTCAATGATTCGTGGGGCATGGTTGCCATTGTAGTGGTATACTGGTGAAATGGTATGTGCGCGCGTCGGATGCGAAAACTCCAATTTTGGGATTATTCCATCATTACGCATCTTGCGTAAAAATGAGTCTGAAAATGGTATGGTTTTATTGTGTCAATAAATAAAGATGTGGCCACTCGTATCTATTGAAGCTTTCTTAATTTGTAGAAAGGTAAATGGATGCAAGCTGCTGAGCAGCAGTAAGGATCTTTTCCTCCTTAGAAAGTGATTTCGATTGGCTAGTGATAACAAAAGGTAAGACATGTAGATGTCAGTAAAAGTAACCCAAGTCCCGTCCTTTGTTTTTAAAAGCGTCACCTCACCTGTATAATTTAGCGGCAGAAGAAGGTGGAGTCAGCGTTCCTTCTGAGTATCTTGTTCCAAAGCTTTGTCGATTTGAAACCGATTTGTGGCTTGATTCCTGGATCCATTCATGAAACATTCCTTCGTCTGGCGTCATCCTCTTTTCTGGATCCCAGTCCAGACATCGACTCACAAAGTCTACAAAGAGTTGATCATTACACCGCAGAACCTGTGCCAGTGTCTTGCTATTGGGTTTTCGCTTTTTGCCTCTTGAGTTAGGCACTAATCTTGGGTTACCGTAGGAATCTGAAAAATACAATATTAGAGTGTCGAATATGATGGTATTCATCAATGGATGAAGTGTCTCACCAAAGAATAATTTTCGTCTTGTACTCTTCTCGACAAGGTACGGTTTGGGAACTCCTTGCACTTCCATAATGCAGGCCAGCTGCTCTTGCTCATTTTCTCCAGGAAAGAGTGGGTATCCTAATTGTCAGAGTTCATCGGTTAGCTTTGCATTCACCTACAAATAAGATTCGCACTGAACAAAGTTTCATTGTCTTACCGGTGTATAGCTCTGCTAAAATGCAACCCAAGCTCCACATATCAATTGTCATACTATACGTCATTCCTATCATGCGTTTGTGAATAATATGGTCCAAGCTTTGAGAAGACGACTATAGCGAGATGACCTACCTAGAATGACTTCTGGTGATCTATAAAAGCGGCTTTGAATATAGGTGTAAACTTTTTCTGTTTGCAAGCAGCTGCTTCCGAAATCGATGATTTTGATTGTGCTTCGGTTAGGGTATTTGAGCAAAATATTCTGCCAACGTACGAGTAAATATGAATGTTCTTGTAAGTATTCATTTGCAACAATCTCAACTTACTTCAGGTTTAAGATCACAATGAATAACGTTGTGCTGATGTAGCAGCGATAAAGAGTTCAATATTTGGGCAGTGAATCTGCATTCAACAAGTGTTAGATATGTAGTGTTTCTCATATTGCAGTCAAAACGCAATAGCCTATACCTTCTGATGAGAGCAAGGCTGAAACCACGGAAATTATTGCTCTTAATGAATTCATACAAATTCATGCTCAGACATTCAAAAGCAATACAAAGATGATTTCGAAAGTAGAAGTGGTCAGTCATGCGAACATTATTATAACGGTCTTCAGGATCCTGTACAAGAGTAAAATGCGTCATATTAGTAACAACCTACAGTACCAGGATGAATGTATGCATACACTTACCCAAGAGACGAGGTCTTGCAAAATCTTCACTTCAACAAGTGCTTGAGCGTGGAACCGCTTTTTGTTTCGAATGATCTTAATAGCGACATATTCGCCAGTTTTATGGTCCAAACATTTTAGAACTTGACCAAAGGAACCCTTGCCGAGCAAATCAGTGATCTCGTAGCGATAACAGAGATGATCGTGCATGTTAATAATGTAGTCTCCGCGTTCGTCGTCATAACCATGGTTGAATTCGGCCTTTTCTGGGGTAGCATATTGCTTTCTATCCTTGGGGCTAATGTAGTAGACCTTGCTATACTTTGGTACTTCCTCTCGCTCGTATGGACATAACTGAGATGAAAAAGCTTCCAATGCATGTCGTGGCTTCATACCTTCGGATACAAAAGGTTTAGGCTGAGCCGGCTCCTTCTCATCGCTGTTAATGTATTGTCGACTGCTATATTCTTCATAGACCGTATGCGGGCGAACCGATGTTCTTTTGGATAGGAGCTGTGTAGAGTGGTGTTCGCGAGTGTCAACGTTATTGACTTCTAGAGCCAGCTTTGGATCCCACTTCATGTCCGTGTCTTCATCATCTTCCTTAATGCGATGCTCTGCAACAAGGTTTTGAAGTCGCTCATGCAAACTAAGTCTTCGATTCCTTTCATGTCGGCGACGCAAGATACTTTCGTCCGTAGCAGTGTTATACGCAGATTTCTTCGCGACATCTGGTGCATGGGTATCAAGTGAGCTTATACTTGCAACCGAGTGACGCCGATTTGCATAACCTCTGCCAGCTTGAGCGCCAATTGTGTGCGCACCACTCCTAACTATCTTACGGTACGTCGAATCCGTTGATTGAAGTAATGGGCTTCGAGCCATTTTTTCATACTCAGATAAGGTACTTGCTTTACCGGATGCCTGTATATTAGCTGGTGATTTCGTTGATATTGGTGCAAGATCGTCGTCCTGATCACTGATATCAAGAAGATTGGTTTGGCTTGCACTTTTGGTAGTTGACATCGCAAATTGGGGTACTCGAGGCGATGATGGTGCCGTTCGGCTTCCCTTTGAGTAAGAAAGTCTACGTTTGCTCGATTGCCTGTCAGATTTAATTGGTAACCTTAATCCGAGAGGGCTGCTTTCATCTTCACTGCTAGTCATTTGTACTCCTGTTGCGCTCAGATCCAAGTCGCTGTTGGCTCCTTTGGACAAACCATATCGGAATACTGGTACTGGAATCCGGGTTGGGGTTGTCGCAGTTGTTGCGCTGGATGGTGATCTTGGCAGTTCTCGTCGACTGGAAGCCCCTCTTAAGTCAAGTTTCATAGGTTCAAGTTTCATTGGAGGTAACGGTAACGACGGTACAGGGGGCGGAACGGCAAGGTTTCCTGGTAATGTCTGTAAGAAAAGGTGCTTGTATCAGCATTTCAATGCGCTCTACGAGTATCTGCATGTAAAGAACAATTACTACTCACTTTCCCTCGTCTACGTGAAATGATAGCCTTTCCAGCTGGCTTGCTTTCTAGCTCAATATTTGGAGCTGTTATCTTTCGTTTCTCATGTACTTCATCATCCAAATATTTACGTCTGTCAACTGGTGACCTCACGGCAGTTGAGACATTGACATGTGCATTTTCGTTATCCAATCTCGAGCTTTCAATTTGTGCAGTGCTTGCGTAATTTTCGATCGTTAAGCATGACTTCCGTCTACTACTGGTAGATCCTCGGTGAGAAAGGCGACTTGCATTTTGACTATCATCATGTCCATTTGGACCTAATTGATAAGGCTGTCTGGGCTGATCGTCACTCCCTTCGTCGCTATTGGTGTCTTTGGATGGGCTAATACTATTGTTTCGGCTATGTGTCGTTTTTACCGACTCTATTCCTTTGTTGTAAAAGGAATGATGTTTTGGGACAGGAGGCACCGGAGGAATGTCTTCTTTTTCCATACCTGAAGTATTTCCTTTAGCCTCATCAACATCACCAAATGCACTTGATGATCTCGAAGGCGGAGGTGATGATGATATCGATCTACGGTGAGTGTTCGTGCTAGTTGACCGTGTGTAGCCTTGATATTCTGATATACTAACTCGAGACGGGGTGCGTCGCAAAGAGGAGGCTGATTTTCGATTCTCTTTTTTCAGGCTGGATGAACGCTCTGGGTTTCTAACGATGTCCAACTCGCCCACCAACGTTTCTATTGACTTTTCAGAAGTGGAAGTCGCGCGGCTTCTGGACTGGAAGGATGCAGGTAAACTTTTTCTTGATATACTCTGGGACTTATCCAATACTTTTTCATTGAGAGGTAAAGTAGAGTCAGTTTCCATAGATTGCTGCAAATGACGGTGAGAGCTCACTCTTGGCGGCCTATTTTGAGCGTTTGCTCCTAAACTCTGATGTCGCTTAATTCTGTTTGTTGTTTTGGCCTCTTGATTTAACTGGGAGATTTCTGGATGAAGCGAAGAAGACCGCTCGCTAACTGTGACTGGATGTGCTGACATGGGAGAATATAATGCATATTTTGAGCTCAGACTTGGCATAGTCGGTGGACCATCCAAATTTAGGGGAGGTGGAGGAGATCTTAACGCTCTTGATTTCGGCCGCATCCTTCCGGTTGAACCCTTTCTTGTAATTCTTGCCTCCTTTGCATCACTAACATCAGAATCATAGATTTTGGTTGAAGAAATCTCTTTGTTCCTCAACAATGCATTTTCATCCTCCTTTCCATGGTCACCAACGTCGCTGTTAATTCGTCCATCTGGCTCATCTTTAGTTAATGAGGACATCGGAAGGGAGCCAGAAGTACTCATTCGCTGTGAGTTGGTGCTGAAATTGCGAGATGCTCGTAAGCTGCTTTTCCTTGGCAATGTGTACTTTGCATCGGAGTTGGAGTCGTCTTCAACAAAAACCTTTGAAAGGCGGTGTCTGCTGACACTACTGGTCTCAGCCGCAGATACTGATGCAAATTTTCTGTCAGTGGCGATGTCCGTATTGGACAGGCTAGAATCAGTCATTGTTTCCGCAGCTCCAGATTTTCGTTTGTTAAGTAAGCCAGTAGATGTTTGCCTATGATACATTCTTGGAGTAGTCTGAAATCGAAGTGTGTCAGAAAGTTGTATTGATTTAAGACCGCATATGGTACTAAGAAGCCAATTACCAACTGAGCATCAGACACTCGTCGTGTCTGTAAAGATGCTGATCTCAATAAGAAATCCCTGTCTTTCTCAGCAAACTGGGCAGCTGCAGACGGTCTTCTTTGTCTAGCACCAGCACTTTTCGAGGATATTGTGGATGATGAAACCTCGTTACTCTCACTGGAAATGGTATCATAATCTGATCTTTGATTTGTAATAGAGGGATACCGAGGATCTCGTGCTGATATCCTCTTTCTTGTGGTGGAGCCTGTGCCTGCCTTCTCAGCAGCCGTAGCAGCTGCCCGCGAGCGACTACTGGAAGTAGCTTTAGTGTAGTTACTATCCTCTGTCCTACTGATAGTCCGAGTGCGCTGATAATGTGGCTGATCAGACCCATGGCTTTCTCTCTCCTTCAGTAATCTTATGCGGTTTAGATGCTCTTGTTGTTGATCAAAGCGTTGTTTCTCCAGTTGAGCTAAAGACTGACTGATATCGGCTCCATCATTGTTGTCCTGATCATACTGCCAATGATGATTACTGGTATTGTATATAGAATGCATGGAGCTCGACTGCGACATGTCTTGGCTCGGTTCTTGCTTTGAAGACACTGTGATAAACCATTGAAATCAGTATTTTGGGCAAGCTAGATAACCTGTACTTTGCATATGGAGCCACACAAAATGCAGGAGTTCCAAAAAATTGATACATACCAAAATGTCTTCCTGACGTACTACTTGATGTTGATGATTGGCTCAGAGATGTATCGAAATGAGCTGAAGGTCGGGTATACAAATGCTTGGGAATACCTGGTTCAAACGGATCAGCTATTGCAATTTGATGAGATGTAGGGAGGTTGGCTGATGATAGAAAAATACCTCAAAATATATATTCAATACAACATAATCTAGCACCGTAGTATGAGCTTGTGACAGATTGGTTAATTACAATGAGATGGGTAAAGTGATGAGCTGATCTTGGCTTTCAAAGGCAGCGCCAGAAAAAAAAAGCTCAGGCACACTCCACTTCAAACTATAAATTTGGCTGCAATAAAATTTTTTATTTTATTTTCTTAAAATTTCTTTTTCATCATTGATAGTATATAAAGGAACTTTTCTATAGCAATCGTTGCCTTTAAAGTTTATGTAAAGCGACCCGTGTGTACATCATTATTAAATTGCGGGAAATGGACCCCCACTCAAGCAATACCATATATGCCGATCCCAGCTTATGCAGACACATGGGTTAGGGGTTAGTCGGCGCATGCTGTAAGAGATCAAATTTTTTCACCCCGACACAAGACACTTTTGCTGACAGCTCCGATCCTTACTCACTTCGGTCCAACTCACTTTTCTCTAATGAAGTTTGGTGCCACTCTCGAGCACTTGCAAGTCAAAGGCTGGGAAGATAAATATGTAGCGTACAATACCATAAAGAAGCTTTTAAAATCTTCGTCAACTAGCGAGGAAAATCTCCCATTTGGAGAAGCTGAAGAAGAAGAATTCGTGGAACTGCTGGATTCTGAATTGGAAAAGGTATACATCAGCAAAATCGTCACATTACATGGAGCTTTTTTGATCACTAAACGCTAGGACAATTTTTAAGGTTAATTCTTTTCACAGCCAACAAATGCAGGAGATACAGCAAAGTATTGATGATTGTACGAGGCAAATAGATGAAATCAATCAACACGAAGATATCACAGTTCAACAGCCCAACTTGGACGGAATTGCTGAGAGGGTCAATCACCTAGCTGACTGGATTAATAATCTTGCAAATTATGCACAGGTCAACTATACTGCTGTCATAAAGCTTGTCAAGAAGCATGATAGACATGTGCAGTACCACGTTCGACCGCTGTTCATGATCAGATTAAAGCAGTGCCCATTTTGGAAGCAGGACTACGAAGGCTTGCTTTTACGACTATCTGATTTATTCGGAGTCATCCGATCAGAAATATCGCCCGTTAGCGCGCTCAGTGCTTCTTATACACAACCAGAGCAACATGCTACAGAAACGTTTTTACGAAAATCAACGAAATACTTCGTTTCGCTGGACAATGTGTTGGAACTTAAAACGTTCATATTACGTCATCTCCCGATGTTAGTATATGATAATGCTACGCGAAAGTCAAGCAAGGGCATCAACCCACCCATCACATCCATCTACCTGGATAACTCTGAGTTAGAATTGTACAATGCGAAGGTTGACAAAGAAGATGGCGCTCAAGTAATACGACTACGATGGTATGGATCGACGAAGGATACGAACAAAATATATATTGAACGAAAAGTACAGCAAGAGGAGGACACGGGAGAATTGAAAGATCGCTTCATGCTTAAAGAAAAGTATATTAAAGATTTCCTGGATGGTCGAAGAGAGGTTGTTGAAAAGAATGTCAACAAAATCAGAGCCAAGAATGCTGACAGTAATGCCGAAGCAGACGCCTTCGAAAAGTTAGCCTATGAGCTCCAAGATGTCATCAAATCAAGAAATCTTCAGCCAAGTACGTATGTTATCTTTCTTGACTGTTTATATCGATTATGTCTTAACGGCGAATCCTGTCATATAGTGGCGCGAACATATTATAGTAGGACGGCCTTCCAAATTCCAGGCGATTCTCGGCATCGGTTATCGCTAGATACAAACCTAACTATGATCAGAGAAGATGATCATTTATTTCCCGATGACCCGACATCTAGACGTCCCAATGGCGAGTGGAGGAGACCGGATGTTGACGTCGATTTTCCCTTCAGCGAGTTACCTCCTGACGACGTCCGTCGCTTTCCTTATGCCGTTCTTGAAATCAAGTTGAATTTGCCTCCAGGCAGCCGGACACCTGCGTGGATTGGTGAACTCATTTCGTCTGGCTTGGTGGAAGAGGCTCCAAAGTTTTCAAAGTTTGTGCACGCAACGGCAATCCTTTTTGAACGTAGAGTGCACTTACTTCCGTTCTGGGTAGGTTTTCATTCATGTGGTTCATCGGTCTTGTCTGTTAGTTATGACTCATCGTTCCAATATGTTGTTTTAGCTGGCACAAATGGAGTCGGAAGAAGAAGACACACCAGTTGCTCAAGAGAATGCGAACGTTATACAAGCGCTTTCTCGTAAATACTCGCAAAAATCGGTTGAGGTTGCTATGCAGAACTCTCAGTCTATCGCCAAAATGACACCCGTCAATAAACCTGCAAATATAACCAATGCGACTGGTAATGCCAGCCCAGATGCGCCAGTAGGACAACAAGTCGAACCTTCCTCCAGTCGTACTATCAACGTACACAACACAGACCATAGTTCAATGGCTTTGCCACCAAAATCAGCTAAAAGCTGGTTTAGCGTAATATTTTCGAAATTGCCACTTGGATTTCCAAATCATCAACATCGAGATGAAGTTCTATCTCTACCACCTGGCGTTCATATTCCACAAAAGATATCCACGCCAGTGCGGGTGGAACCTAAAGTGTTCTTCGCCAATGAACGAACTTATTTCTCATGGATGACTTTTGCAGTCCTGCTGGGAAGCTTTTCTGTAGCTCTAGTCAATACTGGGGATAAAATTGGTAAAATTGCTGGATTGATGTATACCATGATATCACTCTCTACATTGATCTATGGCTATGGCCTGTATTACCGTCGCCACGAACTGATCATGGCACGAGCGAGCGGTCCATATGGTAAATATTTTTGGCCCATACTGTAACACTAAGACAGTTGCTCTAAATTTCGGCGTTTGTTATTTCTCTTCTTGTAGATGATGTGGTGGGTCCTACTGTAATTTGTTTCGCTTTGCTTATCGCAGTTGCCATCAATGCTTATTGTAAGTTTCCTCATCTAAGTGCTCATATTGTGTATTTGATATAATATCACTCGACGACTAACAAAATTTATCTTTCATTATACAGTGAAGCTAGCATAAACACTCTGTATGTTGATGTTGCAATGCGGCGTGTAAAGGAACAAATTGGGAAGAATTTTTATGTGTAATGATTTCTATGGTATCGATTTCATTGGCCATGTTTAAAGTGCAAAATCTACCCTTGTCACTAACGGCACAAAACTCCTTCGGCAACTAGCGAACAGACATTGAAGTGAATGGATCGTCATAATAAAGAGATATTCTTATAACGAGCTTGGTGAAATGTCATGCATGCGAAGGCGTCTCTTTCGATTTTTCAGTTTGATACGTTGCATGCACAGATTTGTTGCAGAAACATTGCTTAACTGGGCCTTGTTGCTCGTGTGGCGGCGGAGATATAACCAAAAGCGCAAAATTCAGCTTCGCGATTCTAATTACTCCTGTTGCAATCCGACACAAAGGGAGTGAGTGGGAACTACGCCTAGATTTGGTATGCAGATGTCAAATCTTCTCGTATCAAACAGTATTCTTGTTGATGTAATAATGCCTTGTATATAATCTATCAAGTTATTCAGGATCCTAGCCTCGGTGGATAAGCTATAGTAATTGGCGAAGGCTTCGGATTGATCGGACGTGGCTTCTTCATGGGCTGGAACATGGCGGTGAGTACAAGTTCCCTACGTTATCAACAACTGTTGCTTATATGTCTTTTCCATCCTTTTTTTTTCGATCGCCATCCGCTTTGAACACAAACCTTATTCTCCTGTACAATTTCTTTAACAAAATTCCCAACACTATTCATCATGTTATTGGCTTATGCGATTCATCATTAGTTATTTTCATCCCCATATACTCGCAAATCAAAAAATCATTTCAACTTTTCTAGTCCTGTTTCCACGAACGTAATCCTCGTTTTATAGTATATGGCTTACATGTGATTGTAACCCATCCATTAGTTGCTCAGCACCAACCGAGCGGTTACCGACCGAATTTCATGGGCGCTGGTTACACCACCAAAGATCAGACCATAGCAGCAGCCTACTCAGCTTAAAGCCTAGACGTAACCATTGATGAGCCAAAGATGGCCGTCGTTATTGGAACTTTTCTACCTTTCAAGGAAATGCTTGGTTCTTTATAAATTTGCAAAGAAAAATGATAGATACAAGGATATCGCTTTAAATGGAAGGGGTATATATACATTGGTAAAAAGAAATTCACTTGTTCTCCGGATCGGATCCGAAAACAACAGTTTGCCCTGAATAACCACCAAACAGTTTCGATTTTGATTGCTTGTTGGTACCAGTATCGCTTGGTTGTACTAAAGGTAGGTGTGAAGACGTCAACACTGACTGGAATCCGAACCGATGGTGTAGAGAAATTGACGTGTAACTTGGAAGACTGTCTCCCCAGCCATCGTCAGAAGTCGGCATGGAAGGATCTGCTTCTGGGGCTACTGATTTACAGGGAGGTTGACATCCACCCCCAAAAACTCTATGATTGGAATATTTCGGCTGATCTCTGAGTTCGGCATCTTGCAAATCTCTGGCAAGCTTTTCTTCTGGACTAGATATGCTCATTGCATCGAGCGATGACAGTGAGCCATGCTGGTTGAAATGCTTTTTTTCATTCATTAAAAAGAAGGCATCAGATTTAGGCAAACGAATAGTAAAACCGATGATACTTCAATTTGACCACACTGACGGCAAAAAAATTAAAACATTAGCCATAAAACCATAATGGCTCGACATCGACACATTTTTTTAGTTATTGCGCCTACACCTTAAATTCGCCCATCCTGTGTCTCTATATGTTGTTTCCTGTAATATAGAACAACATTGGAGCGTCCATTATTGCAGAAAATACTAGATAGTGGTTTTTATTCTCGCTCACTAGATTTATTATGACATGATACTTCAGATTATAGGGCGGCGGTCTCCATAAACAATTTCGACACGACTGCCGGATAAAAAATACCAGCTGGCAATGATAGGAGACCAAGTACATATTTATTTTCAAAAAATCCTCCGTCAGCAACTGAATCGGGAACTTAGTGAGTTGAGTACCAGTCAACTGTCATAATGTGCGAGTGCCTAATAACAACTAATGAGTTAGACTCTTATACTATTACTATTCACCTTTACTTTAAAAATTACTTAGCGAGTGTAGCACCTTTGACTGATTATTGGTATTTAACAGTGCAAGCTATAAGCTTAAGCACTTAGCGCTTACAAAAAATACACTGCAGTTAACGGTGTAAGCTATCAGCATAAGCACTTATCGCACATAAAAAAAGAGACTGTAGTTAACAGTGCAAGCTATTAAGCATAAGCACTTAGCACTTACAATAAATGACTGTAGATAGCAGTGTAAGCCATTAGCATAAGCACTCAGTGCTTAATGTAGTCATTTGCTCGTTCCCATTGAGGTGCGCGTTTGCTTAAGACATGAGTAATTTTCACTTGTCATTCCACTAAAATCAACTTCAGGGATTTGTTTATTGCACTCTTTCGTTGTTCTGCAGTTTTATCACACATATCAGTTGAGTCTTCGACGCTAGCATAAATTGCAGTATCTCTTTGCAGTCGACATCAAGCCGCATCACTATAGCCCAGTTGCCTTTGTAGAAGTTGCCTTTTATGGAAATATACGTATTTTTGTCATAAATATAAATGGCATGCATCTTCCTATACCCTTTACACCAAATGCTCCAATCGGCTATCCATGGTAACAACCGTATACTGGAGAGCGCTTAGATGTTGCAGGGCGAGTTTGAGTCTATATAACTTAGGCATTCACCGGAGAAAATGAACTTTAATGCTCACCACTAAGGTCGATGTCATTGTCCATAATCGAAAGTCAACTCACCTCGTCCTGGCGTTCAAATGAGCTATCGCTGAGAAGGACAAATCGATTGGTTGAGTTGATGCCGCATAGGAGTGGTCGAGTTTAAATCGTTTATATCTGGCGATGCCGATTATGAAATAGTGGGAGAATATGACATAAGAAAGTAAAATGGTGTAGAAATGGACTGAAGTTGGAAATGAACGGAATGGAGCTGGGTAAAGGTGGAATGTAGAACGACATTCATGTCCTTCTCGATGAACTGGAGGTTCTGATTAATATTTGAAAGCCCGCTAGCATCAAGATTTTGCTGGGCCAGATAGCATTTGAGAAAACTTTTAATGCGTAATGGAACGAGCGTTAGCGAGAGACATAGCGCGGAAGGAACATTAGGATTAAAATGTAAAGAGGTTGCCAATTTAACCATTGTTACTTAAGAAGCAATTGTATTGGTTCGAGAGGGACATTAGGATTATGCTTTCACGAACAGCGTGAATTTTAGCGAGCTGTATTCCATTATGGTTTGTTAAATCTGGCAGGACTCGGAGGTACCTAGTAAACGCATCACATTCTGCGTCCACCACTGATGCTGTGATACTGTTACTGCGCTCAGAAATAATAAAATGATCAAAACTCTGATTTTACAAACAGAATGAAAAAAGATGTAGTGGTTAAGGTGGTAGGAACACTTGAATAACAGTGGAAGTGCAAAAGGATTTCAGCCGGCTCCTTCCATACAGGTTTACGGAGTTTTTTGGCAGTAAAATGTTTGAATCACGCTTGTTATTCAACGTCTCCTAATCCTACATATAGACAGTCTGGTTATCGCAAGCGTCATCCAAACAATTCTTTCGAGAGGATAAATCGTCTGAAGAAGTGAGCACAAGCCAGTCTAATCACCGCAGCGAAGCGACAAACAATCGTTGTGCAATTTTGTTCTCTCGTTTGGTTCTACTTATTTTCACAGTATATACCTCTAGCATAAATAACGAGCCTTGCAGTCTCTTTGAACGATAATAAAGCTAGTGGCGCTTTCTTTTTGTGGTATATTGTTTATAGACAGGATCCGCAAACAACCTCCTTTTTAGGGATATGATGGTTATAAAATCGTCGGTATCTATGGGCAATTGAACAATTGACCATTTAAACATCACATTTTTTTATAGCAAGAATTTTCAGCGAGTCAAACTAGGATGCGGTACACCCTTTGTTCAGATTGAGCTTCAATGTAGGAGACCGGTCACATCTTTGGAAATGTAGGTCAAAAGACTATACAGCCTGCTTTGTCCTGTCATTAGTGATATTATTTTCTTCAATTACAATAAGGTACCTACCATAAAAATAAGTACACATTAAGTTTTAGCTTTCCAATATATACTAAATTGACCAAATGGAAGACATGGGCATATTACCTGCAAATTAAACCCCTTGATTGACTTGATATCAAATTAGTAACATCTGATGCTCGCTGTATCATTAATCTAAGAGTTTCATAAACTTATCTTCTGCGCAACCCCACTTTCAAAGTTTTATATATAAAAACTCGATATTAATCTAAGATTCTCAGGATTCATTCAGCATATTGAACTTTAAGGAATCTTTTATTGCGAAAGGGTTACGAGCGTCAGCGAGTAACGCGTCGCAATAACATATACTAAAGTATTCTGCGCGCGA